ATATCAGCCATCACGTCTTCGGCGATCTGATCATTGTAGCGTTCGCCCATGGCCCGGATTGGTTCTCCAGTTTCAGTCTGCTCGGGTGGCCCAACCCACCATGGCCCCTCAAATTTGCATTCTACGGCACCGCCGCCATAGCAACTCACAGCGGGGTAATAGCCGATCAAGCCGTCGTCGGCATTCTCACGCTCGCCAATACCAAGATTGTTTGTGCCATTAGCGAGACGACTTGCGGGCGGTAGGAAGGCGTAAAGTTCTTTGAAGGGGGTGCCCATTTGTACTCCGTTCTTTAGAATGGTGATACTAGATCCCGGGAGTGTGCGAAGCGTGGCGTCTTCGCTGTTCATAGGGGACGGGGGACCAAAGGTTGGCGTTTCCTTGAGGTTGAAAGCGTAGTCACGAAGGTGTTTCGTAGAAAATACGTTCGATTGCTGCCAACAGAAATCCGATTTATAGTGAAAGGGAATCCGATCTCGGATTATGTTGGTTGCTACCGGCTGTGATGGGCTATTATCGGCAGGATCGTAAGTGCCTTCAACAATTTTCTTGTGAAGAGAAAGAGGCGGAAGAGTGATTAGCATGCCGATAACATCGCCTTCATTGATGGCCTCCCCCTTGGGGAAGAAGAACTCGCATCGCATGCGATTGACGACTTCGCCGTTCACATCTCGAATTCCATATCCGTAGCAATCCACCCCAACATTCACATCGAGGTCGGCCTCACGTCGAGCGAATCCAAGACGGACATGGCCACGGGGTGAAGTTGTCGATCTGCCGTTCTGAGGTGCCTGAGGATCATTGACTATGCCACTAATCACACGAGCTTCGTAATAATATGTGCCCTCTCGAGCACATACATTGGCGCGTGCAGTATGCCACGCATCACTGGTGGTCACCGCAGTCGCACTCTCTGAAAACGATATGGCAGCCGGTGAATCCTCGAAACTGAAGCGGGTATGGTACGGACGAACATCGGTCTGTCGGTATTTGATATGAGGGAATCCAGGATCTGCAATAGCGTAGCTGTAACGAAATCCGTTCTTGTTGGTGAGTTTATCGACAACCTCGTAAAAATCCCAGCTCTGGCCTAAGACCTCCGATGTCTTTCGGCTCACGCGATTCAATTGGCGAGGTTGTGGAGGGTACGGATCTGAGGCGTGCGGCTCGGCGAGCAGCAACGGACGAAGAATGCTCAGTTTGGAGCTAGGTAAGGCCGTGCTGGGTGCAGTTGTGGCTCGCTTTTTCGGTGGTGGTGCATTCTCCAGGTCTAGTCCTTTGGCTTCACGCTTCTTGCGACTATCTCGCTTGTTCCGCTTGGCTCGACCATCACCTTGGGCGGATGGAGCCGGAGAAGATCGTGGATTCAAGTCGGTAAATTGCGCATTGAGCAGAGGTCCACCGATGGGGGGTAGGATCGGAGAGTTGATATTGGACGACGGGGCAGAAGACCCGGGAGCTTGGCCAGATGCCATGATGGAGGCTAGGTTTTTCTGATGGGGTTGTGGTTTGTCGATTAGTCTGTCAGTCTGAAGAAACTCAGAAATCTGAGCAAAATTCAATCAAATGAGTATGGCTCTGCAGCAGTTTGCTCCAGGTCCTTACTTAATTTGAAGCTTGTCTGTATGTTGTCAAGCTGTTCCGGCGTATATACGCAAAAGGTCCGGGGAGTTGGCAGCCTGCAGCTTTACCAATGAATATATTATAGTATGACAATGGTTCCTGTATTCATTGACAGGCAGCAAACTTCCTTTTGTGCATATAATAATCAATCGCATGCGCGCTGCACAAGAATCTCCTTGGGAAATAAAGGCGGTCAATAATTCATTGCAGAAAAGGTGTGAAGCGGCTCAGGCGGTGTGGGGTACAGGCGGTAAGAATATTGGGGGGCACCGCCTGGCAGAAAAAAAATATGACCACACAATTTGATCGTCGTGTGTACTTCGATAAGCCAGCCCAAACTACTCATTTCAGTTTCTTCGGTTTATCTGAAGAATTACCCGCCATGCCGAAGGTATCAAGCTCCCGCGCCGCTGCGGCGGCACGCAGACACAACCCTCTCGCTGAGGATATTACTTCCGCGGGGCACCTTCGAACGCAGAGCAGCAAGAAAGGCAAAGGCAAAGCCAACGAAAACGATGAGGATGGCGAAAATGAGCAGCGTTATGTCGATGCGAAGATGTCACGCAAGATTCTACAGATTGGACAGGAATTGGCCGACGAAGATGCCGCCGAGGAACTCAAGAACTCAGCACGGCCCCAGACGAATGCATTTGAATTCGATACTCGATTCGAGGATGAGGAGGCTTTCTCCGACGACGAGGGGAAGTTTGAGGCCGACGATTGGGTTGATGATGAAGTCGAGCAAGTCGTAAGACTCCCGAATTTTTGCATAATGATATAGCTTCTAACATTTTACAAGGAGGTCGACCCCAATGATCTAGATATGTTCAACAAATTCATGTCTCACGATGAGGACCCTATATTCCACCCCAAGGATCCCAGTGCCGCTGGCCCCACCAACCTTGCCGATTTGATTCTTGAGAAGATTGCCGAGCACGAGGCTAGGCAGGCGGGCGAAGGCCCCTACGGCCAGTACATCCAAGGTGGTGGTATCCCCGAGGATGCAGTCCAGATTCCTGCCAAGGCCGTGGAAGTATATGAGAAGTATGTCTTGCAACGGTTCCTTGTGAGGTCAAGCTAACTTGTTCTAGGGTCGGTATGATTCTTTCTCGCTACAAGTCTGGCCCGCTCCCTAAGCCCATCAAAATCCTTCCCTCTGTACCGAACTGGCAGACCATTCTGGATATTACTCGTCCCGAGTCATGGACCGGCAATGCTGTCTACGCTGTAACCCGTATTTTCATTTCGTCCAAGCCTGCAGTTGCCCAGGAGTTCATCAACATTGTGCTTTTGGAGCGCGTGCGCAATGAAATCCACGAAACCCAAAAAGCTGAACATCCATACCTACAATGCGTTGCGCAAGGCCTTGTACAAGCCCGCATGCTTCTTCAAGGGACTTCTGTTCCCGCTCGTGTCTACCGGAACCTGCACCCTGCGTGAAGCCCACATTGTCTCTTCTGTGGTTGCCCGTGTCTCCGTTCCCGTGCTGCACTCCGCAGCCGCCCTGCTCCGCATGTGTGATCTGGCTGCGGAACAGTCATTGACCTCCATTGAGAGCACCGGTGCTGTCAACATGTTCATCCGCGTCTTCCTAGAGAAGAAGTACGCCCTGCCTTACAAGGTCATTGATGCTCTGGTATTCCACTTCATGCGCTTCCGCGCCGTCGATCCTTCGGAGGATGCTATGAATGACGGACCCTCAGGGCTCGGTTCCAAGGCATACAAGCTCCCAGTTCTCTGGCACCAGTCTCTTCTGGTCTTTGCCCAGCGTTATCGTAACGATATCACTGAGGACCAGCGTGAAGCACTTCTCGATTTGCTTCTTGTCCGTGGACACAAGGACATTGGACCTGAAGTGCGACGCGAACTGCTTGCTGGCCGAGGACGTGGTGTGGTGGTCCCCGACCCAGAGGCCCAGAATGCTCTCGATGCTGGCGATGACACGATGGATGTCACCATGTAGAGGGTAATTGATTCTTAGCCCCGCACATGTTCGCTTACGATCTTGTCATGAGCACGTTTCTATGGGATGGCGTTTTTTTCTTTTTGTTTGAGGGACTGCATATAATTCCCCCGGTGTCGAAGGTTTCCAAAAAATGGCAATGTCCATACCGATCACTGAATTTAGTGTCTTGAATTGAGATAGACATATATCGTTATCTTTTCACAGGCAACTCATCAATAGTCCATGTGCAGTAAATGGTAGGAGATACCCGTCTTAGGAACTCCCGAACTCAATCCTATAAAGGCAATGGAGGGGCAATGTATTCATTGTACAACGCCCGTTTTGGCCGTTCGGCCCCTCATCCTAATGGACTCTGCATGATTCTGCGGTAATCGAAGTAGTTCCGTAGCATCCCCAGGTTGATTTCCGCCAATCTAAATGGCACACCGGGCCCCTTGACCATGTGCATAATCATAGAGTAACATTCTAAGACTCAGGGGGACACGGAGAATTAACGGGGCGGGGCAGTCTACCTGCGAAACACTCATGATTGGCGTTCAAATGGAGCATTCTCCGGGGCAATTCTAGTCTCCTCTTCAGATTCAGGAGAGAAACGTATCAATACTAAGTAGGTCCACCCTAGATTGTTCGAGACTTTGATGTTAGATCATTTACTCCGTATATTGTGGGACATAAGTATGATTTTAGACGAGTCGGAATGACTGGATGTCCACGGTGTCTCTTGTATTACCCGAGAGATAAGCTGAAGTGAACCCCATATGTACTACATAATATTATATGTTGTACTCCATATTCAATAGATGCACGTGTACACCAATATATCCTCCATTTATAGAAAGGAGGCAATAGAAAGTGACCAAATCCCCAGGTGGGATGTTGCAATAATTGCCCAGGTTGTGGTGTTTCAGGCGGCGAATCATAATTGGCCACTCTTAAGACTAAAAGGGGGGTTACCATGGAATGCAGGGGGAAATTAATGTAATTTACATGTCTCGTTACAAGAACTCAGCCCCTTTTGAGGTACTCGATAGCACATGGTAAATTGTATGGTGTAGCATGTACCTGACGTACGTGTGCGCCCAGGTTCCAAGGTTTCTCCCCTTTGTTCCCACCGACCTTCCCATCCCTTTCAGACCACGCTGGCCTCTACTTAAACCTCAACTCTGCCCCATCCATTTACAGTTGAACAGCTGTCCTTTCCATTCTTTCTCTCTCTCTCTTCAGCTCTCTCGCTGACTCACCCTCTGACTCAATCTTCCTCGGAGTCATTGGTCTCCGGTGCCGATCGTGATGATAACGTGGCCTTCGTGATTTGAACTTGATCACCCTTTTCACCTAAGTCATTACAAGTCTAATATAGTGAAAATTATTACTCACGTCCGGCACCGGTTATCCATTTGACACTGTAACCATGGCGGATACTATCAACCCGTTGGATACCCTCCCAGTCTCACCATCTCCAGAGATGTACACAGTTTCCCCCGCGGATACATCATTAGACTCCCCGGAGCCTGAAGATGATGTCAAGGAGGAAGAAGATGAGAAGAAGCCAACAAAGAAGAGAAAGTCTTGGGGACAAGAACTCCCAACCCCGAAAACAAACCTCCCTCCTAGGTATGTTATCTATCCTTTATATAAAAGTTGAGCCCCCGCTGACTCGTCTAGAAAACGCGCCAAGACAGATGATGAAAAGGAGCAGCGTCGGATAGAACGGGTCCTTCGGAACCGTGCCGCTGCTCAAACATCACGCGAGCGCAAGCGCCTCGAAATGGAGAAGCTCGAGACCGAGAAGATCCGCATGGAGCAACAAAATCAGTTCCTGATCCAGCGTCTATCGCAAATGGAGACAGAGAACAACCGCCTGAGCCAACAAGTGGCTAAGCTCTCCGCCGAGGTCCGTGGATCTCGCAGCGTGACTCCCAAGGCCAGCTCTCCCGCACTTGAATCTCCCACCCTCACGCCTACTCTCTTCAAACAAGAAGGCGACGAACTTCCGATGGAACGAATTCCTTTCCCCACTCCCTCCGTTACCGATTACTCTCCCACCCTCAAACCTTCCACTCTGGCTGAGGCCTCCGACGTGACACAACATCCTGCAGCGGTGTTGTGTGAATGTGACCTGCAGTGTCCGTCGTTGGCCTCGAAGGATCTGGAAGTCTACCCCTCTTCGACCTCTCCGACGAGTGTCAGACTGCACATGATGTTGCAGCTCCTCTTTCTGACGATGACTTCCGCCGCCTGTTCCACGGTGATTCACCCGTTGAGCCAAATTCTTCTTTCCCTGAAGACGGGTTTGCCTTTGACGTTCTCGACGGAGGAGATCTATCAGCATTTCCCTTTGATTCTATGGTTGATTTCGACCCCGAATCTGTCGTCCTCGACGGCGTCCAATCGTCCGGTCTTTCGGATGAGACTTCTTACCAGACTGCTAGCTTGCAGCCCAGCCTTGGCGCGTCCACTTCGAGATGCGACGGGCAGAGCATTGCAGCTAGCGGTTAGTGAGACTTTCTCCCCGCAGACCTGGTCGGCTGGCGCCTCGGAGGCTCGACCGAGTTGGGAGTCGTTATTAACCATGGCTTGGGCAATCGATAGTCTCAGCCTGTCTAAACGACACCAGCGGGGAAACACTATGAAATCCGGTCGGCAACGCAGTAATGGAAAGATGCATCGGGGTAAACGGAGTTTCCGGAGTTCCAGCGCGAGCAAAGCACTATCATCTTTGCTTATGAGCAAACAGCGCTGAGGGTTCCTCCTTTTTTTGGCCTGTACACTATAGTTTTTACAATGCAAAATCGACTGGCTCATCTTGCAATTATTTCCGAAACGTACATACTCGTCCATGTAACAGTAATCCTTCTAAATCGCCACAGGCAACCTCCGGGCCTAGTAATCTTACTCGATAATCATTTAGAGACCTTGTTTCGGCATAGTTCAAATCTAGCCTTGTCTGTAATGCTAAAATAAACAGACGCCAAGAATGGACTGAATGCGGTCAGTGACGTTGCCACGCGCCCCCAAATCCATCTGCCTTCCACAACAACTGCAAACCTCATTCTCTAATACTCTCTTTAACCGACATCATGGTTCGCAAAGACCCTATCTTCGAAGCCCGCACAAATGTCAAAGTGAGCTACCTCCCCGCACCTTACTCCTCAGAGCGTGCATCAACCCCGCCTCTACATGAGCCCATTCCTAATCTTATCTCCCAGCTACACTCCAACAGACTCAAGAAAGAAGCCGTCCGAGCGGAGGCGACCTTCAAATCCGAAAAGGCGAAAGCCGACAAAGCGATGAAAAACCGCGAATTCCAAATTGCCCGCATCCACGCCGCCTCCGCTGTGCGCGAGAAGCGACGCCAAGTAACGCTCAAGTCCGAAGCCGCACGCGCAGACGTCATCATCAACGAACTCAAGGCCGCCCAAAGCACTCGCGACACATCTCGGACGCTCGCGATGGCATCGCGCGGCCTAGACGCTGCCTCAAGAAGCGTCAACCTCGAACACCTCGTCTCCCACGCTAACAACTTCCTCGCCCGGTCGGAGGACTTCAAGATCGCCAGTAGTGCGATCGAGGATGTCGCTCAGGGTATATCGATGCAGGAATACGGTGCGGAGGGCGAGGCTGACGTTGACCGGCTTATGGAACAACTAGCTGATGATGCGGGTGTTGATATGCGCATGAACCTTGATGCGGATGCTGCGCCGAAGGAGGAGGTTAAGGAGCCCAGGCAGGTGGATGCTGAGGCTGAGGATGGCTTGGGTGCAAGGCTACGAGCTTTACGGGCTGCTAATTGAGAAATGACTTGTGCTCTCTCTCTCTCTCTCTTTCTCTCCTATTGGGTACTCCGGATTTACGGGACTGTCAATCCCTCTTATAGATTCCTCGCGATCTCTGGACTTTGCAACACTGACGATCCACGAAGTTACGCTTGTATTTTCTTTCTGCGCTGTTCTATACGCGACTCGGCGTATTCAATGAAGATTTTTTTTCCATACATGAGACTAGTCGAATTTTTGACTCATCGCCGTAAAACAAGGCTGGAAAGGTCCAAGAAAAGATCAGTCCGGTAAAAACTTGAGGCGAAAGTACTGTAGGGTTTGCGGCTAGATCATAAATAGACTAGACACTCCACTCAACTCGGGCAAATTGAGAGACATCGCCAATCACACAAGAGCATCTACCTACTCTAATGCACCAATTTCCGCCCGTGAACCCAGTATAGTAGCGTTAGACGACGATTAGCCCTCAGGTAAAGGATCTTCTTCCAATACGAGGCGCTACGAAGGTTTCATTTTATAAAGCCATGGACGCCTCATCCCTGACTAGTTTCCCTGTAAACCTCCAAGACCATTCAAGATGGCACCTTCACAATCGTTTATTCTTTTCTTGTCATTCGTTTTGAGCCCATTCGTTCAGGCTGCTCCTTGGCTTGTGACAGATGTCTACGAGCAAGTGATTACTACAGATTACTATTCCGAGTTGACTACCATAGTCCAGAGAATCACTCCAACTGCAGCTTTGCCAGACGAGGCCCTATCCACCCTTACTACGACCAATACCGTCTATGACTACACCATTATTCAAAAGCTGTATCCAGCGGGATATGGTGAAAAAAAGGGCTATTACGGTGGCTACGGTGAATCTCTTGGTAGTGATGGAAACTATCATAGCACCATCTACAAAGTCAACCTGACTTACTCGGCCCCGACGGCCTGCTCTACTCAATGGACCACCACAACCGCTGCTTCATTCAGCCCTCCCTATGAGATTGCGAGCTTGCTTCCTACGGATAATGTAGAGGCATCTACCTCGGTCGACAACAGTCAGCCATTCCAGCCCACCACCTACATCTATAAAGTGATCTTCGTCGATCCCACTCAAATCCCCACCATCACTATGAACTCTCTGAGTCTCTACAATGCCCCTACCTCTCGATACTCAGGTTCCGGATGCGAGTACACAACCCGTGCCTCTCATTACGGCTATTCTGACGATTACAACACTGGCGAAACCGCCTCTGGTGTTGGCTCCAGCAGTTCAACTGACAATAACGACTCCGAGTCCGGCTACTATGACGACTACTGGGACGGCGACAACTGGTTCACCAGCAAAAGATGGACCGGTATTGGCATTTCCTATCTCGCAGTTACATTGATCTGCTTGCTGGGCTGGATCGGCCTAGTGTTCATCCTGGGCATGATCGAAGCCTGGATACGATTCCGTCGTCTCATGACAGGCTGGCAGACCCGTCGTGGTCTCCCTCTTTTCTGGGCATTTATTTTGCTTCCTTTGTCTCTTTTCTTCCTGTGCTGTTTCCGAAAGGGATACCGCGCCCGCAGCAAAGAAGACGCAGAGATCCTCCAGCGGAGGTGGAAGAACACAGGTTTCTGGGCCAAGATCCGCTTGTTCTTCATCTGGGGTTTCCGCTTCGAGTACCCGGATGTCTTGGGCCCCGCACCTGCGCTTGTCAGGGCAAGCAAGAGGCCTACTGAGTCTGGTCCGCGCTTGCTGGATGCTACTCCTCCCGGTACCCATGCGCCCTCGCTGGATGGATCGGCGGGGACTGCTCCGCCTGCTGGTCCTGAGATGGCTCAGGCTCAGGCTCCTGGTCATCAAGCTTACCCCTATGATGTTTCACAACCATCCAGTACTCCACCAGCGGGTCGTGGTGAGTAGTCTGATCCCATTCGCTACACTTGATTAATGGTTGATATGTAATTGTTTGCTATGTGGGGTTTGGATCTATATTTACTGTCTACTAATAGGCCAAGAGGAGTCCAACGGCAATGTTGTTTTAGAATTTGTATTTAGCTGGCACTAATATTTAAATGATATATACCATTCACTCGTTATTTGATATGCATACTGTGTGGCCACTCTAAAAATCAAGAAACCAAGTAAAAATGATATCTAAATCTAAAATATGTTGATATCATCCCGAGTTAAATTGAATAAAATCAGCCATGTTCACAGTAAATACTTGGCAACTTTAGAGGTTTGATTCCTTCTCAGCTGCGTTATATTCATTTCATCGAACAGGGAAAAATTGCTTCACATTGCACCACCCTGATAGGCACAACCAGATAGCATCCACCGGATTCGAGCTGGCACAATAGATGAGAGTCCCTGGTTATACGTAGAAAAGCCTGCTGGAAAGTTTATGCTTTTTTACCACCTTTGTATACATCTAAAAAGACATGACAAGGCTGCATAATCGACCAACTACATATGTATTCTTGTTCAAATAGAAGTGGGAAATATGTAATTGGATTGAAAACGACATGACATTGTTAAGGTTTAACGTATTTCATATGCGAGCTGTGTAGTCAAGACACCGTAGTAAATGCAGTATATACTACACTTATATCTCAGCAACCAACGTTTTTTTCTTGTTGTTTTATTTGCTAATGGCCATTGATGCGCATAGTTTAGTAGCGTATATCAATTTCAAATAGATTTAAAACGTGCATTGGTATGGTATCGAAAATTATATCTCTAAGACCTGCATGTAAATATGTATCAATATATATATCTCTGATATTAATTCCTCAAATCCCCTGAAACCTCTTAAAGTGGCAAAATTCCACACAAAAAGCATCAGGCTATAAGAAAACTTCACACAGGCAATTTCTGTTGAGATATATAGTTGGAATTTATCGCATCTACGTACTACGTGCATCAATCAGACTGCGCAGCAACTCGCATGTGGAATAATACATTATGGCTATAAACCCAGATATATCCATGGATGGTTCCCTCCCCCCCGCCTGTTGGATATACACTATGTAGTATTCGCTAGAAGCAACCATCATTTATTGTCGTATTGAAACTTCAAAAAAGTCAATTGATCTATCTTCTAGGTCTTATCATACACAAATTGCAAAAAGAAAAGAGCAAAAAAGAAATCTCAGGTTTGGTTTTTAGGAATAGCCGAACGCGGGGGTCGAACCCGCAGCCTTAAGATTAAGAGTCTTACGCTCTACCGATTGAGCTAGCCCGGCCGGGCTGTTGAAGGAGGCTGCACTTTAGTGCTACATAAGCAAAAACACCACTTGCTGATTGTTCCGATTCCCGTATCTCACCACCTCAGCGTCTATGGCCTAGGTCAAAACACCTACTCATGGAGCTCGAGTCGGCAGGCTCAGCCTCAAGTCCACATGGAAAACAAGCTGCGTGCTTGAACTGTCGGCGGAGCAAGATTCGCTGCAACCGCCTGACAGGCGAGTCCAGCTGCGAGAAATGTAAGCAGACTAATGCAGAATGTATTGTGCCCAACCACCATCTGGGCCGACAAAAGGGTGTTAAAAAGTAAGTCAAATCAAAATAAATCAAATAAGACTGGTGTGAAAAGAAAAATAAATATTTACCGGAATCTAGTAAACGCAAGGGTCTGGAGAAAGCGATACATCAGATCGAGCAGGCGATCAAACGGCCCAAACTCGACTCCAGTGACGATGATCCCCAAAAGGCCATTTCAGTCCTACAAGAACTTCTCAGTCAAGTCCAGGGTCAGTTAATGCAGAATGAACATGAACATGAGCATGAGCATGGCGTTTCAGAGGCACCACATTACACGCGCATGATATCTCCACGTGATACTCATGCAGAGGAGAGTCTGGCCCTTGATGATGCAGAAAATCCTCTGCAGCTGCTTGCTAGAGCCTCGGATCTTCAGCTTTCGCCTACCGGGGTGCGACGTGCACAGATGTCTCCACTGCCGTTATCAGAGGGTCCATATTTCCTTCAGAGTACCCCTCGAGGTGAACCGAGCGCTAAATCCTTTTTTGTTCCTGCAAGAGCAAATTTGGATGTTGGACCTGAAGTTGACCCTGTCGAGCTGGGATTAGTCACATTTGATGAGTCGGAGTCATTGTTCTCGTTGTGAGTGGTTTACTTTCTATTGTTAAACATGTACGGAGTATAACTGACAGATCAAGCTTCTATCAAAATCTCGCACATACTCGATGGGGCCTCGATCCTGTGATACACAGCCCCTCCTTTGTACGTTCCCAGTCGGCTTTTCTTTTTACTTCAATAATGGCAGGCGCAGCCCTATTTTTGCCGTCTGCTGCTGCTTTATCCAAGAGATTATCGAGGCACTGCAAATGGCTCGCGAAGAGAGTGGCCACTCACCGCTATAAATCTGTTGAGATCGTTTTGGCTTTCATGGTGAACGTTCCATGGATGTCCCCCGGTGATAGACTAGGAGACGACGACACTTGCTCCTATATTGCCATGGCTCTCACTGTTGCTCTAGACTTATCTTTGAATAAGATTGTCTCGCCCTCTTCAAGCTTCGACCAAGAACTCATGAATCGTCTGGCACGGGCAGAGTGTATTGATGCTAAGAGAGCATTGCACATGGATGGATTTGATGATATTGATCCATCTTCAGAGTGGGGCCTTAGGCTGTTGCGAAGACGTGAAAGAGCTTGGATTGCGTTGTATGTCGTTGAGAGGGGGTGCGTTTGCTTTTCCTAGTAGTGTATCTAAATCTGACGCTAACTTGTTCAGTGTTTGTCTTGCGCGTGGACGAAGCTATACGGTACCTGCAACAACGCTCATCGAAACATGTGATCGTTGGCACATGTCCAACATTGCAGACCCGCGTGATGGTCCTATGAATTCCATGGCAGTTCTTCGAAGAGACCTTGTAAGTGCCATTCCAAATCCGGTCTCGAGTCGCATCACAAATATCCATAACACGCTATTTAATTCGATTCTAACAATTTTAGGATGGACTCTTTCAGCAAGTTAAATCAAGCTGTGATAGTTACCGCGTCGTCGTTACCGGCTCGGAAGCTGCTCAGTCGTATGATATTATTCCTTTGATGAATATCATTTATATACTGATTATATCATAGGATTAAGAAAACCATTCAAACCTTCTACGAGCGGTGGTATGCAACATGGGCTTTGTCGATTGGCGAAGGAGATAGTAAGCCTAAGGCCTCGAATTAACAGACTAGAACACTAACCATTTATAGCACGCTCTCTACCGCCATATGTCGAGATTCTTGTCACACATACCCAATTGTCCACCTACAGTGGTGTTATAAATCACCCAACAGCTCCAATCGAAGTTAAACGTTTCTTCCGAGCCGCTGGTCTGTCGTCTGCATTGAACGTCCTACGAGCAGCCATTCAAGGCGAATCTCGACTGAAATCAATGCCAAACAATACTGTCATAATGATCTCCTTTGCCGCATGTTCTGCTCTCAGTCTCAGCGTAACACCCGGCGACAGCAGATCCAGCCTGGCACCAAGCGTCCGAAATCTCATCGAAGAGACTGCCGGTGTCCTAGAGAGAATCGGGGCAACACCGAGTCACCGAGGCGGCGCCTCTGTGCTTTACGGGAGGTTCCTGCGTGAGTTGATCCGGCGTGCACCGGCTTTGCCTCTACAACCACGAGGAAAAATAGGCAAATTCGATCCACCCGAGCCGGCATTTCCGTCTGCATGTCTGGATCATGGTCCGTTGCCAGTAACACTACCACCTGAGGATATCTGGTCTGAGCCATTGCACTTCTCTGCCATGTCTGATAATCAAATCGTCGATGCAGTCAACCGAGCGGGAACCGCGTTTGGTGCGTCAATTCCGGATGTGCCTCTTGATGACATGCTTAATTGGGATTGGCTTGACTTGGCCAATTCGGATTTCAATTTTTAGTAGGACTAAACGCTGGATATTTGTTTACTTCAGTGTTTATTTTTTTCTTGCGTTTGTCCGATCAAACCTCGTTTCTGTATATATCTATATCCCCAACTTGCACATATTGCTAATAATTATCTTGATATCCTTTCATGAGCATACCCAATGCAATGCACTGATTTCCCGGATATCCCTGTAGATGTATATCCCACGAGCCTGAACTATCTCCGTGCCAACATCATACCTAGAATCTGAGGACCTGTGAAATTGGCACCGAAAATGACAGCTTCCGGCGCCAGAAATGGTGGCCTTTCCACACGTAACTTTGGATGGCGAGGTCTTGCTTGACTTTCGTCCAATCCTCCGCACAAATTTCCAGCCAAGCGAAAAGATTTTCTCCGTCACCATCTCATTAATTCTCAGCGCGTTCATATGTGCAACGGGTTCAGTTGCACCTAGGAAGCCAGCAACTATCTTCTTGATAGGAACTTCAAATTAAAGCTGACTGATTTTGGTCGTGCCACCACCATTGGACAGATGCTTAAAGGTGTCGTGCCTCCACGGGCCATACCAATACTTGCTGGACCACTGAAAGGGACACACGGTCTCTATTCCGCCGGGACTGAGCAGTTTGCCGTCGAGACATTATACTTCATATGATATGGCCATGAACCTTATAACGACGTTATCCTCAGCGCCTCGGAATGGGATCGCCGATTTGGGGAAATGGAGTTTCCGGAACTTAACCGTAACGAAGTTTTTGATGGTCTCATCTCTGCTTGCTGGCACAATGTCTTTCCTACAATGGCATTGGTAGCATACGACTTTGAACGCAAGGCAAACAAAGGATATGATTTCGAATACAGAATACATTTTCATTGATTCTGAAAAAGAGACAAAGACCTGTGAGGCATTGGTTCGTCGAGGCCTTGTTGGGCTGAGTTGGCTCTCCACTTTCAGCCGGCTTGGCGAAGATATCTACATGTTATTTTGAAGAGAAGCATACATATCTGTTTGGGAATGGTTTTTACAGAAGATTGGATCTACCAGGGCTTGACTGTGGCAACGAGAGGGGATTTGAAAAAAAGAACAGACAAAAAACATACAACAGTGAGGATTCGCTGGTGGTCACCCACCCAACTACTAACTCACCGGCGTGTGGCTTAAGTACGGCTGAGCGGACGGGAAGCCCTGTTTTCCACACCCTATGGTCGTATGTGCTTGTGAACACCTCGGAGTAGATTATGGAGAAACAAACATTTGATAAAACAGAGCTGCGTTGGAGTCGTGCGACAGGGGGTTCTGGTTTACTCTCCCACCCAGATATCCAATCAGTAACTCTTCGCTCCAAATATATCCATAACACCTGCTAAGTGCACTGTCAACTGGCCACAAATAGGTTAGATGGGCTCGAGGTATACTTGCCTTAATACTCCTCGGTTGTCCACCGTCAACGATCTGTTCTCTCAACCGTACTGTCGCCCAACAGGCCTTATAGGTCCCTTTGATACATCGAGGAGCGATGCCAGATAGAGCCCCGAGTAGATCTATACCGGAGTATTGGTCTGCTCGTGAATGTTGTCAAGTTATAATCAAGTAATAGAGTCACCGAAGTTCCAAAGGTAAACACAAGTAACAATGTATGATTGAAGACGAAGAACTAAACTAAGTACATGGATGAGCGTCCTTATATATCCCTCGTTTCCTACTCCGAGATATACTGCGGGAGTATAACTGGGAGTCACCATATACTCCTGCGTATACTCCTGTCCCGATCACGTGATGACTAGCCGGGTATACTTCGGGCTAGCGGGAGGCCGGTTCTGGTTCCCCTGGCAGAGTATTGGATACTGCACGTGATCTGCGGACAGGTAAATTGGTTGGCTCTTGGTGGCCCATCTGTGTACCCTGTGGGGCACCATCGATGGGTGACGGGTAGGTCCGTAACACCAACGTTACTATCATTTTTTTTTCGTCTAAAAAAACTACAAATATCATTTACATGGTGATCCAAAATGAGAATTTATTCAAAATTATTCGTTGATCATCTGGGCACGCTAGTTGTCTAACATTGTTTGAGCGCTATTCTGGTTAGGTCTAGTGAATTGCAGTGGCAATGTCTCGCTTAGATCGGCGGCCTAGCCTGCCCAGGTCTGTACCCCGAACGAAGTACGGTATAAATCTTTAGCACCCTGCAGAACTCTGTGTTGGCGCCTTTTCTCGACCTCAGGACTCCCCGTTGAAAAAAATGGCGTCCCTTCTCTCGACGCCTACAGAGATTCTTCGCATGATATTTGCGTCCCTATCGCACGGCGATCTTGTCGCGGTATGCCTTACGCATAGGGGCTTGCGATCTCCTGCCGAGCTATTTCTCTACGCCCACATTCAATGGACGTGGTCAGACTCCCAGCACCCTCCAATTGCTCAATTCTTACGAAGCATCGCTCAGAGGCCCGAGCTCGCAACTTATGTCCACGATGTGGTCCTCAATGGTGACAGTTTCAACAAGGGCGTAAATGACCCAGGAAACGAAAGCCCTAAAATACCGGTTACAGAACTTGTCGTGAATGAGCTAGTGGAACTTGTTGCAAGGATCAATGTTCCATATGCTGAAGAATGGATCCAAAAGCTACGCGCCGGATCGATGGACGCGTTTACCACTCTTTTCATATCACAACTCCACAATCTAAAACGTCTCTTCCTCGACAAAAATTACAACAGAGAGACCCGCCTCAGGGGCATGATGCTCCGGTCGGCACTCTGCGAGGAGTCCACAAATAGCTATCTTAGTTCTTTCGCATATCTTGAAGATGTGTCTGTAGAATCTGCCTGCCTTCACTACAATATTCGCCAGAAAACGGACACTAGAAACACACAAGACATTCTCCCTCTCTTCTACCTACCGTCAGTCAAACGGATCAGGGCTTTGGTCGATAACCCTGCTACTTTCGCATGGACCGGAAAGAATCCACCAAATCTACGGAGACTCAGAACACTCGACTTGACTATGTTGCGTGAAAAGCATCTTGGCCAAGTCTTATCGGTCACAACCAGGCTCCAGAAGCTTCAATGGGACTGGTACTACCGCGAAGATCTGGAAGATGATTCTGTCACCGGTATCATCGATTTGGACCAAATCGCCACGGGTCTATCTTATGTCAAAGAGACCTTGACAGACTTGACTATTACAGCCGGATCAGAAGGCTACAGAGGCGACCTTGAAGTGCCAGAGGTCCAATTCAGTGGATTGTTCAAGGTCTTTAGCGAACTTGATACATTGAAAAGATTGAAGGTCCCGATTCCGTTTCTGCTTGGATTTTCTCCCTCGGCGTCAAAAGCAAATCATTTGGCAGTTGCACTTCCTACAAGTCTTGAATGGCTGACTTTAACCGACTGCTTGTGTTACAATGAACAATGGATGTGGCAATGGGAGACTGACTACCTTTTGGAGGCTATTCGATCATGGCTTCAAGATTGGAAGAGACACACACCTAATCTTCAGGGATTTTGTCTGTTGGGAAGTGTGATGAAAGCGCAAGATTGGCAACCTGACATGATACAGGGGTTAAGAGATTTAGGAACCCAGTCCGGAATCGAGGTTCAAATAACTGACATTGAACCCAGGTGGTCAGGTCATATGCCGCGAGATCTCCAATTATGATACAGTACCAACGATTCAGCAGCCAATATTTATCTAGATCACTATCCAACATACAGTTATTTCTTCTTCCAAAATTCTCTAACGTCACCACACAACTGAACTTGGTCGTTGCTAATCGGCCCTCCAGCAAGGGCTTCCAGCGTGTAGGGGCTCAACAACGTTTCGATATTCATGAGTATCATCTTCACCTCTGCGATGAACCTATTGCAACCCCAAATATCCTGTGCATTCGTTTACTGGTTTTTGAGAAGGCCAAAGCTATGAGCAAATTGGTTCCTTACTAATTTCCGGTTCTAGGTATATGGGTCTGTTTGTTCCCAGCCACCGTCTTTTCGTTTGACCCAAACCCCAATTCTCGGTCTTTCAGCTTTCAGCGGCTTGCGAGGAATACCTACTTCTTTATAATATCAATGGGCTGACATAGGTTCTGCACAATTGGCATTGTTCTTGTGGCGTTTTGACAAAATCGAGCACGTCTTTAGAGCGTCACCGACTACTGTGTTGCCGCCTTCGAAATTATAAAAGAAATGAGGCGCTCCCTTCATAGAAGAGGTAAGGATAATCTCATTGCCCCAGGCCAAGTTTCCCATGGCCATGGGCTCTGCTATGTCGCCTTTCCCGTACCGTTTTCGGTCCGCCACCATTTCATCGACCGCATCTCGAGAAATTTGCCAGAGCTGCCCGTCGGAGATTCCGGAGATTTTTTTACCGTTCTTATCTTCCGAATAAATGACAGTATCTGCGAAAAAGATATGGCTGCCGTACTGCCAAGTGTGTATGATGTCGGTTGCCATGTTCCCCTTCAGGTCCTCGGGCCAATTTGTTGCAGCACTATGATTGAGTAGTCTTTACAGTAGTCTTTGCAGTAGTCTTTGCAGTAGTCTTTGCAGTAGTCTTTGCAGTAGTCTTTGCAGTAGTCTTTGCAGTAGTCTTTGCAGTAGTCTTTGCAGTAGTCTTTGCAGTAGTCTTTGCAGTAGTCTTTGCAGTAGTCTTTGCAGTAGTCTTTGCAGTAGTCTTTGCAGTAGTCTTTGCAGTAGTCTTTGTAGTAGTTTTTGTAGTATTGGTGAGATATAGATATATGGGCATGCTCCGTACATATCTATACTTCACTTTCTATCACAATTTTATATAAACACACCTGATAGTCGCGTTTTTACGGGTATTTTAGTAGGATATCTCTACTATATAAGAAAATCTACCTCTCTATTAGGGACTGTGTTTTCTAGGTCTATCGGGATTAGAGACCCGATACACTTGCCAATCGTGCAACTGGTATACAGCGCTCTCGCGGTGTGTGGGCCTAATTTTGTCCGAGGCATTCCAATGACCTTTGGATGACTAAAATACTGCTTAGCAACCTTATATCCATGGATTCCAAGGTTATCCAATGAGAGAGTTAAGGTCCGATGGCATACTTAGGTAGTCGCCCGTAGGGGTGAGGTGCCGCCGACTAAGAGGGCAACGGAGCTTATTTTTCTATAGAAAACCATATCACATTTGGCCCATTTCCATCAACTACCTCTGGTAGAGAACTCGGGATCATTCTTCAGAAACATCCAATTATCAGTTTCGTGAGCATCATTTCTCTGGATCATTATACGTCTGAAGAGAATCTGTCGCTATTCGCAAGGTGTAGGGGTCGGATTATCTGCTGTCACACCCCGTTCAACGAAGCTAGCTCACCACCACGGCACCTTTACCCGCGCATCGAAAGTCCATTATGTCGACCAGCGATGACGGCATGCGGACAAAAATTCTGGTTCCGGATGATGCAGTAACCCTACAAAACTCTGGGCTGGCCAGCTCTCCTTTGTCTGATGGAACACGTCGCATTCATAAACGACGTTTGAACCAATCTAGCGATGAAGAAGAACAGCATCTTCCGCTGACCCCCGTATTGATCTCCTCAAGCTCCGATTCCTTTGTCAGTATCCCGGATCATCTCGTCTCTTTGGCCGCACTCGAGCATCTGGGCTACAACTCGGAAACTGCCACTCGTATCTGGGAGTATTGGAATAACTGGCCACCTGGGGAGCCCAAAAGGGAGACTGATAACACTGATAATGGTGTTCTCTTTATTGACGTCGCCGAAGGTCACCTTGATAATTCTCCCGATACCTGCGCAGAGAATGATGTCGAATGGTTGCACTGTATGAATTTGTATGGGATTAATCGTGAGCTTCAGGAGGCAATTATGGATCCCAAGTTCAAGTCGATCCGCCTAACCGAGTCATGCAAGTTCTTGGTTCGGGACACCTTTCAGTTACGCAACCGAGCCCTCCAGGCGGTACAAGAAGCTTCCCGTGAGCGAGATATGGCTAGTCGGCGGGAAGCTTCCCAACCTGGACAAAGCAGTTCTGTTAGATCTGGACAGTGGTCGATTTCAAATTCTTTGAGAATGGTCCCTTGGTTATCGTGTGAAACCGCTTTGTCGGAAGCTGCAACAACTGCAGCCTTAAGAGCACTGGGCCATACAACTATCTACAAGGGAATTGACCAAGCTAGTATCACAGGATTATTCGACGATAATGGCAACGCAAACTTCGGATGCCTTGTCTCCCCACCACGGTGTGATTTCTCCGGAAGACAGGCCGATCTCTACTTCGCTGCTGACCGAGAAGTGGCCGAACATTATGCTTGCTATATCAAGCGCCGCAGTACGTGCAGCGGGGTTGTTATTATTCACGCTAGCATCCCGAATTCGGTCATGGAGTCCCTCTCTGCACCCGATATCCAATTTATCTATTGGCCCAGCGCAGAATGGAAGTCGCTCATCTTTCATTGTCGACAGGGGAAAAAGCTCCCCTCTGAACTCCAGAAGTACAAACTTGCTAAGCTTGTAATTGGAACCATTTGTGGCAAGCCAAACGCTGTTATTGGCAGGATGCGGTCTCCAAATGAAATCACGGAGCAAATGGTTCACAAGACTAGCGATGGAGGCAACGCCGTCCAGTACGTGTTCAAAGGAGAAGATGGAGATATTTTGTTGGAGGAGTCCAGCAGTGTGACTGTGTTCCCCTTGACATCACGACAGTTTGAGGCCTGGCTTGAGCGCGTCTTAGTTGCTTTCGCGGAATACCAATACTTGCTCCCCACCGCGACATCGCTTATATGTATTTCTTAGGCTATCAATTATCGAGTCGATTGCTGAGCATTTCTGACTGTTCATGTAGCTGGTAGTGTAAGCCCAAGTCACAGGTCTATCCAATAGTTACCTAGCTCAGGTCGACGCTAGATAGGCCTGGTAGAACTAGCCTTTTGGGTATTCCGAGCTTAGTAGAGAAGTTTCTAATTCAGGGATACCTATAAAATAAGGTCCAACCTTGGAGGATTCCTAGGGATAATTCTATTCACCACCTCATTTGCTAACAAGAGAGGGAGCGAGGACGATGTGATCAACTGATATGTGACTAACCCGCATAAAGCAATGCAAAGGTATAATCAATATTGTGACGAAAAGCCAGTCACGCTCCATGTTCTATAATTATTTCCGAAACCCCGTTTGTTTGGATGGATTTGCTCTCCGACAATCCTTCCATTTTAACGGGATGTGACTGTAATTCACCAGCCCGCCGTTTACAAACTAAATGTCAAGTATAATTCGCCAAGTCCCCAATATGTATCTGGGGGAAAATACTACACAGCGTAAAATGTACAAAGTACTTGTGCTCAGATAGATCATCCTACTATAGTAACCAGGGGCATCTTGGCTAACGTCATCGCCCGGTGAGAGTAAATCGCAGAGGTCTAAAGATGGCGGTGATAGGCTCAGGTCTGAAATGATTCCCGATGCGGATTTGATAGAGTGGAGGGATGAAAAGAGGGAGTGTGGGGCTGTCAAGAGGAAGTTGGGTCGGTTTAAGAAGTAGTTAACGGGTTGAGTAAGGGTTTTGTAGATCGAGATGTTTGGGTTATTATGTATTGTATTTGGGGTTCTATATGATGACTTATGCGAGGTGATTTTTGGGAAGTTCCCATTATAGACCAATGAGAATATTCTAGTTGATGTCATTCTGCGGAATTTAATACTAAGTTTATAGAAGAATAGAAGGGTAGAAGATTAGAAGAAAATCCCAGAGCTCGGAGGGTTTCCACGTGTGGCCCCTTCGGCATCCAAAAGTAGCTCCGACGAGCCGATGCCGTCAATGTTTTTAATTGCGCAATGATTTCATTTTGTGTTTTCATTTGTTTTTGTCTGATCTAAACTATTATAAAATATGATAACCCTTAGAATTTCTACTACTTTGTCGCGCAAAGCGCTGACTGCTTGTCGACCTCGACTCTTCCTCGGAGTTCGCGCTAACGTGCGCCCCTCGCAAGCATTCAGTACCAGCACCAACACCAGATACTCCATAACTGCGCCATCACAACCTCTAGCTCCTAAGGTTGAGCGCGGCGGCTCAAAGCTCTTCAAAGATGCCGATGCCGCTGTCGCCGACATCAAGAGCGGATCAACGATCCTTAGCTCTGGGTTCGGTCTGTGCGGAGTCGCAGGTACGTGGCGGAGTAACCAGCGCGAGAAATAGAGAAGCTGATGCACAGTATAGAAACCCTCATTAATGCTATGCGCCGCCGAGGCGCCGATCAATTGCACTCCCTGACAGCCGTTTCGAACAATGCCGGTTCTGCGGGCAAGGGAGGCCTTTCGACACTCTCGCAGAACGGCCAGATCAACCGTCTGATCCTTTCATACCTCGGGAACAATAAAGCGCTAGAGAAGAAATATTTGACGGGACATATTGCTATTGAACTTTGCCCACAAGGCACTTTGGCTGAACGTCTTCGTGCTGGGGGTGCGGGAATTCCGGCTTTCTTTACCCCAACAGGAGCCCGTATGTATAGATTCTCCTCAGGTTATATTCGGTCGCTGACAAGCAAAGACACGTTTATCCAGGAGGGAAAGATCCCTGTTCGCATGGATGAGTCTGGTAAAGTTCTGGAGTCTGGAAAGCCGCGCGAGACCCGAGAATTCAACGGCAAGACATACCTCATGGAAGAAGCCTTGACTGGAGATGTAGCTATCCTCAGAGCCTGGAAAGTGGATGAGGCAGGTAACTGCGTGTTCCGGTGAGTTATATGTATCTGTCAGTACGTTCCCGAATCTGCATACTGACATTGGTTAGATATACTACCAAAGCATTTGGCCCTATCATGGCCAAGGCCGCAACTCTGACCATTGTGGAGGCGGAGAACATTGTCCCGGTTGGCTCCATTGATCCTAATGATGTGGACTTACCGGGGATTTTTGTGGATCGGATCGTTCCTGCCACGGACGAAAAGCACATTGAAAACAAGAAGTTGCGATCGGGCGAGTCCAATGTGGCTGAGTCGGCTAAAGACGCAGCTCAGATCCAAAGAGAACTCATTGGTCGTCGGGCGGCCAAGGAGCTTAAGCCGGGATTCTACGTGAATCTGGGTGTTGGGATTCCTACATTGGCACCGTCCTTCCTACCAAAAGATGTGAAGGTTTGGATTCAGTCTGAGAATGGAATTTTGGGAATGGTAAGTTTCTTAAAATTTTCAAATATTTTCACTGGTCTAACAAGATTCAGGGGGATTATCCCACCGAGCAAGAATTGGATGCGTAAGTTTGTTCCCAGATGCGATGGCCTATACTCTCACTAATTCACACTAGCGATATCATCAATGCTGGAAAAGAAACCGTAACTTTGGTTCCTGGAGCTGCCACATTCGACAGCACCGAGTCCTTTGGTATGATCCGCGGAGGTCATGTGGATGTGTCCATTCTCGGCGCTCTGCAAGTGAGTGCCAACGGAGATCTGGCCAACTACATGATCCCCGGTAAGGTGTTCAAGGGTATGGGAGGAGCAATGGATTTGATCTCGAACCCCGACAAGACTAAGATCGTGGTGGCCACGAGCCACGTCGCCAAGGATGGATCGGCTAAAATTGTCCAAAAGTGCAGTCTGCCACTGACTGGTGCCAATGTGGTCAGCACGATTATCACCGACCTAGTAAGTGCGAAAAAGAAAAAGAAAAAAAAATTGATTGAAGCAAAACTGACAAAAGTACAGTGTGTCTTCCAGGTGGATCGGGCTACTGGAAAGCTTACACTGACGGAACTTGCTCCCGGTGTTGAAGTGGAAGAGGTGCAAAGAAAGACGGACGCCGAGTTCATTATTGCCGATACACTTGAAATTATGGAGTAAATAGCCGTGCAGGAGATATATACCCCGCTAGACCCTGAATATTGGGAGTTGGAAACAAAGATCTTTGTTTCTTCTCTTTTCTCTTCTCTTCGAAGCCAAGATTTATATTTACTACTTTACTTCATTTAACTCCTTATATTTCCAAAGTTCTAAGTTCATAAATTAGGCAGACGTGTTTTTTTCGGAGTACTGCGGATTACTGCAGGGACTAAGGGTCTGGCCATTATAAAATAAGCTAAAATAAGCTCACCTGTGCCCAGCCCTTGGAATTCTTTGAACTTGGGATTGCAATTTTCAACTTTTCTCATGACATTTCATCCATCTACTCTGGAGTCCATCCCAGAGAATGAAGCCATTTTCTTGGTCTCTGACAAAATGATGGTATCGAAACCTTACACAAAACCAAGATCCTCTTTTTCAGTTTGGAAATGCTCCCACCCGGACTGCATTGCAAATCCATGCTCCAAGAGAGCCATTTTCTGTCGGGGAGTGCAGCGACCTCTCTGGGCACTGATTTTTGTTATGTGCGTATCTGCTGTAGCCTACATTTCAGCCTGATTTGTTAGCTCCACACTTGAAACCCCCGTGCCTGAGCTAACAATGTCTCACTTTAGTGGCATCACCAATCTTCTCACCGTTGCATGGCAATCCATCGTTTATCTCATTCGACCGGATCTTGCGTTGGATTTTATCCCCAGTCAACGTCCCTCTAGGTTTTCCGATTGGACCACCCACGGTGTCAACCCCATACCATGCCACTCGCACAATGACTACTGGCGCCGTGTCCCACTACACTCGGCACTTCGTGCCGGATGCATCAGCGTCGAGGTTGACGTCTGGCCATGGGAAAATGAGATTCTAGTCGGTCATTCACGTTACACGGTCCTCCGGGGAACACTGCAGAGCCTCTATCTTGACCCGTTGCTGAAGATGCTCGACACACACAATGCACCTCCTCGCAACTGGCCGAAAACCATGAGCCAGGAGATGGTCGGGCTGTTTTCCAATGACCCAAGGCAGACTCTGACCTTGCTGATTGATTTCAAAACCGAGGGTGATCGGACCTGGCCTATTCTTCTCGAACAGCTGGACTCGTTGCGTGAAAAGGGTTACCTCACTCACTTCAATGGCTCTGATGTTATATACGGCCCAATCACTGTTGTCGCCAGTGGAGACGCTCCTTTTAACTTGATGTTGGAAAACGCGACCTACCGCGACGTCTTCTACGATGCACCTCTTAGCGACTTGGCATTTCCTACCGAAGTAACAGCAGATGACAAAAAACCAAGGTATTCCACTTATAATCCATCCAACAGCTATTATGCATCCGCAGACTTCCGCAAGGCTATTGGGTCTCTCTCTCTTGGCCGTCTGTCAGATGCTCAGCTCGCTGTTCTTCGGAGTCAAGTACATGCAGCTCATAAGGCAGGGTTAAAGGTACGATATTGGGGAACTCCCACCTGGCCAGTTGGATTGCGGAACTATATCTGGAGTGTACTTGTGCGCGAGGGTGTGGATGTGATAAATACAGATGATTTGCGCGGTGCAACTAAGCAGGACTGGAAGTCTCACCACTGGTGGAATTGGTAGCTACAATACAATTTGGAAAGAATTATACGTTGAATCTGAAAAAGTAACGGGGCTTGCCACGATTGTCATTTAGAACCCGAAATCAATATATTAGAGCACTTGAATTATATAGAAATTATGGCCACAATATGTACTCATAGAACCATCATAAACTCCGGGTTACGGTCATCATTATACCCTGCGTATTGATCATACTTACCCTTTCTTTTGTCTCGATTAATCTTTGCGCAGTAGAGCACATTAAGCAGGATCCTATCTAAATCAGTGATGACTCTTGAAGCAAAAAAAAAAAAAAAAACTCACATAAACCATGCGAACACTAACAACCCAAGGATAATGGTATGTCCCCGGTGGAAGAGGGGCCCATCGCGAGACGGATAGTTAAAAGCTATAGCAATGTTAGAGATCTACATAAAAAACTGAATTCAGTAGGTTGGCAACTTACTAGCAACAAATCCTCCGGCATTTGCAATTGCCAGCTGCATCGCTGATGTAGTGGCTCTTTTATAATGCCCCGCAGAGTTGTTTGACAACCACACCAGAATGCACGGTACACTGGCGTATTGGCCAGTTGCCATGAGGAATGTCATGCCATATTGAATATGAGGAGATTTAATGTTGGCGATGACTGCATATCCAATGATAGCGATTGGGAGAGTAAAGAGCATTACCACGCCTCGGAGACGGAGGCGATCAGAGATGATGGCGACAACGACTAAAAATGGGTGAGCATCTGATGTGAGATTGATTAACGGTAGACAGACCTGTAAGTACGGCTGCGACAGCATAAGGTATCACAGACCACAGTTGAACCTCGTTAGCATCTTTAGCGAAACCGAGGTTTTTGATAATTGTTGGCAGCTAGGAACTGTCAGTGACTTTGAGACGGACATAGAAACAGGGGAATCATACAAACAAGCCAAAGGAGTATAATCCAGAGAGAATGGCAAAGTAAGCCGAGGCAGAGAGCCACACTTGTACATTTAGCACACCTCGACGCACTTCGGACCATTTGAACACTTCTGCCTCAGGCGCCAAGGATCTGTCCGGGCGTTAGCCAAGCTTTATTGCCCAGAAGGACGGAAAAGCTTACCCTTCTAGTGATCCAGGCTTATCAAGCCTCAGTCTTTCTCCCCCGAATTCCTTTTCCTCCGCAGTCAAGAAAGACGCAGACTCCAAGCTATTTGGAAGGACAAAGAAACTCAATACTCCAGAAACAAATGTCTGATGAAGAGTTAGCCAAATTCCTTGTTTTAATAGCAATCACGTTCACATACCAAAAGTCCCTCGATAATTAAAATCCAGCGCCAGCCTTCTATGCCCCCTCGAGGCCCGATTTCGGCCAGACCACGAGCAAGGAGCCCTAATTTGTTAAAATTGATCGAGAAAAAAAAAAGAAATCGATGGTATATGTACCTCCAAATGCGCCCGACAGGGAAGCAGCTGTGTAGAACAAGCCAATCCGCAGGGCCAAATCGCCTCGTCTATAGAAAGAAGATAGATATAGAACCTTTTTTTTGTTAGTTATGACCAGTGTAAATTTCACTTCAAACATACCATGCCAGGGAGAAGACCTCCCTCCGCAATACCTAACAAAGCCCGGACGGCGACAAAACCAGCAAAATTTTGTACGAATCCTAGACACATGGTAATTATGCCCCAAATAGCGGTCAAGAACGGCAGCCAAATCTTTGGCGATGCTTTCTTAAGCACCAAATTACTCGGCAGCTCGCTTTCATATCAATTAGCCCTTGGCACCGAGTCTAATTGTATGAACAACACACCTGCAAATATAGGTGAGATAGAACACAGCCAAGCCGATATCGTATTGATGATCTGTAATCGAAAGGTCCGCTTCTAAACCGATAATCTTCGCATTACCGACATTCGTTCTGTCCAAAAATGACATGAGGAAAAGGAGTGCTAGTATGGGGAGAATACTGGAAATTATTAGCAAGCGTGTGGTAATTAATTCTAGTGCCGGAACTGACTGTATATCTAGCTTCCACAATATTTTCCGTGTCAATTTCTGCTGTTGCGCGTGGTCGCCATGTCGATCAAGGGGAGATGACTTCGCATTTTCGAGCTCTGCCACTTCTGACTTGGGTGGGTCCATGATCACCGATGTATGTTGTTGCTTGGCGACGCACGAACAATTTTTTTTCTCCTTCTGTCACAGTGTACTTCGTAGGGTGAAGGAAAAAGAGGAAAAGGATTTGAAAGGGATAGGTTATAAGCAGTCAGAAAACTCTCCCCTTCGGCTGGCATTTCTGGGTCCGAGCTCCTCTCAGCCCCAAACCAACCCTACAGACACACCAATGACAGGGATCCCTTGACATCGCCTCCGGGTGCTTTATTTCCCCGCGATCCCCGGATTTTGACGTGTTCTCCACTGGTAATATTACTGAAATATTTCGGACACATTACTGTTATATTACAATACTCCCGGTATCTTTCGGTGCTCACTTCTGAGCTCCGTTTGGTCCCAAACCTTCCGAGGTCGGGAAACAAGAATTGGTCTTAAATAACCGTTAATGGCTAAACATCCACACCCAGGACACAAGAGCTCATCACCCAACATGTCTAGACTTTCAACTAGCCTCAAGGCATTAATCAATGCACCTGCCGCCCGGCCATCCACTGTTCCTGCGCCAGCAAACATAACCTCGGTCTACCAAAAGATTCAACAGACCGCGCAATCCAAACAGATCTCACAGCCATCATGGGTCGCACTATCGGTAGGTTAACCCTTCCAATTAAAATTGAACGCGATCTAATATCAATGCCAGACTGCAGCAACAATGACCATGAACTCCCCCGAGTCCCTCGCAGCCCTCTACGAACTAGCTAGCGCCAATCCCGACAAACAAGTCGAAACCGCCGAGCTCATGCGCGAAGTCGGACTAAAATGCATTAGTTTCAACGGCATCCCACGAACTATAAACTGCCTCAACGCCTTCAAATCCAGCCTCCCAGACTCAGTCAGCGACCAGCTCTCCCGCACCCCCACCCGCGCCCCAACACCGGAGAATATTGCCGCGATTAGTGAACGCGGCCACGCACTCTGGGATTCTATTTATCGCCCATTCGAGAAGAAGCTATACAATAAACTGGCAGACTCACACCCTGACCTGCCGGTACACATCCTGCACAGTAACTATGGTGCCCTATTGTCTGATCCAGAGCGTAGCACTGGCGCATCTGCTGGTCGCATCCTGACATCTATTGTTGCTGTCGCGTGCCTGCGCGCTCAGTCTGGTGTGGGCCCCCAGGTTATTTCCCATGTGTTTGGGTTACGGAAGGCGATTGAGGATGGATCATGGGCGAATGATGTCGAGGGGGAAGAGGCTGCGCGGTGGTTGGCTAGTGATGAGGGGAATATGTGGATCTTGAATAGCGTTGATGCCATCGTTGAGGCCATTAGCCAGGGCGCTGGGTCGAACTTTGCTCCTGTGCGGGCGAAGTTGTAATTATAGAGAGAATTTATACCACATATCTTCAATATTATGAGTTCGCTCCGAAGTTCGTACTTTGGCATTGAGCCGGTTTATCCGTGCGGGCGAGGCGACCATACAACTGCGCTTATTCTTCTTCGGGTCCTCGGGTAGAAAATTGATTCGATACAAAGCTGCATGCCTATGAGGCGTGGTCAGCGCCTGATCGAAATCAGGCAACATGAGACCACCTAGTAGTATTTACGGGAAAAAAACCCGACATACAAGAAAGATGTTCGTCTTGATTCCGTGCTCATCACAATCCCCGCGCCAAGATGCAGTGAGCTCGCCTCACATTGATAACGTGCAGACAATTCCACCAATCGCCATGATACTCCTGTGATTATGCAGCGTAAGCTGCATAATTAAGTCAGGAGATACGAATAGCACCAATTCCATTGCTTTGTCACATACATTAAAAGACCCATTTCATCCGCTCATGCATAATTAGGTACCCTACGTGTTTGTGGCCCGAGCCAAATAAGTGAAGCTGCCGTGGACACTTAAACCAGGGCCCACCATGTCAATTTCAATCGGTGTTGGGCAATGGCGCCTGCGATCCGCGAGGTTACCCAGACATTCATCGAGGAGGGCACCACTGTTGTGCAAGTCGTTACTCTGAATACCAAGCCGTGGCCAACCTTGAACTTGGTTACATTCACAGTGACGACTCCACACACGACTGTCCTTCGGGTGATCGATACAGCAACTTCTGCACCTGACACAACCAATTCAGACAAAAGCAGCGGCTTATCAAATGCAGACAAAGGCACAATAGCGGGGTCTATTCTCGGTGCTGCAGTCTTTCTACTGCTCTTGTACTATTGTCATCTATGTCGTCTGCAGCGGACATCGACTCGGCGATCGGCAAAAATTCCACTTGACCCGAAAGATCCTGAAGCTTCAGACCCAGCACCACCAGATCCTTCTCCTACTGACAACCCATCGAAGAAAAAGAAGACCGTTACCATATCCTCTGATCTTCCTCGATACTTTCCTCCATACTCAGCCTCGAAGAGTACCAAGCCGATCATTTCACCTCTTGTGAGGATAACGACAGAAATGAATTTGCGCACTGGGCTGGAGACAAGAGCGGGAAGATTAGGACAACCGGTTCGCTTTTTGATTCGAGAACGGGAGAAACCGCCGAGGGTTAAGAAGCGCCGGAGGCATAGGCGTCGAAGCAAACACAAAGCAAAGGCTGATCAGCATTGATAATATTGTCTCCAATCCAAGATGGGGATTTGGAATGTTTGAAAGAGGCAGGTTATATCTATCCATTTCCCGTGGTTGTCGATTTTTGCCCCCGGAACATGGTCTTTATGTACATTAATTTATACCATTATACGGAGTACATATTCCCCTGAATCTGCAACTTCTGCCTACCTCCAGGTAGATAGGTTCCAACCAGTCAATGGCCGAAAACAGGAAGCGCAGCCAAGACGATCAGCATTGCAAGCCAACAGAGAACCGGGGGAGATAACAAAGAGGGAGAAGGGAGAACCCTCCAACTCCCACAATCAAGCAGGACCTAGTCCGAAGAACCAGGCGCCAACAGTGCGCTACTCAAGGGTCTTGCTGAGTACCATCTGCACTTTGTGAAAATCCGGCCACTCCGACAACTTCTTGATCCTTTTTCCATCCTCGGTCATAGTAAGCACGAAGACATAGTCAGTGCCATATGGACCAGCTTCTAATTCACCCTTGCTACTGCAAAGCATCTTCACGGTCCTTTTCCCTTCATCTGTGAACATCTCGTTGATGGTGATCTTGAACGTTTTTAACAGCTTGAAGAAGCTAGCTGCCCGTTCGTATGTTCGAAATCTGAAAGTATCAGCATAAACATTTCTTTTACTGCGCTCAAGACTTACTGTTCCCTATTCATTGGGAAAACACCCTCGACGTCTGGGTGGAGAGAGTAGTGAATGTCATCAGTCCACCTCGATACGACATTATCTAGCGAACGACTTTCTAGATCTGAGATCCAGCCAGCAGCGGTTTCTTCGAGAGTTGCTTTGAGAGACATGACGAGGGACACAATTTATTGTGAAGAGGGCAACCGTTTTATCCATACCTCAACTTATATACTATACTTTGGTAGTTATTCTAGAAAGGGGGATATTTGTCACTCGGGACATCAACTGGCCGAACTGCCGGGTCGGATCGCCTAGGTTCCCCCGTCCCGATGAGTGTCTTATCTTATAAATCAACCACTTTCCAGCCCCGGAGAGCTTCGAAATACCCACCAACGGGTGGAAAAAGCTGAATAGGAAGGAGGGCTAGTTTGTGGCGAGCGCAGGGGAAGTCACCCGCGGCTGGGGTATCGGTAACAGATACCGATTTTACGTTACAGCATGTATGGATGTTCCTACACTAATATATCATCCGAACAGTTAAAGATACAGATTCTACATAGTTGGAATCGCCCTTAAGATACTGTTTTATCTACTGCCTGGGGTATCGACTACAAGAGGACGCCCTTCATGTTACTTCAGTGCACCTTCATGAATATCACCTTTGAATATTGGCGGAATTGGCTCACTGCATAGATCTACTGCACAGACAAAATCCAACTGACGTGCCCAAATAGTCTCTTATCGGCCAAGAGACCAAGGGCAAGTGGCGGCTTTGGGAACCTTGGACGCTGCGTACTTTCCAAAAGGGAACTGGGCAAACAAATGTTTTGTGCAGATTGGGAAAGAGCAATAACATGTGACAATACAATCTGGGAATCAGGGAAGGGGCATGTGCTGAGAGTATAAGCCCCCCCTCGTCTATGATTCTTCCTCTCCAATCCCCTCGACCATCATCTCTCCGAGGCCCACATGAGACTGCGTAGATGAAGATTTCATAGACCAAAAACAGTCTCGATAGCTGGTCCGTCATTTGGTAGTGCAGACAAACCGAATACACACCTTGATTCGACGGGGCTATATCAGGAATACTGGCACATAACCCCGAGGTCGGACCGACCTCGGGAACTACCTAGCAACTTAATATTTAGTATCGAGGCTCATCGAAGTACAATGCGTGACTCAGTTTAATGAATGTCCACATAATGACCCCTTGGCCTAAGCCTTGGCCAAAGTAGTACTACTCTCTAAAGTCAATTTGACAACAGTTCAGTATGACATAGTCTTTATCCACAGTAATTGATCTATATATATCCCCATGGATCTGAGAATCGCACCTTGGTCTAGGTACATAGATAAGCCCCAACCAGTCAAAGTCTCGGGGATCAGCAATTCGGGGAGTGGAGTCTTTCGGAGGAGAGTTACTTTCTTCTTCATTTCCGTGTCGGGCACGAGAACGCATTCGGCAACAGGGCCGTAATCCCATCAACTCAACAAAACTAACAAACTTAACTTCTTTAACGATTCTCCATTCCAGCCCTCGGCTATTAATATACTAGGCAAGTTTCTAGAAACAAAAGATTTGATCCGTCATCTTCGCAATTACCCTGGTTTGGCAATGCTCAGCGCAAAAAGATTCTTTTTAGTGGCATTGACCATTCCGGGCGGCCCACATAGCATCACCTTAGTGTCCGGCGATAATGCAGGGAGCTGCTCCGCCAGAACTGTCCGGTCCACATATCCGGACCCATAAGTCCAGCCCTCCGGCGCAGAGTCCAGTATATACCGCAGCCTGAAGTTCTTTGCGTATTGGCGTGCGAACCGTTCGAGTTCCCCGCACAAGAGAATATCAGACTCGCTGCGGTTCGCGTACAACAAGCTAACTTCTGTGGTGCCGGTGTCGTTCTCACAGATTGCCCGGATAAGTTGGTACATGGGCATGACGCCTGTACCGCCGGCCACCATGCCGATCTTGCGAAAATGACCCTTTGTGTACCACATAGCGCCCTTAGGCCCGCGGAATTCGACTTCGTCACCTACAGTCAGGCCAGCCAGATACTTTCCGCTCAGTAGGCCGTCCGGATAGCATTTGATCGCGAGTTCAATGCGGCCCCGGTCGATGTTGTTTGAGGTAGGGGTGTATGAGCGAGTGACAGTCTTTTCATTGACCACGGCACTAATAGCAACGTGTTGGCCAATGGGTAGACCCAAAAAGTCTGTGGTAGTTGGCAGGGCAAACACGAATGTGATAGGAAGGGCGAGTTTTCATTCCAATTCCACGATGGTTGCTAAACATTTCTACCTGCCGGGCGAGGCTATCACCTCAGCGCGCCCAATCGAGGTAGAGACAACAGTCGACTACCAAGGGCTTCAGATCCTCATTGCTGATCAATTTGCCATTGTTGACCCAAATGGTAAGTTTTTATCTCATTACCTCTGATATCATTCTAACTCAAAATTTAGCCATCGGATTCCAGTCAGAGGAGTCGATGTTGTGAACTCACTCGGAGATCCCTGCTAATGAAGAGCAAATTGCCATCTCAGTAGACGGTAAGGCAGTACGGGAGATTCCTGGTCCTACTGCCATTCGTGGAAAACTTCTTCGAGATCTACCCTGATGACCTGGGAAACCACCAGCGTCTATTTGACCAATCTGGATCCATCATTCAAACCAAAAATATGGGCTGGACAGTATATCATACTAATGACCCCAAGCTATCGGCCATTGCTTTTGCCGAGTCCGATTTTTTCACCAAGAAGATCAGCGAGGCACACCCTTTATACTTGATTAAAAACCAGCAGGCCAGTGTAATTTTGGGTGACACCGATATACCCGAACAGCGTGCAGCACACAGGTCCCTCCCACCGGCACTGGGGCCGAAAGCAGTGGTCTAATCCAGCACAGTTTGACCCGGATCTTTGGGATACGGCGGACGTGAAGAACCGTCATAAGACCACATATATTCCCTTCGTTGCTAGATAACGTATGTGCATTGGGTTCAGCTTTGCCTTGCAGGAAGTAAAATTGTTCTTACCCAAGTTTTTGTCGATACAAATTTACAAAAGAAAATGATGGGCCGGTTGAGTATGATCTCATGTTCCAGTTGATCCAACCTATCAACTTGTATGTGCGGGCGGAACAGCGAGTGAAATGGCCTCTAAAGACTGAGTGATAGCTGTAGTTGAGAGAATATTTGTACATAATGATTGTTTTTTATATCCAAAAAAAGAGAGGTCAGTATACTTCGAGATATCTTCAGCGATCCAAAAAAAGGTTAGCTCCGGCATTAAGTCCGAATATTTTACACCGACGTCGGAGTTATAAGGTGATAAGTGAATTTGTGTTTCACCTTGTTTTTTCTTTCAACCATCTGATAATCTAATAATGGAGAACGAATCGCGACCCACGCGTTACATGGCCCATGTTCTCGAAGAGCTGGGCCTACGCACCATGTGGCGATCGTCGCTGGACGTGAAGCTTCTCTGCGCGCAACGCTTCGTGCGCCTCTTCGCGTACGGCGGTTCGACCTTAATTCTAGTATCGTATCTGTCGGCCATGGGGATTTCAGATGATCGAATTGGCTTGTTTATGACCCTCACGCTGGTCGGAGATGTGGTGATTAGCTTCTTCCTCACCCTATTTGCTGATGCTATGGGTCGCAAGGCGGTGTTGTCACTCGGGTCGATCCTTATGGCAGGCAGCGGAATTGTTTTCGCGTTGTTCGGAAATTTTTGGATTTTACTGGCGGCTGCAGTCTTTGGTGTCATCAGTCCGAGGTTTGCTTTTTTTGCTTCTTTCTTATATTCCTACCTTGGCTAATTTTACTTAGTGGCAATGAAATTGGTCCGTTCCGCGCCATCGAGGAATCCACTTTGGCTCATCTCACACCGCATGAACTTTTGAGTGATGTTTTTGCTTGGTATTCCTTAATTGGCACTGCTGGTTCGGCCACAGGCATGCTTGTTTGTGGTTGGATCATTAATTCTCTTGAGTCAATCCACGGATGGGCCTTCATTCCCGCCTGTCGTATCATTTTCTTCGTCTATGCCGGCGTTGGCGTCGTTAAGCTGATCTTTACTTTGGGCCTGAGCGGAAAAGTCGAGGTCCAAAAAGAAGAGCCACAGGAGCAGAGCTCTGAAACCCGACCGCTGCTGGCAGAACAAGCCGCACAGGATGTCGAGCCCCCAAAGAAGAAGGGACTATTTTCGTCTATCGAGAAGGACTTGTGGTCGCTGGTTATTCGTCTCTTCATCCTATTCGGAGTGGACTCGTTTGCGTCTGGATTGGCGTCATTGTGAGTGTGATCCCAGTTTTTGTCGGCTGCAATGCTAATTTATCAGGTCCTGGATGACCTACTTCTTTAGGGGCAAGTTCAATCTGCCTGAAGGCGAACTCGGCACCATCTTCTTCACCACAAACATTATTTCCGCAGTATCCATGCTGGTCGCCTCATCTCTCGCGAAGCGAATTGGTAATGTCAAGGTAAGATATTTTTCCAAGTCGGGTACCTGAGCGACTTCTAACCTTTTGATAGACTATGGTGTTCACTCATTTACCGTCCGCGATCTGCCTGGCTCTCATCTCCGTCCCATCCAGCCTGCCTTTGGCACTGACCTTCTTGGTTCTGCGAGCCTGCACCCAGAACATGGATGTGGCGCCTCGCTCCGCATTCCTCGCTGCAGCTCTGCCGGCAGACAAGCGCACTGCTATCATGGGCGCGGTGAATGTCGTGAAGACTACTGCCCAGAGCATGGGTCCTCTGTTGACGGGTATCCTGTCGCGTAATGGCCACTTCGGTGTGTCCTTCATCATTGCAGGATGCTTGAAAGTGGTTTATGATCTTGGCATGCTGTACAGCTTTGCTGGAAATGAGGCTGCCCGTCGGAAACAGGCAGCTCAAGACGCCAGCGAAGAGACAAGTTAAGAGTATTACTTGGGGAATCATGGAGACGACTTGTCAATAAAGTTGCTGCACTCATTCAAGAAGTACCACATTGTCTTGCTGTTTGAGAGGTTGATGTGAGTTAAAATAACCTAGAATATCATTTTATTTGATGCGTAGACTTGGATGGGATCTTGATGACACCAAAAACCGCTCTTTACCTAGTGGCTTCTGCGTTTCGGTCATAACTACTAGTTATAGCCCCCAATTTATACGACCTTTCAGATTCCGCCGCAGCTTCAAAAAATGACGCGTTGCGTATAATCTCAATCTACAATGCAATAGTATTAGTGAAAATAGCCGCATTGAGAAATCTTCACATAAAAATGAACTTTTGATTGATATAGTATGCACAGGTAATTCCAATTCATAAAACATGAACCAAAGGATCGGATATACAACCTAAAATCGGCTCTAAACAAAATGAGGAGCCTTGTTTCGCAAAACAGACAAACGTCGACGTGATGTCGCAGTGTGATTACCCGCGGTGGTGCCATTGATATGCAGCGTAACATTTGAGTGTGCAGACTGATAGTTGCCAGTGACATTATGCGAGGTCCTATTCTTCAACAACTCCATCATCTGATGAACCATCTGCTCGCTCTGCGCATGGCCTGCATCATTAACACGTCCCTCCTGCACCGGCTCACGCTGGGTCTGCGCAACCTGGGACGGACGCCAGGAATCTGATTCTGACCCAGGCGTCTGGATATTATTAATATCTTCGACGGAAGTCTGTTTCTCAGTGTGCACAGGCGTATCGGGCTCAGCAGTAGGCATGGACTGCTTGGTATCTGCTTGCTTGTTCTCATTTGTCTCCGACGTAGGAATATTCTCATCGTGGAAAGGACTGTTGCTGTCGCAAACAAGGTCCACCCAGACCTGGGTGTAAGCGACAAATTTGCGCGGCTCGCACTGACTAACTTCAACGCCGTCTCGAATCTCTTTGGTGATTAAGGGCGGGTCGATACACCCTGGGACCTCGTGGACGGTGATGTTGCAGCCGCTGCCACCTTCTAGAAAGGGGAGGTCGTGGCTGTGGGAGAGGAGCTCTGAATCGACGGAGATGGCGCTAACGAGATTGCGCTCGTATGAGGGGACGGCGAAGTTTTTGCAGCTGCCCTCGGTGATATCTTGGGATGGGGCAGATTCTTGGTAGTTTTCGTATGTGTCGAGCTTGCTAAATGCCTCGCCGGGGCAGTTTGGGTAGAAGTGTGTCCAGACACGGGCAATACTTTGGGCGTGGATTGTGCCTGATAGCAGGGATAGAGAGATAAGTGATGTTGCAAGGGAATGCATAGCTGGTGGGATTTTGATATCTGCGAACGTATAGATTTTGATGATCAGATTGAAATGTGTGATTGTCAAGCACAGGTTGTAAGACAATTATCTCCTGCTCTTATAATATACATAGTACGCCCTATCGCCTTTCTCATTCCGTAGTTGCCGCACTGCAGTAATGGGATGGCGGGAAAGAATGACTGGAATGACTATGATACTGAACATGAAACGCGTCTAAAATTTTAATAGACCTTCTGTATCATACTCAGGGGCTGGCAAGTGTCATTAAATCGAATCTTCTCTCAATCGGGTGGCTGACGGCACATTCCAGTCGGAAGGGGTCCATATGATGTCGATCTAGGATCATGCGTGGTATGTGTGTACCCCTTATACATTCCACTGAACCGCCGTGGGCTTCTCAAAAGGCTTGGAAATTCCTGATAAACACTCAATACTGTAATGCTATTCGACCATTCTACATAGATAAATGGTAGGTCAAACATAATTGGTGACTTGAATGTATGAGGTTGGCGATGATCATTCCGCGGGAATTTTATTGGCCCTGACAGCTCGAATTGACAGCTTGTTGATGCTACTAGATTGCAACGCGAATATGTGATTATAATCCAGCCAAGAACTCAAGCCTATAAAGGAAGAATGGGTTTGATTATACATAGATTGCACACACAACAAAGTGACCACCACCCAATACACTTATCGCAGGAACCACCACACGGTCGTAAGGTCTGAGCAAAAAACTCCCAGTCTTTCTAAAGACCAAGTTTGAAGCCACCCCAGCTTAGAGTGGAGAAAACTCCAGCGGGATCATAAGAAGATCTGATCTTTCTCATAAGAGCGACGTTCTCACTGGGGAAACCCGCGTACGGATCTTGCCACTCACCAGCGTCACCCATATAGATGAACTCGGAAGCAAGCCCTAGGTCTTTGTTGATACCGTGAAGGTGCTCGACCAATTGACGAGACCAAGCTTCCATGCGGATATCATCCTGGGCTAGCTCCCAGCCAGTACTGAATTGCCAGACTGTAAAACAATGGTAAGTTCAAAAAGCGAAAACGAACGAACGCTGGAAGAACTTACTAATTAGAGGTTCTTCTTCGAGACCCCAAACGTTGCCAACACCGTTAGTCTTGGCTACGCGAACTGAGCTCGGGGAAATGACATTTGTAACAAAAGTCGGGTAAAGGCCCTGGACATCGGCGATCTTGTCAACTGCGGCTTTCCAGGCTACGTAAATCGAGTAAAGAACCTTCGCATCAGGTTTCATTGTCTTGTGGGAAAATTGGACACTGAATGGTTAGTGAACTGGAAATTCCAATATAGTTGAGATTACATACCGCATCATCTGCTTAGGGGAGTCTAGAGTATCAGCCCACGGCTTTATAGTGGTGACATTGTTAATTCTTTCGATTGCTGGGATCTTGGTAAAGTTGGCGAACTGAGACGGGGGTCTGCTGACACCCTCCTGGACACCGAGAACAGAGCCTTGTGCCACCTTGGTAGTCGCATTGTAGGTGATAGTGGAGATCATGCCCGCAGCAATGGGATCTTTTTCATCCAACTTGGCAGCCTCACAGACAGCAGAAAGATACTGGGGAATGTTTGTCTCGTTGAAAACCTGGATAGTGGTGCTGACCTTAGGAACAGCATAAGTCTTCAGTTCAAATCTGGTGACTATTCCAAAATTATTTGCACCACCCTTCAAAGCCCAGAAGAGGTCACTGTGTGAGGACTTGTTGACGGTAATCTGAGTTCCATTTCCAAGAACGACATCGTAGGCGACCACATTGTCCATGGCGTATCCATACTTATTGTTGAAGTAGTGGAAGCCACCGATAAGACTGAGTCCGGGAACACCAATGGTCTTCATACGGCCGCCGATACAGACACGGCCATGAGGGTCAAGTGCTGAGTATACCTGGTACCAATTGAGGCCAGGGCCAACCTCCACAGTGTTGCTTTTCACATTGATGGAGTTCAGATTCGACAGAGCAATCAGAACTCCAGCATCAATGTTATTAGATCCAGGATAATACTGTAGAGTTAGTGTTATTCCATGTTTGGTACTACCATCTCGAATATAAACTTACGTTCATGTGACCTCCACCACGAACAGCAAACTGTGCATCGCAGGCACTGATAATCTTGACTGCTTGCGACACTTCAATAGCAGTATTGGGCACAAAAACACATGCAGGAGAAAGATTTGCCCGAATATCCCAGTAGTTATCAACGGTCTGAGTTGTGTAATTTGCCGAACCAGGAAGGATGACGCTCTTTGGCATAGACCGAGAAAGCTTCGCGCAGGCACATGAAACTCCCTTGGGAACTTGAAGATCACCAGAAGAAGTGGAGAGAAAACCTGTTACAGTTGCCGAGGCACTCGCACTGCTCAAATTGGCATATGCAAGGCCTGAGAGGGACAGCCCGACAAAAGGGAGGAGAAGATACATTTTGATTGTTGTAAAATCAAATCTGTGGTCGATGCTTCTTAATTAACCGTAGGGGACGATCCCTTCTTATAGAAGTTTGCGATTCTTCTGGTTTCAGACTTCATGGTATCTGTGCCCAGGATAGTTTCACTCCAGTCAACAGTGAAACTAATTCTCTTTTGGTGTTCTCCATGATGATCACGGCAAGGGCTCGTTTTCGGATCAACAGTTTGGATACTCCCAATTGCTCCACATGAGTTAAACAGAAACAGGGCTGAGTCTTGTTCAGGCAGAATAATTGACATTTTAACTGTGGCTCTAGGCATCTGGATAATTCTAAGCTTATCATCTTCACCGAACCACATTAGAAGACACAAAGGTGTACGGAGATCAGATGCTGGATAATACGAACCCGAGTACGAATAATTACTAAGTTACGAACCCGAAGTTTAGCACCAATCAGGGATCGATCTTTTACTCTTATTCGGACTTCGGGTTCGGATCTTTGATCTTCAAACATGAACAGTTTTGGCGTTTGAAACGGTAAGTTTAAAAACTGATATGTTTTCAACAATGCCTAAGCAAGTAGATTTTAATCTGCAGCCTAGATTCTATGGCCTTACACTAAGCCACAATCTATGTCCCATACTCAAAAGAAGCTTTTAGGGACAAGCCTGTTTACATCTTCTCGGATTCCAACCCGAGTACGTGAACTCACCAAAATAGCTTTCCAGGGCGCAATACTAGATCTTGCAGAAAATTGGTAGAAGTGAAATTGATACATAGATATAAAAGAGTACGTCAATCTCTAACTACATGTACTCTATTATTCATAGTCAACATAGCTTTCAGCTTTGATACTATTCTTACTATTCAATTACGTCTTGCCCTTGATTTAATCCAGACCACCGAAGCCATGGAAAACGACTCCACATTCACTCTCTACAACTATAACCCGTCGGGAGTTGCGGCGATCATCTTCGTCGTTCTCTTTGGATTAACCACTTTGGTGCACATTTTCCAAATGATCCGGAGCCGTTCATGGTTCTTCATTACTTTCATTATCGGAGGAATCTGTAAGTATATACCCTATTCAGTAACGAAGAAATTAAGCTAACTTGGGTATAGTTGAAGCTGTTGGTTACGTCGGTCGCTATCTTAACTCGCAAGAAAGTCCCAATTGGACAACAACCCCATATGTCATGCAATCACTCCTGCTCCTCATCGCGCCAGCATTCTTCGCTGCATCAATCTACATGATCCTTGGCCGCTCGATTACTTCCACGGGTCACGACTCGCTTTCTCTCATCCCAGTCAAGTGGCTGACCAAGATCTTTGTCTGCGGAGATGTGATCTCGTTCCTCGCCCAATGTGCTGGTGGTAGCTTTCTTTCCTCCGCAAAGACCCTGTCCAAAATCACTCTCGGACAAAACATCATCATCGCCGGTCTTTTCATACAGATTGCCTTCTTCGGGGTTTTCGTTGTTGCTGCTGGCGTGTTCCATTACCGACTCTGGAATTCCCGTGACTACCTGCCCATATCTTCTATCAAGGTGCCCTGGCTGAAGTGCTTCTTTGTCCTATACACGGCTAGTCTGTTCATCATGGTCCGGTCTATCTTCCGTGCCATTGAGTATATTACAGGTACAGATGGTCCGCTCATGTCAACGGAGGTGTACCTGTATATTTTTGATGCTGCTCTGATGTTCCTGACTATGGTTACCTTCAACATCTTCTCTCCGAAGGCATTGGTGACTTCTCGATCGGCTACACGTGACATTGAGTCTCGAGCGAGTAACAGTGAAATGGTCGATATTAGAAATGTAAAATGAAAGGGGAGGAAAAGAGCCTTGGAAAGTACCTTCTAAGGTTGTGTACCTACCTGTGTACCAGGTAGGTACACAAGGTACTTTGTACCATGGAATGATATTTTTAGATCAACGTTATTTTGTGGGCCGGAGGCATCTACCTTCCCAAGGTTAAAACATAGCATTTGAAATTTTGGAAGAATTTTTTTTTTTTGATCCTCTGAGATATATGTGTATTGCAAATAGTATCTTGGAATTTATTTAAGCACGCCCTCTCTATCCTGTATTTATACATCCATCTCGACCTGTACAGTTTCACTCAGGGGCTTTTAATATGGGCCCTCGACGGTCGCACAAGAAGTCTAGAAACGGCTGCCGATGGTGCAAAGCCCGCAAGGTAAAAGTGAGTGACTCCAAAGATAATAGTGAACATATCTACTTAATTATCTAACACGATCAAAAGTGCGATGAAACCAGGCCGCATTGTAACAACTGTGTCAAGCACGGAATCCAATGTCTTTTTGACGAGGGTCCAGGGTCCGCCAGGCAGTCAGGGTCTCCTTCAATTCTCAGCACTTCCAGCGCCCAAAGTCCCGTCTGCTCAGGGGAGAACACCCCACCAATGGGCATGCCCGAGATGGCTCTACTCCACCACTTCTCTACTTCAACCTGCTATACAATTTCACGTAACCCAATTTTGCACACAGTATGGCAAATCCGGATTCCACAAGTCAGCTTTTCGTCACCATTTGTATTCCGCGCCATTATCGCTCTTTCCGCGCTGCATCTGGCTCATATGAAGCCCGAATTCCACGACCATTATGTCTCCCAAGCCGAGCTTCACCATAACACCGCCTTGCAGATGGTGTCTGCCATCCTCCCAAACGTCAATAAGGAGAACTGCCAAAGCATATATCTTTTTTCGATCCTGACCTGCATTATCTCCTGCGCGAAGCCGCGCATCAGACACGATTTCTGGGCAAATAGTGATCGAGACATCGAGTGGTTGACCCTCTTTCGTGGCACAACACACATAATAATGTCATCAGATAATTCCCTCAAGACAGGCCTACTAGCACCGATGTTTGCTATAGGCCACCGCAAAAAGCTAGCTCGGGATGCGAGATCAGACAGGCCCACGCCGCCGTTTCTTCTCGTTTTGAAACAGCTCTTGCAAGATACAGTTCAGGATCGCGATGAGTTGGAATGCTATCATAAATCAATCGATGATATGGCAATGTCATTCGCGACAGTTGACGAAATTGGCTCAAATAACTGCGAGACTTCTGATATATTTATTTGGTTATTGAGAGTTTCGGATCAGTATTTCGCCTACTTCCAGCAGCGCACACCTGAAGCCATGGTGATTTTTGGATATTTCTGTGTTGTCATGAAAGAGATGGAATGGGCCTGGTGGATGCAGGGGTTTAGTGTCCATACTATCAGTGGTATATACTATCTTTTGGATGAGGAGCATCGTTGCTGGTTACAATGGCCCATGCAACAGGTGGGATGGGTTCCATGAATCAGTGAAATAATCCAAATTAGGTTGACGATTATTGCTTTGAGAGCAGTCCCTGGAGGTGCCAGTATAATTTATAATTGACTTGGCATAAACGTATAGAACCATCTCAGTGTTGAGGTAGCAGTTGGTTAGAAGCAATGCAATCAGGCTTTGAATGAATTCCCCCAAGATCTGATATATATCACTATGTTAACTAGTAGCTCTCGAGGAAAAGCTCTCGAGGAAGAGAGAAGAGAGGAAGAGACGAAGAGAAAGAGAAAGAGGGAGATCTAGTTACTACTCCTGAGACCTATGGTCCTTGACAAATGTGAGGGCCTCATATGCCGCTGAAATGACAAAAACACGTTCTGTTTGTCCTTGTGATCTTTTGGCCTAGCGGGCGGTTAAATGCTCTTTTGTAACCCCTTGGAAGTACCTACCTAGGTATGTACCTAGGTAATGGCCTAAGCGGGGCATATAATTATACAATAAGCCCCCTTATACGCCCTCGACTTGCCCACGGCTTAGTCTTCATGCACCTTGACCACGACCTTGCCACGCGCACGTTGTGTGGCGATACGCTCGTAGGCGCGTATAGCATCCTTCATCTCGAAGACAGAGTCCACAGGAATACGCAAGCGACCCTCTTCGATGAGGCGTGCTAGGTAGACTGCATCGTCACGCGCCGGGGGCGTGCTGAACATTATAAAGCGACGCTGCACGCCACCCAGCCAGGTGGGGAGCCAGCTATTGAGCAGCGCATTGCACGACGTTACAAACATGCCCTCAAGCACACCGATGTTTATAAAAGCTCCCTTAGGCTTAAGATAGGCTGGGGAGTTGACAAAAAGTGCTTGCGTGCCGACACAGTCAAGCACAAAGTCAAACGGCTTGTCGCCATACTGATGCGCTAGGTAGGCTGGCAGCGGTTCATGTTTGCGGTAGTCGATGAACTATTTATATATTAGTCAGTTCCTTTGTGCAAAGTTAGGAAATGTGCCTACCTCATCTACACCCAAATCACGAACCATAGCCTCGTTGCCTCCACTGGCCACGCCGACCACCTTTGCACCACGCAGCTTGCACAGCTGCACGAGCACCGAACCGACCGACCCGCTAGCCCCATTCACGAGCACTGTGTGGCCCTCGCGCACACCTCCTGCGCGAATCATCTTAAGCGCGGTGCAACCGGACCCGATGATGCCCGAGGCCGACGCCATATCAACACCGTCATCGATACGTGCGACCTGGCGCCCAGGAAGTCGCACATACTCTGCCAGCACACCGCGGCCCATAACCACGGCGGTAGGAATATTCTGAAAGGCAATAACATGGGAGCCCGGATCGCGTACCTCTGCCGGTGCACCCCCGCCAGCCGCTACTACCACACCTGAAAGCTCAATCTCCGGGACCCATGGGCTAGTAAAAGGCATTTTAGGCAATGACTTCATCAACATCTCAGAACTAAATTGTAGTGATACGTTTGACACGCGGATTAGGACGTCGGACGATGAGCCCGTGGGCACGTCGGGTGTTGGATGGTCGGTGACCAGCTCGAGAGTGCTACAAGCAGGACCGCGCCGCCGGCATACCCAGGCACGCATGGTCGGCGGTACGGTTGGGAGCTGGGTCCTCGATGACATTTCTTCTACTATTGGTGCGTGGTGAATAGATGAGGAGGAGGACAGTTCACGGTAGAAGTAGGGAGATTTAGGGCGTTGTTGTGCGATTTGACAACAATCAAAAGACCTAGTACTATAACTGTGTAGAAAAGAGAAACGCGATCGACAGGCCCGACAGCCCGTATGACAAGAAAAAGCGGGAAACTCAAGAAAAAGGTGTCTCTCGAGCTTCTCTAAAGACAAACAAAAACGGACGAATCGGACAAGATTAACGGACCGGCTGGAAGACATTTAGAAAGAACGCCACAAAATGAAACCTAGGGGGCCAACTCTCCGATGTGTACACATATAATCGCTCTCATGTTTCTTTAATCTTTGGTTGGAACTAGCCTTGTATAATTAAGAGACAGATATTTTCTTGCTCAAGGTATATATTTTTCTTTTCTTCTTTCTAATATTGTTTGTTTTTCCCGATAAAAGACCCTACACATCTGTACTATGTATTAGCGAGGCTGACAGGGTATCTAGTGCCGCTAAGCCGCTCACAGTTCAGCTGATTCATGAAAAGGGGGGTTTCTCTCATAATCCAGAAAGCTAGTTATTTAGGCAGTGACAGTCTAGTAATATGAAATGGACCCAAATCCATGTTGGGTCAAGTTTCCCATGACGCTGAGACCTGACTTTTAATGAAAGGAAAGTTTACTTTTCATGTGTTCCTGATAGACATGGCTAGCGACAAGCCAATGTATTTATAACGTCTATTTATAATTCTCATGTATGCCTTAATTTTAAGTGTATCATCACTTCTTCTCAACAGGATGCTTCTGCAAACTCTCGTACCACTGGATCATAGATCCTATCATGAAAGCCACCGAGCCCCAAAATGTAGCAAGTGAAGATTGGAAATTTGCTCCAGAGTTACTACTCGCCGGCCCTAGCGCACCACAAAGAGTGAACCCAATACTGCCAATCAAATTCCAGAACCCAATATGCCAGCCCAGAACATGCCAAGCAGGGATATACCACTTTGATTGCGTCTCAAGCATGTACATCCATGAACTCAGAGTGAATCCCGCCCCACCAAGAGTAGTGGTACCCCAATAGAGGCCATCAATGAGCCCCTTGCTCATGTGGTTGAAGATACCAGGAAGACCAACAATTGCACCAATATAGAAGATGGTTGCGCTCACAAATAAGATCAAGGAAGCTAGAAAGCCAATTTCATGAAGATAATGTGTGCGCAATTCCGACATCGATGGAATCCATCGGAATGACCTGCCATCTGTTGATGAAGTAACGTAACCGGTCTCATCTAGATGAGATTGGGAATTGTCATTGGAATGATGGTGGTGTATCTCCTTGAGAAACGATTTCCGATTCGCATGATGATGCTCACACTGCGAGACCTTTGGCTTGATCTCCTTTATCGCATGGTGAGGAATCCCTTCCTCGATTTTCTTCTCGACGACAGTATCAAGTGCCCAGCCAAAACATCCAGTATGATTGGTATTAAAAGCCTCAAGCATTAGCAATACACCTCCAATTTCGAAAATAGTCGCGCCCACGAACCCCGTCCAACCACCTGCAACAGTAATTTCATTGTGAAACTCGGTCTTCCTGTCCGCGAGTGGTAACCACACGAAGAACCCATTGATGATGAAAACTGCGGATCCGATAGTGAAGCTCATGGCCACTAGATAAGATACGTCCCAATAAGGGGCGTAGGTCATCATCCGAAGAATGATCTTGGCTACTGTTGAGAAGGAGCGCGTCAATGGTGGTGCTTTAAGTCCCGTTTCATGGGGCAAGGCCTGTGTATCGACGCGAATGGCATGTCGGCCTTTTCTGTTGTCGCGAGATCGCCAGAGACGCTCGACTTGCGGGGGAGGACGAGTCTCTTCTGGGTGCTGGACAGGTTTATAATGGGCCGAGGTGGGATTGAGGAAGGGTACTGGGCCCGTAACATGCGTCTCGTCTAGTTTAAACCCAGGATAACCTCGAGGTTTGCGACCGGTTTGAAAATGTTTATGCCGCGTCATGTTGGCCGGGGCCGAGGTGAGATTGCGTTGAAGTACGTTTTTGAGCGGCTAGGAGCACATTTTGGAGATGGGTCGATGCATATCAGAGTTGTGTTTTTTGATGGTCTCCTTTGGAGTCACCGCGGAAAGTGCGATGTTCAATCCGTGTGCGTTCCATATGGGAAGAGGTCGACGTCAGCGCTATGTAGATATGCGGTACCTTAAAAGCGGCATGCCTCGACCCCCGAAAATGGCAACCACAGACCTGTTGCTAGTACAATAAGCTTCAAAGGCCGTAATTGACTGAATAATATGTATATGTGTATAGCAGATTGTACATATGTAGGTGTCATTGAGTGAATCCAACATGCTACACTATATATAATGGTCCATGGTTACTCCCACCGGATGGAGCCCAAGGTCAGTAATGATGTTCATTGGGTGGTTGACGGACGGTCGGCTAGTTGTCTGTCGGAAGAGCATTGCTGGAATGGGCCTAGGTAAGTACCGCCCAGACACGGATTAATTATTTATCCGATACTTGCTTACTGTGCTTCATTTGATCACCTGGGCAGGTACCCTGAGCTTCCATCCACGGATTCAACTGAATTGTTGCAACATCTGTTCACATATACATATCATATTCATCATAACATCCACAATAGTGACAATCATTAATGCTAAACAGAAGAAATCAACAGGTACAACATCACTCACAATCAAAAAACAATCGCCTAAAATATCAAAACAACATTCCGAACTCAATTTGCCCATATGAATCGTCGGCTTGATCTCCTCTAGAGGCAGAGCAAGGGCTGTTACAATGACTTTGTGGTCATCCTGACAAAGAGAAGTAGAAGTGAGAAGTCACGTCTGCTTAGACCCGTTCTCACCACTATCATCTCCCCCATCCTCGACATAGGCAGTCTGATCGCCAGCCTTAGACTCTGTCTCCGTATCAGCGCCATCATCATTCTCATGTTCAGCCATTTCTGTGTTGGTCCGCTGCAGACTTGCAGGCTTCGTTTTCTGAACGGTCTTGCCCTTATTTCGACTCCTATCAGGCAATGACTGTTCCGCCTCACTCTTAATGTCACCATACTCATCGCCAGCCTGCGATGCGCGGGCGCTCTGATTCAGGTTTCTCCTCGCACGTGCACGTGCACGACGAATCATCTTGTTGTGGTAGTCTTCCTGTTCGAGCTCCGTATCCTCATGGAGGATGCGACGAGCAGCTTCGCGCCCAACAACGGGTAGTCGATCGACACCCTGGACTCCAGCCGGCATCAACTTGGGGTCCAGGAGACCGACCTGCACGAGGACGCTGGCTTGGTCCCAGTACACGTGCTCAGAGTAAAGGCGCCCGGCGCGCAAACTGACAATACTCACGAGGATTATCTCAACTCGCTTGTTTGTTGGCGGGACACCTGGTAGCATCCATGGAATCTCCTGTGTGTGCTCATAGCTTACGTACAGCTCGTCCACGATGCGGTCAGCTCCTGTGGTACGTGATAGCAGTCGGAGGCGCATGGATGAAGGCAGTTTGCCGATGAAGTAATGTTCATAGAAATGGCGCAAGGCTTTTTTCCCGATCCCGCCGCTGATTGTCGGCGTATAGGTGACACCGGGAGTTTTGTGTTGGACATAACCATCCATCGTCTTCCGGACATTTGACGAGAAAAACTTGCCTAACAAAAATATTAGCCTGCTATCGCTCGATCCTTTTGCTATTACAACTTACCATCCACATGCTGCTCGTACCGCTGCTCATAATCCGGATCCCGGGAATATCCCTTTCGCAGGACCTTCAAAGTCCGCGTCCAGGCTAGATCCGCCGACAGGCGATCATATTCCTCCACATCCGCCTCCGCAAATCCGGGCTCGGCATTATCATACGTAAACGCTGGGTAGGCCAGATTCAAACGCTCTCCAGTCCCGATACCAGAATTGATCGGCCGGGTCTGTCGGCGTTTCTTTCCTTGAATGCCAAGGGCGACGGGCTGAACAAGTACATCCACAGTCTCACCTGCCAAGTGCACGAGAACCTGGAGCGAGAGCGGGAATCGCGATCGTGTATCGGGGATTAGGCTGGGGTAGTAGGCGACCAGGGCGCAGAGTCGACTGGCGTTGACAGAATTGATATAGTAGCCAAGACAAAAGTCCGCGGCATCACCGTACGCTAGGAATTAGGGTCAGTCAGTTTGTTGATCACTCGTAGTTTATAATATTTATAGAGTCATGTGCATACCGATCACGCCGTAGTTTTCGCCTACACCGAGACCGTCCTTTACGGACTGCAGTCGGCGAGCGAAGTCTTTTCCTCCGCCGTTAAAAGGGAGGTATACCACGTCGAATCCTTCCTCTTGCCAGTTCTTGATGATCTCCATATCGAAATCCTCGGATTCAGCTGTGATGCACAGTCGAGCATTATTGTTGCCATTGTTGTAAAGAAACCCGCCGCTGTTCAGGCCAGGAGCGCTAATCGATATGTTGGCCATTGTACTATTTGCGCTGGTTTGATTGTGGTTTTCGAATGTATGTAATGTAGTTGTTATATCACTGCAACACGGCTTATTGTGGGATTTTTCTTGTAGTTCAATGTCAACCCAAGAACATGCTATGCAAAAGATTTGGAGATATCCATAAAACCGGTATAAATGAAAAACATGGTGAGCACATGGTAGTTAACATATAGACGGGTCCTACGTCATTGGCGTTTGGCTCCCATGGATACGTCATACCGAATATCCGTGGAACAACGGAGTTTTTTATGTTAACTCTTGGCATCGACATTTAGAACTTGATTTTGATGTACTTCGTACAAAAGTATTTCTTCTTTTTTCCATCATCTGATCTTTCGGATATTTTCTGTGGCCAGATGTGTACAATACTTCTTTATAGTCAATCATAGCCAGAGACCTCGACTCCCTTGACCAAGTCTCGAGTGAAGGACGTTCGCACTCCATGTGGAACGGCTTCGACAAACCAGAAGCGGATATAGTTACTATTTTTATCTACTGCCTTACCACTGGGTCGATGGCCATGAGCCACATCCATAGTTGTACAGCCCACAATATGTGATGTACGAAGTACGATGTATACCTCGTAGTCTCCGGTGACGGTGAATCGCGCAATGCAGTTTAGCGTGCTCCTGCCATTTACCTTCCTACTATGCACCTAGATATGTATCTTGATCTGCCAAGAAGCACTTGATATATTTCCATTTGAGTTCCTTCGCAAGATCATTAAGAACATAAGTTTAGAAACAAAACCCTTCCTGATTCATACCCGAGTACAAGAATATTGCCATGGATCGCGAAGCAACTGGGTCGGTACTCGGGAGGCAGCCATAATGTCTTTCGGCTGTTAAAGGTCACCCAGTGTGACTTTGAGATAGAAATCTCCATATCCGTCTTCGGGGAAATGGGAGTGTCCCAATACTCAGGCTGGATGTCCAGGGACCCAAAATCTGTGTTCAAATATGAGCCATCTCGAGAGAATGTTAAATTGCGGGTGTATCCCACAGATCGCCAGGTCTGTTTTTGGTCCCCGGTAGCAATATCCAGGAGAGAGAGATCCCGTCTACGCTCACCGGTCAAGGTGCAAGCAATAAATCGACCGTTGGGAGAGAACTTCACATCGAACACATCCATCGGATGGCATTGAAATGTTTCCTCCAAAGAGCCAGTTGTGGTGTTCCAAAGCTTGACCGTTTTATCTTTTGAAGAAGTTGCTAGGAGTTGGCTGTTTGGTGAAAATGATAGAGTATCCCAAACATGATCTGAATGCCCATCTAGAGTATGTTTTAGGCTGAGAGAGCCCGTCGCGGTGTCTGCATCCCAAAGCTGAATAGTGTTCCCCGAAAGGGAGGCTAAAGTGCGGCTACAGGGAGAGAATATCACCCCACGAGTCTCACGCGGCTCATCTGCGGATTCCAGGCCCTGGAAGCTCGGAATAGACTCAATTGTGAACTTAGATATTCTCCACAGTTTGATTTCTTTGTTGACTGAAATAGAAACGAGAACTTTGCCGCTGGGTGCTAACGCGATGTATCGTCCAGGAGAACTCCCAGGAGAGCTTCCGAGTGGTTGCTTTTGGAACAAACTGCCTACCTTCGGGCACCACAGCGCCGCTGTCCCGTCGTCCGAGTAACTTATCAATGTCTCACCGCCAGAAGAAAAGCTTAATAAAGAAACTCTGTTTGAATGAGCTTCAGGAACTTGTTCTGGCTTCGGTATACCTGCACCAACATGCCAGATTTTAACTATCTTGTCCCCTGAGGCAGACGCCAAAAATTGGGCGTTGGGGGAGAAAGCCATAGATAACACGCTATCAGCGTGTGCACCAAAAGGGGCATGCGGAATACCCGTGGACATGTCCAACATCATGACATGCGATTGGTCCTGCGCAAGGGCCAAGAACTTGCCATCAGGAGAAAATACTTGATCATAATTGCAATATTTGCCTTGAAATTCCTTCATTGGAAGGCCTGTGTCAAGATCCCAGGAGGATAGTAAAAACTTATCTGACACAGTCATGAGAATCTTCTCGGTGGGTGAGAATATTCCGGCAAATATCTGACCCGGAAGAATCTTCTCAGCGCCGGTCTCGATATTCCAGATTATGAATCTGTATTTCTTGCACATAATCCCAAGAAACTGGCCATTGTGAGAAAATGAGAGACGTGTTATTTGCTTTGTGTGGCATTCCAAGGTCTGCCGAAGAGTGCCGGAAGAAATGTCCCACAACTTCACCAAGCCATCATCTGAAGCAAACGCTAAAAGCTGGCTATCAGGGGAGAATGCTACACAATAAGCATCTCCTAGCCCGTTGACTGCTTCTTCCTCAAAGCAATCTTCGACCAAGTTCCACAGGAAAATTGTGGGGCAATCACGGTTACTGGAAGGGGAAGCCAAGAAGCGGCCGTCAGGAGAGAAAATCGGAAGACAAGGGGAGCACCGTGAATGGCTAAGCGCTTGCTTCAATTCACCTGTGGCAGGATCCCAAAGCTTAATAGTGCGACCATTAAAAACGGTAGAAGCGAGGAATCGGCCATTTGGCGAAAAGGCAATCCTCGAAGGGTTTTTTGATTCCTCTGGATGTTGCTCTAAAGACTGTTTCAGGACTCCCGTCATGACGTCCCAGAGCTTGATACTGCCATCATGAGCACCATATGCTAAAGTCTGACTATCCGGGGAGAAGGATATTGGAAATATCAGCCCTGAGAAGTCATCGAAAGACTGAACGTCTGCTCTCCAATTTGCTTCGACGTCTGGGACCTTGGAAATCCATGTAGGAAGGTACTTAGTGAAGACATTTCGTATAATCGAGTTTTCCGGAGCAAAGAGCAGACCCGAGGAATAAAGCTGGAGAGGGGCTTCATCTGCTATGACAGTATTCCTTAATGCAAATTGTCTGGCATCCCGTAGATACCCAGAAATCTCACGGGACATATGGTTCTGCCTTAGTCAGTTTAGTCACTGATACGTATTGAATAGTAAAAAAACTCACATCCACCCAGGAGTACAGAAGGTCAATAATCCCTACCACTTCGTATGCAAGACCCATGATTCCCATTGCTTCCATCCAGTGGAGGAAATGTGTCTGCAAGAAGGCGAAAACATTATCTAATGTCTCTGGGTCATCACCCTGTGTGAAATGGTAGGCCCAAAACCGACACGAGTACTGAACTTCGGGAGGAAAACAGTGGCTGATACGTGAAGGGTCAATCTCAGATCTTTGAGTTCCATCATGCTCAAGCCCACAAATGTTCTTTTGCAAACTTGAACAGAGTGAAAGACATCTTATCGCCAATTTTGAGTGCGAAAGCTTGCCGTCTATCGCAAATGAAGTCTTCTCGCACGTTTGCGGATCAAGGAGAAAATCTCTGAACGATGTGTGGAAAAGTCTGATCGGCATGATTTCATCTTGTGGGATGCTCAGCACAGAATTTAATGAACGTAATCTCAGCTTGATGACATGTTCGGACATGCCAAGAAGCGCAGATATCGAGATAACAGAAAGAGGACTTTCAAGGATGATGATTGTGCCGACTATATCCTGAAACTCCCGTGTAATTTGCTTCTTTTGTTTCCCATTCTGATCCAGAAGAAGTCGACTGAACACAGGGAGGTACGTTCCGTCAAGGCTACCGCTCTTTCCTTGACAAGTAAGAATATTTTCGAGGCTGTCTGTGGGGTCCCGTTGAGGATCACTGATTATACGACATATGGTAGCGGCGAATATGAACAGCGGACCAGATACTTTCAAAAGCTGTTGTGTTTTGATTTCTCCAGGCCAGCCAACAGATAATGAGCGCTCCTTCCCAATTTGAGCTAGTCGATGCTTCAGAAACAATAATATGTCGTGTGCAGTCACGTCTTCCGGTATCTCACTGACAAGACCATACATGTAGTCTATATTGACCCTTTTGAAAAATTCAAGACGATTTGTCATCTCCGGCCTACTCGTCAAAAATACTCGAATTTGCACCGTTTCCAGCTCTTGAAACTGTGGTATCAATTGAAGAATTACCCGTATATCTTGATCCGATTGACACTCGTCTAGGGCATCAATCACAATCACCAAAATTCGCCGTGTACTTGAGCTTTTCAATTCAAGCAATGGTTCAAGGAGAAGCTTGTTGAATTGTTGTCTGAGTCCTCTTTTCGCAATAAAAGGGTCATCCCGGACAGCTTTTCGAATCATAGGAACCAATTCAGGAACCGCATTCATGATTTGTTGCGCCAAGGTCGTAAATAGCTTCATCGCAGTTCCTCGGTCCCCCTCACCTCTCTTGAAGAAGAAGCTTCCGCCCAGCTGCATATTCTGTTTGAAAGACCGGGCTACTGTGCGGGATATGGTCGATTTTCCCGTTCCAGCCATTGTGTTCAACCAGAAGATCCAATAGCCTGTTGGTGATGCTGCCCATGCTGCTATTTGTTGTTGGAGGTCTGTCCCGGTCCCTTCAAGACATTCCTCTTCGTGCTGATCCATATCAAATTCAGCCCCATGAGCGATTGGCAGCTTTTTTAGATCCATATTCTTATTAATCAAGCTGGTTGTTCCAGCTACATTGGCAATGATTGCTCTGGTAGATGAACAGAGTCAGCTTTAGTCGCGTCATAAAAAACGCCCAATGCAATCAGCACCCACATTTGATTGGTCTGCAGCGACAAAGAAAATAACGACTTATATCCCTCAATATCACCCATCAATTTTTCGACTTCTGAACGCTTCAATGGCCATTTTAGAGCTCGAAACCCTAGCTTTCTCATCGCTCTTTTGCCCTTTCCCGGATCAATCTTTCCTTCAAGGGCTTCTAGTGCCAAAAGACAACCGCGGACATCATCTTTCAACACTTTTGTACGAAACCTTGAATTGGGATTATCAAGGAACGCCAAAAGCTGCTCAAGAACATCGACGAGACCCTGAATCGTTTGTTGCAGTGCGATGATGTCGGCCGTGGCATCCTTTACGTCTTGAACGTAACCTCCACATAGTTTGGAAATAGCTCCAGCCACTTGAATGACACCAGCAATACTGGATGCTGCCGAGAGGCCGTCCATGACACGTTGTTATGTTGGAGAAATGAATGCAGGTCAGCCGAAAAAGCGGGGCAGCTGCCTGGGTACATAGGTACCATGCTAGCCCCTTTGATAAATTACTATTTCTTCCAGGTTCTTGCGGTGCGAGCTGTCGCTCACATAACCAGCTTTTCAAACTGCATTTGTCGCGGTGTGTCACCCGCTGAATTAGGCTGATCCATCATCCTGTCGCCTCCTGCCTCAAGCAGGAAAGAAGCCATCTCATCCAGCGCTCTTATCCAGTCAGCAAACGCGGGGTCCGAGGCCCCTTTTCTTGTCGGCCTTGGCAAAATGATTGCTATCAATTCCCTTTTTTGTTGATGAGATCGACATCAGCGCGTTGACTAAGTAACAATTTGGCCGCCACGCCTCAGTCCGGCGTAAAATTCTAGCCATAGGATGCAATATGGTGCTGCCGCTTCTATCCTGTTGATTCATTTTGGCACCGGACAATAGAAGTGTGTCTATCAGAGTAGTGTCAATGGATTCTCCAACCATAAGTTGGGGGCGAGTTTGTGAAGCACAGTTTGGCCATTGGAGCCTACCACAGATTCGTCCGCCCAATTCACTAGTGATAACCTGACAACGGCATTATTAGAGTGTAGGCTTCTGCCACAGAAGGCATAGGCTCCTATTATGGGGTAATGTAAGGTAGTCTCGCTCTGCTTGTCTAGGGCGTTGACATTGCTGCTTCTAGACAGCCAGAGACAAGTAACTGGAATAAATTGATTTCATCGTCAGGAAGTCGGCATTTGAATGTGCCTGGACCCGCGGCTGCCCATTGGAGATGTAGATGACCATTTCTATTGAGGCAACGTGAATTGCAGTAATTTCCAAAGGAAACACAAACTCTGAATAAGACGTAGATGCAGGGTCGTGCTGTTTGGCATGTGGGTGGGCGCCATGAACAATGAGTCGTTTCACCAACGCATAACTACCCCACGAAGAACAAAACTGAGGACTGTAGAAAGCTGAAGCGGCCGCCCTTAATCACTGTATTTTCCCGCGAAATCTCGGGAGGGCAGCCTGGCTACCCACGCCTGCGTTGTGGGCGCGTCCACTGCTTGAGTAGAAGCGCCTTTATCGAGAAGTAAGTGTATCAATTTTCCACCACGGCTAATGCGATCGTTCATCCACTCGTGGTAATCTTTCAATTTTAATGATGTTTATGGACAAGACAGTCAAAGACTTCGCAGCCGCCAGTAGCGCTTTATCACCGTACGAATCGTTGACAGGGGCTAAGCGGAGCGCAGGGATGACTATCCAGGACAATTCGCACAGTCTCAAGCTGCGCCTCTTTGCATGCCATATTCGACAATGATAATATCCGCTAGTGAAGTAGGATCTTTGAAGGTTGGGTCGGTGTTGTTGTAATCCACAAAAACACCCGTGGACGGAGAGCATCAGTGCGCCCCTTCCCCGTGACAACACAGAGTGGGTCACTGTTTCCCTCGGTCTCACTTTCAAGACACGGAGAATACACAGAAATATACTGCTTCAGTCTTAGAACGATATTGAGAATTATATTGCGCAACAGGGCCTTACCATCGGCTTCATAGAGTGTGTATTAGTATTGTTTCTAGGTTTTTTGCACCCAGTGTGAAATTCGCTATATGGCATGATTCGCCAGAGATGTAAATATTTGAAAGAGAAGAGAGATATGGCATTAGATTCCGCCAAAAGCCGCAAAAGGGGAAACTATATGACCGTACTTTTTACTCAGGGGAAAGTCCGGTGGAACCGTAGTTTGAATTTTTCAATGGCTGTTATACTCGTAGTACTTCTGTAATACTATGTAGGAACTTGACCATCTGGAGCACAACCCAGAAATTATGCTCTATTTTGTGTATATATCGAAGCGCATAATACTTCAATGTTGCTTAATGCACCTCTAATAATAGGTGGCGCAGCACCATAAACTCCTCCAACACGAGTGATAAATGCTCTTGGTAGTAGAAAAAATAACCCGCACTTCATTATTCTCCTCGTAGCCCTGAACGGGTGGGAAAGCCGGGTAAGACATTGAATTACCGTCTCTTGCTTCAATATATAGTTATTTTACTGATTCATCTTCTAGATGTGGCGTACAATTGATCAGTACAGTGATAGTATCATGACCAACGCCATAAATAATGATGATCCAATGGAAGCCCTATAAAATATCAGATCTGTCATCACTTTCATGAGGTAGCTCAATTATCCTCGAGTAGATCCTCGCATGATTAGTACTGAGAATGAAGCGCGCACGAAGTTTAGTCTAGCAGACCGATTTTGTCCATGCCGTCCTCACCTATAACTTTTGTGTTTTCCTTTTTTTCTTAACTTGACCCCCACACAGTTCTATTGAGGCTGTCCGAGTGAAGATCCTAGTAGGTATACAGATGTGAAGAAGCAAGGGGGAATCATTTCTTTTTGCTTGAAATACTCTAAAATCCCCTTCAAATTCAATAGTAATCAAAAGTTCTTCTCTCATATATTCTCCAAAAAGATGAGGTTGTTCACCTTTCTGAACCTAACCTTAGGACTACTACAACGGGTATATTCCCAAAGTAACCCAACAATAACAAGCGCCAACAGCGTGCTTTTTCAATTGAACTTGACATGGGAAGATGTGGCACCAGATGGGACGGCGAGGAAAGCTATCCTCATGAACAATGAGCTCCCTGGTCCCACTCTGCGATTGAAACAAGGCGGTAATGTAAAATTCCTGGTTCACAATGCAATGCCTTTTCCCACCACCATACATTTTCATGGTCAGTCAGCTACCTAGATCGTAAGCTATATATGTACCTCAGATCTTGAAAGCTGATGACTTTCGTTTTTATGCTTGCAGGGATCGATCAGCTGGGTACACCTTGGTCTGATGGTGTTCCAGGAGTTTCGCAAAGACCAATTGAACCCGGATCAAGTTTTCTGTATCGCTGGAACGCCAATGTTTACGGAAGCTACTTTTATCATGCCCATTCCCGGGGGCAACTTATGGATGGATTGTATGGCGCTATCTACATCGAACCGCTTGACTCCCAAGAGAGACCTTTTGACATAATCAGCGGTGACGCTGGTGATATCCAAGCCATGCTACAGGCGGAAAAAATGACAAATCCCCTTATCCTTTCCGACTGGCGTCACCTAACGTTTGAAGAATTATGGCAAGCTGAAAAGGCCACAGGGTTGGATATGCCCTGCGTGAACTCTTTACTTATCAATGGTAAGGGGTCGGTCAATTGCTTTGATCAAGAACTCATCAACCAAATGACCTCGCCCACGATCAAATCCCTTCTCCGTGGTGAAAATCTTACAGATATTGCGTGAGTGTCTCCCAGCTTTGCCCTCTATCTCCCCAAACCCTACCAAAAAAATTTTAATTGGCTTATCTGGTATTACATAGGTGTCCACCACCAGGTAGTATCAATCTTGAAGGAACATATGGACCGGTCAACTACAGCGCGATCCCCTTTGGAACATTCTCTGGCTGCAAGGCTTCCCAAGGCCAGACCGAGGTATTCAAAATTGATCCTTCCAGTCGATATGCGAGTTGGGATATTATCAGTGCATCTAGTACCCGGTTTATGACGTTCTCTATCGATCGGCATCCTCTATGGGTATATGCAGTGGATGGCCGCTATATTGAGCCCATTGAGGCAGATGCGGTAACGCTCTTCACTGGCAGCCGATACTCAGTCCTTGTGAATTTGGATAAACCTCCTGGAAAATATGCCATGCGGGTGGTGGACGATGGAATCCAGCTCGTGAATGCCACTGCTGTTCTATCTTATGAGACCGAAAACCTATCTCTTGGAACCACGACCGGTGTAAATCTCACAATAGATGACCCTTATATTGACATTACTGGGGCAAATACCTCTGCAAATGTGGCATTTTTGAACGAATCTAAAATTGTTCCATATCCAGCAGAAGATGTTACGACAAAAAAAATTGATCAGACATTCATACTCAGAATTTCTCGCCAAAATAACTCATATACCTGGACCCTTGGAAGCGCAATTTTCCCAATGGCCCTTGAAAAATTGAATCTTCCACTCTTGTTCGATCCCTCTGCCATCACTGACAACGAGCTAAAGATCAACACCAAAAATGGAACCTGGGTCGACATCATCATCCACAGCTTGGATCTCAGCCAGCCTACTCACGCAATTCACAAGCATTCCAACAAGTTCTACGTCATCGGTAGTGGAACTGGCGTGTGGAATTTTACTTCAGTTGCTGAGGCGATGCAGTCTATACCGCAGAATTTTAATTTAGTCAATCCTCAGATCCGGGATGGGTTTACTATTGCGGGCACACATGAGGAGCAGAGCTGGCTGGCTATCCGTTATCATGTCGTGAACCCAGGTGCATTCATTATTCATTGCCACATCCAGCCGCATTTCAGTGGGGGGATGGCAATGGCTATCTTGGATGGATTGGATGCTTGGCCAGCCATCCCACCAGAATATGAGCTTTCAAATTTCTAAAAAATGCGAGAGATCAGATGCGAGAGCTCAGATGTGAGACGCAGGAAAGCTTGATGTATGCTGTATATTCATATTCACTTTGCTGACGATTCCGATGTACCTTACTGTATGTCATTGATTATCCCTGGCTTTGATTTTCACATCGTTTTTTGGATATGTAGCGGCGAGAATAACAGCTTCAATTTATCTACCACTTGAATCTGAGAATTGAATCTCAGTACGGAGTACAGTCACTTGACAACTATCTTCTAGACCCGCCGCCGAGAAGTTGGTGTAGATCATTTTGAGCCGCATCGAATTAAGGGCGCATCTGAGTACATACACTAGTCATGTACTCCGTAGTACTGTACATATCAGGACTTGCTACCTATGTAGGCCCGTAATAATACACAACATACCTCGTGGGCACTCTTCCGAGGGTTTCTCGCTCACCGCTAAAAGAATTAAGCCATATTACATATTCAATCTACATCAAGGCCTTAATGATGGGATTAAAGAAGAGTTGTCAAGTTTTTCGGTCAAGCCGATTTCAGGAATGGTCACCGTATATTTTACACTGATCCTAGGCTTGTTGCATTGCATGTGAGCAGTTGCTGACATGTAAAACAAGGAAATTGAATGACTTGGCTGAAACTTGGTTTCGTGAAGACTGCATGTCCCTTGCATCGGATAATTCTGAATCTTTGACTTAGGAGTGTCTACATATTTTGCGCCCTTCTAATTGATCGCCATGATTGTGGCTTGTGCGGGGTCGCGATGGATTTAAAAATCAGACAGGTTCATGCCTGGTGAGCTCCTTGCTGGGATATATCATAAAAAAAAAGGAAAATTTGAAAAGGCAAGTATCGGTATCGTCAGCACTATCAATCTTAGGGTGGGAGACTTTGAATCTACAGCTCATATAAGAAGTATAGATCACAATTCGATCCCTTTTCGGATAAGCGTCTACATCAATATATTATAGTGGACAAAACTTTCTTACCAACCTTTTTGAGTGTACTCCGTCCGTAGTGTGGTTCTACAATCTCTTTTTGCAATGATATACATTTTGCTGCTTTTCATTCTTTCTGCATACGCCCGAGACTGCTCTCCCGAAATTAGAGCAACTCGACGGGAATGGTAAGTTAGGTGAAGATGGACCCTTTGAGGAGAATGATATACCTAACAGTTGACCAAAATTTTTGCAGGGGCGCTTTGTCTATATCAGAACGCATAGATTATATTGATGCTGTCCATTGCATGCAAAACACGCCTCCAGTTCTTTCATCGGAGGACTATCCAGGTGTTCGCCATCGGATGGATGATTTCACAGTGTACGTAAAGTCCACCTTCCTTTGATATTCGAAGAAATCTTGTGTATCTGATTATTTTACGAAACAAAGTGTGCATATGAAATATGCCCCTCATGTTCATGCGAACGGTGCACTCCTGGCATGGCATCGTGAGTACATCTCGCTGTGGGAACAGGCATTGAGACAAGAGTGCTCGTACAAAGGATACCTTCCGTATGTAGTCTCTCCATTTGGATCCCATCTTGTCAATACAATAGATGGTGTACTAAATCTAACTTCATCAAGATACTGGGATTGGCCCCTATATGCTAGCAGCCTCACCTCCAGCCCTCTGTTTGACGGATCTCCCACCTCGCTCTCCGGTGATGGGGACCCGAATAACAATGATTGTGTGACAACTGGCCCCTTCGCCAATATGCAAGTCAATTTCGGTCAAGGGAGGCTTCCGGCACTCGAGTTGCCCGAAGATCTGTTCGACTACAAGCCTCATTGCCTAAACCGCCACATAAACTCCTCTATCACTGCGAAATTTGCAAACGCCGGTGTAATCAACCATCTGCTAAACTCCCCAGATATTATTGCATTCCAGGAGCGAATGGATATCAGCATGGACCCTACCTTGGCGGCACGAGGGTACGGCCCACACACAGCTGGACATAAAGCTATGACAGGCACCATGGAGGACTTTTTCTCTTCGCCACAGGATCCCGCTTTCATGTTGCATCATGGAATGGTCGACCGGATGTGGACGATCTGGCAGGCCCGGGATGAGAAGAATCACCGGTTCGCTATTAATGGGACTATGACACTCCATAATTATCCCCTGACACCAGAATTGACACTGGAGACAGAATTTACCTTTGGTATTCTAGGGCAAAGCAAGAAAATGAGGGAGTTAATGGATCCTGAGCAGGGTGATTATTGCTATGAATATGCATGAATGTTTGTTTCTCATATGATCCCATGTTTCCAAAAGACAATTGAAAACATTAAAGAACTGTTGGATATATATTTTCCTAGCTATGGGCTACGCTTGTGTAAACTTCAGTGAGCAGCATCTAGTCAAGAAACGCAGATTATTTATTTGCAGATATTCAATCAAGCTAGAGCAGGGAACTTCTGTCCTCCCGTAGAGGGGATATGGTGGTGAACACGACGCTCAAAAATCCGCCATACATCGTCATCTTGGCCAATTTCAGCAACTTTGCCCTTGACCAAGCGATCCTCATAGTACCCCAGAATCGTGATCGATTCTCCCGCTCTATCTCCCGTTCTCACGTGGATACCGATACAGTATGTGGTCGCTGTAGCCGTAGTCGCACTTGTGAGTTCGATAATCTGCGTGCCCAAGGAGTGGTATGTTGTGACATCTTTCAAAGTTTGAAGCATTTCCACTATCCCAATGGTGCCTTGGATGGTCCCGATGGGTGGCGGGTAATGGAACACGGCATCAGGAGTAAACGTTTTGGAAAGCAAATCGGAATTCTTCTGGTCCATAATCAATGGCCATCGGGCAATTGTGTTGCGAATTAATTCATGATTGGAGGTAGCCATGAGGAGTGTAGTAAAAGATCGATGATGCTTGAAAAGGAAGATAGACCTAATCGATGAGTTCAATTGTTGATGAGCTACTGCGTATGTAGCTTAGTTATCACTGTGATAATGATGACACTTGAGAATTTAGAATTGATCAAATTCACCAAGGTAGACTTGATAGCCCCTCCATGTGATCTATCAATTCATCGACATCAAAATGCATACCAAAATGCAATATTCGATGCACCTTCAGCTGATGCTTTACTAACTCTGTATAACCTATCCTCTATTTTAACACCAATCAGCCACTAGCTTGTTTCTTGATTTCGTGGTGGTGATCGGTCTATCGCTGTGTCAGCTGCAATTGAGCCAAAGGGCGTAACGAGGATCCTTCCTTGTTTCTCTTTTCATACTGTGATACTTCGCCTTTTGTATCTTTCACGCCATTTGAGTGGACAAGGTACATCCGGGCTTGGGGAAAGTCTATACTACTAGTGTCCTGCCACGACAGCCCGGGTGAGAACGGACGCTAATGTATATTGCTTTTTTTGCTGGTAATACCAATACTGATAATTGTTACTAATTAATTATTGATAACTATGTAGTTCCTAGATTTCTCAGTATCTGAGTTCGTATATGCATTTGAAAGAATACTATATTTAAAATCGATGGTCTGTGTGCATCAGCGTCCCTTCTCGCCCGAACTGTCGTGGCAGAGTATATGTAAGGAGGGAGAACTTGCATTAATCAGTCCAAAATCGTGGATTGTGGCGTATCGCGCCTGAAGGACGGGGTAGACTTTCGAATTCCTCGTTATGTGGGTGAAATGTCTGTATTACAATCTGATATTAGGGTAAATGGTCATTATAGTTATAGACTGCTATCTGAATGTTAAATTATAGGTGGTCCGCATTGTGCACAGTTTGGAGTTCCTTCTTCAGTAGCAGTCTCAATATCGCACCTTTTCTTTGCAAATTTCGAAGCAACCATGTCTTTCCAAACTCTCCAACAACTTTTGACAACAACTGCTTCGATGGGAAAAAGCGGTATTATATTATCATATCCACTGGGAAATACCACGAAACCAGTGACATGGTCGTATGCACAACTGCTTCGAATGTCTCAGGGAGCTTCTTGTGCTCTATCCCAAAAATTCCACAATCGCATCCAACCAGGCTCTGTGGTAATACTACACTTTGATAGCCATTGTGATAGTATACTATGGTTCTGGGCCACCCTAATAGCGGGCTACATTCCAGCCATGTCTACTGCTTTCTCGAGCGAAACCGGGCAACGAATAGCCCACCTGAATCATCTCTATGAAATGCTTTTGATGCCTGAGTGCCTCACCACAGAAGCCCTTTTGCCTGACTTTCAGGGACAGGACCAAATCATTCCCTGCTGCGTTGAATCCTTGGATTTCGCTCAGCAGGCTCTGCCAGTTTCAATGGATACGACGGAGCTGAGAGCTCAACCCAATACAAGTGATACGGCGGTATTGATGTTGACCTCAGGCAGTACTGGGCGCTGCAAAGCAGTACCTCTAAGCCATGGGCAGATTCTCGCTGCCATATCCGGCAAGGCCTGGCTGATGCCAGTCCCCAAAGGAAGCAGCTTCATGAGTTGGACCGGCCTTGATCATGTTGCCGGTCTTGTGGAGATCCATCTCCAAGCCATTTACACTCGACGGGACCAGGTGCTTGTGCAGGCCACAGATGTCCTGATGGACCCCGCACACTTCTTGAACTTAATTAAACGACATAATGTGGCATCTACATTTGCGCCAAATTTTTTCCTGGCCAGACTCCTGGCTTTCATTCAACAAAAGGACAACTGCAAAACTGGCCACGGTTACTTGGATCTCAGTTGTCTCAGACAAATTACCTCCGGTGGGGAAGCTAATGTGACCAAGACATGTGATGAGTTGTCTCAATTGCTCTACGAAAAATATGGTGCCCCACTGGACGTGATTGTGCCAGGCTTTGGTATGACAGAAACTTGCGCAGGCGCGATTTTCAACAATGCTTGCCCTCACTATGATGTGAAACAAGGACTTCAATTTACCTCACTGGGTGTCTGCATGCCAGGGATATTGATGAGAATAACTGGTGAAGGTGGAGAAGATTGCCTCGCTCCATCGTTTGGGGTGGTGGGTGACTTGGAAGTATCGGGTGAGGTGGTCTTCGCAGGATACTTCAACAATACACTCGATACCAAGCTATCTTTTACAGATGATGGATGGTTCAAGACAGGGGATAGGGCATTTATTGATCAAAATGGATGTCTGGTCCTCCAGGGTCGCTCCAAAGATCTCTTGATTGTCAATGGCGTGAAATATAGCCCATCCGACATTGAGAGAGCATTAGATGAAGCGCAAATTTCGGGTCTGGCACCTAGCTCCAGTTGCTGTTTCTCTTCATTCTTGTCTGGAGGGAATACTGAGCAGGTCGTGATTATCTATTCACCGACATACGACTCGGAGGATATTACTTCCCGTGCCCAGACTGCTGCTGAAATTGCGAAGGTTTCTCTTATGTTGACTGGCTGTCGGCCGCAAATTCTACCACTCCCTTCATCTTTACTGCAAAAGAGCTCTCTGGGAAAGTTGTCTCGGGCAATGATCAAAAGCACGTTTGAACAAAGAGGCTACGAGATTCACGAGAAAGACAATATGGATAAGCTCGTGCTTCACCGCACCAATAAAAGACGGGAACCTCAAAGCACGTTGGAGTACCAGCTATTGTCTATATTTATTGACGCACTTGATGTGGCCCCCGATGAATTCGATGTGCAAACTTCCATCCTGGACTTAGGTATCTCTTCGATTGAGTTGATTAAATTGAAGAGAAAAATTGACACCAAACTCACATGTGTCAATATCAAAGATATTCCCTTGATTGATTTAATGACCAATACCACCGTGCATGCTCTGGCGGAGTATTTGGAAGGCCCCGAACAGCATGTAAAGGCATACAACCCCGTTGTTAAACTACAGAGCCATGGCCACAAGACTCCTCTTTGGCTTGCTCATCCTGGTGTGGGAGAGGTGATGGTGTTTATGAATCTATGCAAATACCTCACTGATCGGCCGGTCTACGCCTTGCGGGCCTCGGGCTTCAACGAAGGAGAATCGCCGTCGGAGTCCATTGAAGAAATTATCAGCCTATATCATGAGGCCATCAAGACACAACAGCCTCACGGACCGTACGCGTTAGCCGGTTACTCTTATGGAGGAATGCTGGCCTTTGAGATTGGAAAAGTTCTTGAAGCGAATGGTGACCAGGTGAAATTTATTGGTTCTTTTAACTTGCCACCACATATCCGAACACGCATGAGCCAGGTGAATTGGAAAATGTCTGTGCTAGACCTGTGCCACTTTTTACAATTGGTCTCGGAGGATCGTGCAGCGGAATTAGCGCATGAACTTGCGGATGTTCCCGACGAAAGACTGATATCTGAAGTTATGGTTCACGTTAACTCTGACAGGTTGGCTGAGTTAGCGTTATCCTCCACAGCCCTTACTAGATGGGCGCGAATTGGCTTGAATTTGCATCGCATCGCGGTCACATACGAGCCTTCGTCCTCGGTAGCTAGCATGGATGTGTTTTTCTGTGATCCAATCACTGTGGTGGCTCCTTCAAAGGCGGTTTGGCTAGAAGAATTCCTTCTCAAGTGGAACGATTTTACCAGAGCTGGGGCACGATTTCATGAGGTGCAAGGCACTCACTATACCATGCTGTCCCCGGATAATGTTTTCTCTTTTCAGAAGGTATTACGTGGTGCTTTGGAAGCGCGGGGGATTTGAATAGTACACATTTCCTTTTTCTACCTCTTCCCGATATTTCGGCTTAGCAACACATCAGTCGATATTTTTTTATCGATATTTTTTTCTAAATAAATGTTCTTGGTTATTCAATATGAGCCGGAATTTCCTCGGAAGAAAGTAATTTGCTTGCGTAGAAACTCTTTCTTGTGGCTCCAGGTTTGTTTATGCTTAAGGTCACCCTTATCTCGGTCTCACATTCAATTACTACCTAACATATCTACAATGTATAGTTATACTACGCGGCGGTCAAGGAGGACTTTTTTTCTAGGTATGAGTCGAACAATGCAAGGGAAATTCAACCAGGCATCAATCTGCACGAGTAATATGACATAGCTTCGAAAACTTTGTGCGTCCAGATTGATACAATACTGTCAAATACTTGCATGTAGCATATATGATACAGGAAACGATTGATACGAATATCAAGCCCCGGCTCCAAGTAACCAGCTGTCGAATTCAAGTTCACGGTTGAACCAAGCTTAATCATGATACTTCCAAATACGTTTTTCGTCGCGGTGTTTTATTTCGCTATTTTGACAGCACAGTCATCCCCTATCTCCGCAATTTATGAATTTCCCCCTAGTATATCGCTGGAGAATCTCGCCATTGGCCCATCCATCAACAGTATTCTTGTCACAAGCGATAACACACCCTCGGTCTACCAAATCAATATCCCAACCCATCCCAGCAGTAAGGTAGCAGCACTGCCAATCTATACCTTTCCAAACGCAACTGGATTACTCGGAATTGTCAAGTATGCACTCAATACATATGCCATCGTTGTTGGCAATTTCTCTATCGCCGATTTTGGCCAGAATACCTCGTTCTCAATCTGGAGTATCACGTTTCCTGATGATGGCTCATCCCAGGAGTCCGGAGCCGCTGTAAAAGCGCACAAGATCACCGACATCGCCCAGGCTCGCATGCTGAACGGCATGACTACGTTGAACGAAGATCCACCGACCGTCTTGATCGCTGATAGTTTGGCTGGATGTGTGTACCGTCTGCATGCCAGCACAGGAAAGCTAGAAGTTGTCCTAGAAGATGAGACGATGAAGCCCGGTGGTGCTCCTGAGGAACCGGTTTCATTACGCTCTGTTGCACTGAATGGGATCCGGAAGGTGACCACCATGAACGACACCTATCTTTATTACAGCAACAGCAACAAGTCAACAATAAATCGAGTCTTGATTGATCCTCTATCTGGGTACGCTAGGGGTCCCTATACAACTTTGACGACGACTCGGGAACTTTTCTCACCCGATGATCTGATATATGACTATGAAACAGGCGATGTGTATTTTGCTGGACATATGGACAATGTTATCGTCAGAGTCAGCCCGAATAGAGAAGGAGAAGAGACAGTGGTTGGGAATGTGACGGCACCGAGCAGCCTGGTGTTTGGGGAGGGCAAGAAAAGTCGGATTCTCTATGGGACCACCGCTAGTGAAACAAGTGATGGAATCAAAAAGGCAGGTGGTAGACTAGTGACCGTTAGGATAGATGATTTGTAGTTTGGTATATTGAGTGAAAGCTGGCCTATTGTTTTACCCGCCGGGTTTTCCATTGGCTCAAGCGGCTACAGCTCTCATGATGCTATGGACTGCGGAGACTCCGTCTCCAGATCGCCCGAGCCTCCCACGGCACTACATGTGGTAACATAATGAAATTCCTCTCCACAAGTACCCATCTCAAGACTAGTAGACATCAAATCATGTTTAGTTCCTCTACCTGCGTGACATCTTCAATAAACGTAGCGCCATACTCTATCATCATCTGTATCTTCTCCTCCATATTCATCGCTAAACTCATTCTCCCGAAATCTCTTGGCATTTGGCTAGCACTCTCAAACCTCAACACCCACACACCGACTCCATCTGTCGGCCAACCAAACACCAACACCTTGTTTTCTTCCTCCGTGGCCTGCGCTATGCCAATTAATACATCCATCCAAGCCTCCTTACTGGGCCACAGCGTCGCACCAGTCCGTCGCATGAGATTACAGAATCTGTCTTCTGTATAAGCCCATAACCCATCGATGGGCCCGAAGGATGGGCCCAAAGCCCAACCCATTAGTGGACTGGGTTGGGTTGGGCTTTGGGCTTTGTGGGCTTTGCAAAGGCTTAGCAATGACAGCCTCCGACATTCGTTCATTGTCGCCGTGGCGGTGTCCTGTCTAATGATCGTTCCCGCACTGACGATGGAATGGAGATCAATCAAGAAGGAGAAATCTGTTACGGCTGTTTAGGAAGAGGTACTATAGTGTATGGCTAGGAGGTGTGTTGGAATATATATCTCTATCCAATCTATAGAGTTTCCAGGCAAAATCCTAGAATGTTAGTGGCTGGGCCAGGGGTTAGACATACAATATTTTATTTGCGGATATTCGTTTTAACAGTTCTGGAGTGAATAGAGGATAAAGTAGTTAATTCGTACGGAGTACTCCGTACATATCGACTACTTACATGCTTTGTAGGTTTGTAAGAACATTGAGGGTTGTCTGAGCCTAGATGATGGATAGTCCCCACCTTAATTTCACAAGGCGTTTTAAGAGAATCGCTAACAAGTGGCCCCTGGGCAATTTAAGCGAAACCGAGCGAATCAGAGATGACAAATAGCTACCCCTGTCCAATCTAGTACTATTAATAGTGGTAATATCCATATTTTCACAGTTTAATGAGTTTATGAATGCATTGCTAGTGTACTTCGAGCCTAGGGGGGAAAATTAGAAGTGTCAGCTGCCATAGCTTTACACCTCCAAGCTACGTTAAGCATAAAAATCACACAATGAGTAGGTATCCCCATGTAGAATATTATAATGTTAACCAATTGAGTAACTGAAAAGACGATAATTCCAAGCACATGTTAAAATACATAAAACCTGCCTTGCATAAAGTCTTAGCACGGGAGGGAACAAAACCAGGTTTTTCTCACGATAAGATCAACCTCCCCTCCCCAACACCTCTGTTCAACACAGAATGTCACTGGTGCAGCATGTTTCTGTCATTGACGGTGTTGATCGTGAACCTGAACCAGACCTAGTTGATGACTGCGACTTCACTCCCATTCGCCGAAAAATAAGCTACGATGTCCTCCAGCCTCCGAGCGAGGCTATCCCGGTCGCAGAATTACTCCCTGGAACACCGGCGTACAAACATTCCCCCGCAAAGAGAATAGGTATGTACTCTTCAGCCCAGGGTAAGACAAACTGCTGACATCATCTAGCTCAGGTGGCCGTTACTGTACTCGCATGCTGGAGCGCGTCGGGGATCGTGTTTGGTTTCGCCGCGCTCAAGCCTGTGCTCGTCGAAGAAGGCGTGTATCACGAGCGTTGTACTCCTGCCGAAATAGACGAAGGACTTGAGTTGTGCGCACAGCAGGACCTTAGGTATGTTTGTTGCACAAAACACACCGATTTGTGCTTATCACTGATCGCTGTTAGACTTAACCTGTTCTTCACCATTGCCTCGATAACAGCCAATGTCTCCGCTCTTCCAGTGGGGACGATCTTGGATCGATGCGGTTCACGTGTGTGCTGGTTCATTGCTTGTCTGCTGCTTGCTATTGGCGGTGTCATAATGGCCTTTGCATTCCATGAACCTGGCTTTGATGGCTATATCCCGGGAAATTTCTTCCTCGCACTGGCTGGCACCTTTTTATTTGTTCCCTCGTTCCAGATCGCGAATGCTTTTCCTAAACATGCGGGGTCGATCGTCGCGCTGGTGACTGGTGCATTTGATGCCTCTGCTGCTGTATTCCTATTCTACCGGCTCATCTATGAGGGCTCAGGCAGATCATTCACTCCGGATAAGTTCTTTCTGGGGTATCTGATAGTCCCCGTGTGTATTGTCATCGCGTTGATTACCATAATGCCAGCGCGCGACTATGTCTCAACCCTGCAATTGGAGAATAAGATAGAAAAGGCCGAAGATGCCACCCGCGACGTCCACGACTCCGATGATGAAATCGAAAGCACATCGGAGCTAAATCGCGTGCGGAAGAAGCGTGCGGAGCTGCGGCAGAAGAAGATTCGCCAGATCGATGCGGTGCTTGGTGATAAAGATGAGCGGCAGATGCGTGCGGAGCGAGAAGAGGATCGTCAGCAGACTAGTTCGGTCTGGGGTGTAATGCACGGCTTGCCGGCGCACAGGCAAATGGCTACACCCTGGTTTATCCTGATTACGCTGATGACTGTTTTGCAGATGATTCGCATGAACTATTTTATCGCAACGATCCGCTCGCAGTATGAATATATGCTCGGATCGATCGATGAGGCAGATAAAATAGGTGCCTTTTTCGACGTCGCACTGCCGGTCGGGGGTGTTTTATTCACACCTGGGATCGGGTACCTTCTTGATCGCCTCAGTGTGCCAGCCATGCTTGGGCTAATTGTTCTTTTCACCACGGTTATTGGCGTGCTGAACTCCATCCCGGCAGTGTGGGCTGGTTATATGACCGTTGTGCTCTTTGTCTTACTCCGACCTCTCTATTACTCGGCCATGTCGTATGTTATTTTTTTCCGTTCCACTCACTGCTATATTAAACTTGTTAATTTTGCCCCTAGCGATTATACTACCAAAGTCTTCGGATTTGCCACGTTTGGACGTGTGTACGGTGCTATCATTTGCCTCTCGGGACTTGCAAACTTCTCTCAGTACGGGCTCGACGCATTGACGCACCATACGTTCGATGGAAACCCAATTCCAATCAATGCTTCCTTGGCAGTCGCAGGATTCATTGTTGGAACAGCACTCGTGATCTTTGTTTTCGTGTCTGTGAGACAGCTGAGAGAGCAGGGTCGGGTAGACGAGGAAGAGCGTGAGAGACTTATTTTGGAAGAGGATGAAGAAGAGGACGAATACGAAGATGACGAAAGTTACCGTTGATAGGGATAGCATTTTTAGCGTGGACCGAGGTATAAAAATGAAATTTAATTTCCAATATGGTCAGCACTTTCTATCCATCGCCTACATTGTGGCTTTCTTGTAACAATTCTAGCATGGGACACTTGAATAGTATCAAAAGAGGGGCTATATTCTACCAACTACAATAAAAGGGAGTATTTTGCATAGTATATCTTTATACATATTATGCATACATTTTGCATAATTTTTTATCACCATATACAGCAAGCTATCTATCTAACGGTCAACACCCAGATTTTACCAGCATCAGACCCGGATTATAGAGGCTGTTCTGCCTAATAAATTATACTTTCGGCATTTCCGATCTAGGATCGAGCCCCGACGTATCAAGGTGGAATGCTAAAAAACTCCATTCTAAACTCATAGCTGACTCTTGGAGGTCTTGGCTGGAACTCTGGGGCTCTTAAACTCCCTGAACCACCCGCTGACAAGTAGATCAGTATCGAGGTTCGTACTGGGGTTGGAATTTTGTGGTGGCGTAAGAGGTCACCACCTTATACAGTCAGATATATTCGACTTTAATTCTCTCCATAAAGATTCATCATTGAGTAGCATTCTTTATAATTTCCTGCTAACAACAAAAGTTACAAAGTACGTGGATAGCCAAGAACCACTAACCAAGCACACTTGGCAACAGAGAGATAGGATAGATCATCCCTATGTAGTCCCACAAGTGTGACGTCTCCAACCCATCAGGTTAAAAAAAAACCCTAAACAAAGGAGGGGATTAAGGTGTGGTCACACAGTCCACGCGCCATTTGCCAAGTTGCCAAGTAGCTTTCCCCCGCATTTACCTTCCCCTCGTCCCCGGATTGTCCCCAGAAGCAGCCACTACTGACCCCAAATAGCTCTGTGTGCGAGAGATGACTCGAAGAGGCTGTCGCTAAGTGGGGTGCGTGCCCCCTCATTTGTTTCGGAATATTTGCATGCAATATGGCAGTTGTCCTTGTCCCGAGGCATTTGCCCATTTGCTCTCGGCTATTGTGTTCTCGATGATCTGGTCTCTTTAAGATTTTCCTGGGCAGATTGGAGCGGGTTGGAATAGGCGAGCGTAGATCTTGAATGGCTGGTTTAGGAATGGATAGCATTCTTTCGGAGTATATTCCTTCTTGGATATGCTGGTCTTGATCTTTGCCTCTCTTGTCGTTTGCTATAAGGCTCCAGCTTTGTCTTCTATCTAGGGTTGTAGACAATTGGATTTGTTTCTTCTTTTCCTTCTCATATCTCTTTTCCAATTTGTTCATTTCCTCTTGCTTTCCTCTTCATCTTTCCTTTCTGGAAATTCACCTTGGACATATCGACATGGGAACTATGACTTCCATTGATGAGAAACCGCCTGCTGACCACCTCATCGAGGATATCGCGGGGAAAGGATCTCCCAGCGAAGAAGATGAGGGATTTACACCACAGGAACAGAAGAAGATCATTCGACGAATTGATCTTCGTCTGGTGACCATGACCGGATTAGCTTATTGCATCTCACTCATGGACCGGACGAATCTCAGTATGGCAGCCATTGCAGGGTAAGACCGCAGTCATGTAAGAAAGTCATGTGCAGCAATGTCTAAGAATCTTGAATAGGTTGAAAGAAGAACTGCGACTGGACATAGGTCAGCGCTATGTATGTTCAAACACATGCAGTTTTTCCAAAAGGCGAATAGCTAACTTCTGAATAGTCCATTGCCGTGATGATGTTCTTCGTGCCATACATCCTTTTACAGCCCCCAATGACGGTCATCATTCGAAAACTTGGCCCAACATATTTCCTGGGCGGGATTATTGTATGCTGGGCGGGGGCCATGATTGTAAGGGCTTTCCGCTTTCTCGAAATCAAGAATTTCAGTTATTGACTGGCATAGGGAATGGGATTCGTCAACGACTGGGGTGCGTTGGTTGGAACGCGTGTGCTTTTGGGTGGACTGGAAGCTGGGTACTTCCCTGGTTGCGTCTACTTGCTATCTTGCTGGTATACGCGATGTAAGTGAAATAGCCAAAACACAGTTCTTTATGTGACTGCATAGTGCTGACTCCTCGAAGTTGAGGTCCAAAAGCGATTCTCTATTTTCTACCTCATCGGATGTGTCGCTTCTGCGTTATCGGGAATCCTTGCGTTTGGTCTGATGCAATTGAACGGAAAGCAAGGGCTGAGTGGTTGGAGATGGATTTTCATCCTTGAGGGAGTGGTACGCAGAGTTGGGTGAGCTGAAACAAAACCACCGAGCTAACAATAAACATAGATTACCGGCGTTATTGGCATCCTATGCTTGTTCTTCCTTGTCGACTTCCCTGACCGCGCACACAAGTCCTGGCGCTTCCTAAACAAGAGAGAATGCGCATTTATCATCCGTCGCATCAACAAAGACCGAAACGATGGAGATATGGAAGCCTTCTCTCTCAAGAAGTTCCTAATGCCTGCATTGGATCTTAAGATTTGGGGCTTTGCAATGATCTTTTTGTATGTTGCCCTTCCAAACAGACCTGATTCTTGCTAACCCAATGCCAGCTGCATCACTACAGTTACTTACGCCATTGCCTATTTCCTTCCCATCATCCTCCGCCTTGGCATGGGATACGGCGTCGGCGAGTCCCAATGCCTTTCTGCGCCGCCCTACGCGTTCGCAGGAATCGTCATGTACAGCACCGCCTGGGTTGCCGACAAGTACCGCATGCGCGCACAGATTGTTATTTTCAACGCCCTGCTCACCATCATTGGTTTGCCGATGATGGGATTCGCTAAGAACGATGCCGCCCGCTACGTGGGCGTGTTTTTCACTGTTGCCGGTTGTAACGCTAATATCCCAGCCTGCATGGCATACCAGGCAAACAATGTGCGTGGCCAGTGGACGCGCGCTCTCTCCAGTGCTACACTTGTAGGCTTTGGAGGGTTGGGTGGTATCGTGAGTACCTTGGTATTTCGGGAACAGGACGCTCCCCAGTACATACCAGGAATATATGCTGCTATCGCGTATGTGGTCTTTTCACCCTATCTCAGATTGTGCTTGTGTACTGTACTGACTGTGCTTCACCAGGTGTAACATTCTCATCATCTTCATCGTGATTGCTTTGAGTTTGTGGTTCCGGATCTGTAATAAGCAGGCGGACCAAGGAAAGCGGGTCATTGAGGGCGATGCGGAGTTCCGATATACAATTTGAGGTCGGGGGATATTCATGTCCTAGACTAGATGGGATCAATATAGCAATGCGAAAGCAGGCCTTTTCCTTTTCCTTCTTTCTTTCTCTTTTTTTCTTCTGAATCTCCCTTATCTATCATGAAGAAGCTCAAGGGAGCTATAACATCGGAGCTTCCCCCTTCCCCCTCGGTGGGGAGAATTCGTGGAGTAGATGTACATCCGTGGACCTGCGGGTAGTTAACTTTTCCGACGGGAAACCGGCCGTTTGCTCCGACTCGAAGGCGGTCAGTGGTCGAGCTGGGGCCCATGGCAAATCGTAATGGCTACAATTGGTCAGATAAGAGATATTCTTATCGCCACAGAAAGTTTTCCGAAAGGTTCTCCGTCATCGGGCCATCGGACAGGGAAAAGAAGAGGTGTGGGCAATAAATATTAATTTCCTACAGGTCTGGGACTTTTTGTCTTCTTCATCCTCCTAGCTCATTGATTTACTGATTTACCTGTGGATGTGTTGAGTGCTTTCCCCTAAAGCTCTCATTATCCGGTCTCAGTATGGCGGCATCACTGTTTGCTCTCCGCGGCGGCCGACAGCTTGCTCTGCGGTCGCGTGTTCGCGTGCCCTCAATTGCTAGAGCTTCATTGTCACCATTGAATGCTCGGAGAGCATTGCACACCCCGCAGCCTGTGGCCCGTCGTGGTGTCTATACTAGTTCTATCTCCGATCATGGAGATCCTCGCCCCCAAGATATCTTCCAACCCCTCGATACCTTCCCCCGCCGCCACATTGGCCCTTCCCCAGATGCCGCGGCACAGATGCTCGCCGTGCTCGACCCGCCGGTAGCATCCTTGGATGACTTCGTGAAGCAGGTTTTGCCTGCGGACATCCTCTCCAAGAAGGACCTCAAGGTCTCCGAGCCCAATGCCGATATCAGCCTATACCGCTCCAGTGTGCAGGGTGGATTGGGCGAAACCGATATGCTCAAGCTGCTGGACACCTACCGGAAGCAGATTGATATCTCCGGCAAGACTTATATCGGAACTGGCTACTACCCCACCATTGTGCCCCCGGTCATCCAGCGCAATGTTCTCGAGAACCCTGCCTGGTACACCAGCTATACACCCTACCAGCCCGAGATCAGCCAGGGCCGTCTAGAGTCTCTGCTGAACTACCAGACCCTGACAGCTGATCTGACCGGTTTGCCCTTCGCCAATGCCTCTGTTTTGGACGAGGCCACCGCCGCTGCCGAGGCCATGACCATGTCCTTCGCCACAATGCCCGCTTCCAAGCAGAAGAAGGCCGAAAAGTCCTACGTTGTGTCTCACCTCTGCCACCCCCAGACTATTGCAGTGATGCGATCCCGTGCCGAGGGATTCGGAATCAATCTCGTGATTGGAGATATCTTGGCCGACGACTTCAAGATCGTCAAGGACCAGAAGGACCACCTGATCGGTGTGCTTGCCCAGTACCCCGATACCGAGGGAGGTATCTACGAATTCCAGGCTCTGAGTGACTCAATCCACGGCCAGGGTGGTACTTTCAGCGTGGCCACTGACCTCCTGGCTTTGACTGTCCTGAAGGCCCCCGGCGAATTCGGTGCCGACATCGCCTTCGGTAGTGCCCAGCGTCTGGGTGTTCCCATGGGCTTCGGTGGTCCCCACGCCGCTTTCTTCGCTTGTGCCGACAAGTACAAGCGCAAGGTACCTGGTCGTGTCGTTGGTGTGTCCAAGGACCGCCTCGGTAACCGGGCTCTGCGCCTGGCTCTGCAGACTCGCGAGCAACACATTCGCCGCGAGAAGGCTACCAGCAACATTTGCACTGCTCAGGCTTTGCTTGCTAACATGACTGCTATGTATGCTATCTACCACGGCCCTGTTGGCCTCAAGTCCATTGCCCAGCGTATCATGTCCATGACTTCACTGCTGCGCGAGAAGCTTGTCGGCCTGGGATATGATGTTCCAGTCCGCTCCAACAGCACTGATGGCGCCGCTGTGTTCGACACTCTGGCCATTGAGCTTCCCAGTGCTGCGGAGGCCGATGCCATCATGACCGAGGCTCGCGCTGCCTCTGTCTTCCTTCGCCGTCTTGGCGGAAACAAAGTCGGTCTCTCTCTGGACGAGACTGTTGGTCGGGATGAGGTAAAGGGCATTTTGAACGTATTTGCCGCTCACAAGTCCGCTTCTCCCGTCGAGGTTGATGGCACTCTTGGTCTCGCCACCGTCCCCGCCAGCCTTGAGCGTACCTCCTCTTACCTCACCCACCCTGTCTTCAACACCTACCACTCCGAGACTGAGATGCTCCGGTACATCCACCACCTTGAATCAAAGGATCTTTCTTTGGCTCACTCCATGATTCCTCTCGGATCTTGCACTATGAAGCTCAACGCTACCACAGAAATGATCCCCGTCTCCTGGCCCGAGTTTTCCCAGATCCACCCCTTCATGCCTGCCGAGCAAGCCAAGGGCTACACAAAGATGATTGACGATCTGGAGCAGCAGTTGGCCGATATTACCGGCATGGCCGAGGTTACCGTGCAGCCCAACTCTGGCGCCCAGGGTGAGTTCGCCGGTCTTCGTGTTATCAAGAAGTACTTCGAGGCCAAGGGTGATGCCAAGCGCAATCTCTGCTTGATCCCTGTCTCTGCTCACGGTACCAACCCTGCGAGTGCCGCCATGGCTGGTATGCGCGTTGTCACCATCAAATGTGACACCAAGACTGGTAACCTCGATCTGGAGGATCTCAAGGCCAAGTGCGAGAAGCACAAGGACGAGTTGGCTGCGTTCATGATCACCTACCCTAGCACCTTCGGTGTGTTCGAGCCCGGTGCCAAGGAGGCCTGCCGTCTCGTGCACCAGCACGGTGGCCAGGTCTACATGGACGGAGCCAACATGAACGCCCAGATCGGTCTCTGCTCTCCTGGTGAGATCGGCGCCGATGTGTGCCACTTGAACCTTCACAAGACCTTCTGTATCCCCCACGGTGGTGGTGGTCCCGGTGTCGGCCCCATTGGTGTCGGCGAGCACCTGCGTCCATTCCTGCCCTCGCACCCTACCAGCGAGTACTTGCAGTCGAAGCGTGGCGACACTTCCTCACCTCCCATCTCCGCTGCTCCCTGGGGCAGTGCCAGCATCTTGCCCATCACCTTCAACTACATCAACATGATGGGCGAGCGTGGTCTGACCCACGCCACCAAGATCACTTTGCTCAACGCAAACTACATCCTCTCCCGCCTGAAGCCCCACTACCCAATCCTGTACACCAACGAAAACGGTCGCTGCGCACACGAGTTCATCCTCGATGTCCGCGCTTTCAAGGAGACCTGCGGTGTCGAGGCCATCGATATCGCCAAGCGTCTCCAGGACTACGGCTTCCATGCCCCGACCATGTCCTGGCCCGTCGCCAATACCCTTATGATCGAGCCCACCGAGTCCGAGAACAAGGACGAGCTGGACCGCTTCTGCGATGCCTTGATCTCCATCCGTGAGGAGATCCGCCAGGTCGAGTCTGGTGCCCAGCCTCGCGAGGGTAACGTGCTGAAGATGTCCCCCCACACTCAGCGCGACCTGCTCGTTTCCGAGTGGGACCGCCCTTACACTCGTGAGCAGGCTGCCTACCCCCTGCCTTTGCTTTTGGAGAAGAAGTTTTGGCCTACCGTGACTCGTGTCGATGATGCCTTTGGTGACCAGAACTTGTTCTGCACTTGTGGTCCTGTCGAGGACACCGAATAGAGACAGATCTAGACAGATCTATGATACCCATGCTGCGCTGATTGTTTTTTTTGTATGGTGGCTTCATTCCTTCTGATGCTCACCTCTTCTCTGTGTATACATTCAACATTTCTTATTTTTGATGAGGGTAGAAAAAAATCTACCTACAGACTACTTCTTTACGAGGGCTGGATTGATTCAACATAATCATCCAGTATGCCAAGACTAATACAATTCAAAGAATTAAAAAGTCCTCTAGACATTCCATTAGATTCTCTTTGACAATATCCATGTTGTAAACAATGTAAATAGCAACAACTATCGCATCACAATCTTGACTTGGCTTTACAAACTTGCCGCGGTGATGCTTTTGACGGTCTTATCGGTGATTTATTACCATACGGAACCCTCCACTAGTAAATTACCTTATTATAAACAAACTCGTCCGCTCCAAATACCGTATTCCTCATGTATCATATCGGAGACGGCCGACCCCCGCCCTCTCCAATAACCGCCGTTGGCCCTAATCACCAACCAACCCACTGCAACCCACCTCATGCGCTGAAGAAACCTTGAGGACATTCGAATCGGACAGGAATAGCCGTGATATTCTCCACAGCTCGGCCCCTACTCTCACCGGGCAATATTACCTAAGAAGAAACCAGAAGACAGATATATGAACGTGTGTCTGACTCTCTTTTGCTCGCCTTGTTGATTTTGATCTTTCGGGCCTTTGTTTCCACTGTGGAGACCGATCTACATTTACATCTATAATATACATTGATACTGCTGATCCAGCTTCTTTGTGGAAAGTTATACCTACACCACTGCACACATTCATCTTCATCTTGATCATATCCGCGCCAATACTTTGTATCTTATCGGCAATATGGGCTCGATAACGGACTATGCTTTCACAACGGACTATGCTTTCACTGTCTATCGTGGCACATTCATTCAATCAATTCTACCAGATTTGGGTTCAAAGCCTGAATTGTCTCGCAACCAAGGCGCGTTATGGGTCTCCGCTGCTGATGGCCGCATCCAAGGCTGGGACTGGGAAGCTAGTGATGAGAATGGTTTCACCGAATTGATGAACCGGAGTGGATGGGTTGATATTGAAGCTATTGCGACCCAGGACCAAGTCAATGGTCATGATTCGAAAATTAGAGTTAAGATTGTTACTGCGAGTGAGGAAGAAAACGAGTTCTTCTTCCCCGGTTTTATTGGTATGCATTAAATACAACTTCCTAACCCCAGCCAAGTCCCATAGTTCAAGCCTTGATACTAACTGCTGCCTCAGACACACACATTCATGCCCCACAGTACCCTAACGCGGGCCTGTTCGGCTCATCAACACTTCTAGACTGGCTAGAGACCTACACATTCCCAGTAGAGTCACGGTTTGGGTCCCCACCAGACCCCAAAACAGGCCACCAGACCCAAACCGACCCCAAAGACACACCCCTCCTAGCCCAGCAAATCTACGACCAAGTAATCTCCCGCACTCTATCCCACGGCACAACCTGCGCCTCCTATTATGCAACAACCCATGTCCCAGCAACAAACGCCCTATCATCCCTCTGCCACAGCCGCGGCCAACGAGCCTTCATCGGCCGCGCATGCATGGATAACCCAGACTTCTGCGTAGACTACTACCGTGACTTCAGCGCTGATGACTCAATCGTCGCAACCCGCCAAACAATCGAATACATCCACACCCTGGACCCGGACGGCAAGCTTGTCAAGCCAATCATCACACCGCGCTTTGCGCCTTCATGCACGAGACCTGCACTGCAGAGCCTCGGCAAGTTAGCTGCAAGTTACTCGCCCCCGCTGCATATCCAGACGCATATCTCGGAGAATATCAACGAGCTCGCGCTCGTCAAAGAACTCTTCCCTGAGGCGGACAGTTATGCCGCCGTCTATGATAAATACAACCTCCTCACATCACGCACAATCCTCGCGCATGCGGTTCATCTCACCGCGGATGAGCGGGCTTTGATCCGCACGCGCGACGCGAAAGTCTCACACTGCCCGGCGTCGAACTCGGCGCTGGGGTCTGGGATTTGTCCTGTTAGGACGCTGCTTGATGATGGTATCACGGTTGGTCTGGGTACGGATGTTAGTGGTGGGTATAGTCCTAGTATTCTTGAGGCGGCCAGACAGGCTTGTCTTTCCTCGAGGTTGTTAGGCCACTCGGCTGCATGGCAAAAGGATCATCCTCAGGGTGATGGATGGGAGAAATTGTCTGTTCCCGAGAGTCTTTACCTTGGTACACGCGGTGGCGCGGCAGTTGTTGACATGGCGAGCGATCTTGGTGGCTTTGATATGGGGATGTTGTGGGATGTGCAGTTGATTCGGCTTGGTCGGGTTAAGCTGGTGGAGAAGAGTCCGCTGGATGGTGTTGTTGATGGTAGTGTGGATCTTGTTAAGGCTGGTCCTGTCGGAAATGTTGATTTGTTCGGGACGGAGAGTTGGGAAGAGAAGATCCAAAAGTGGGTTTGGAGTGGTGATGATCGGAATGTGAAGGCTGTCTGGGTTGGGGGGAGGTTGGTTCATTCAAGGGTTTGAGTGGCCACTGTATGTATTTTGCGGGTTTAGATTTTATTTCTACATATTTGTGATATCTCACTTTTAGATTTAATTAATCTTTATGACATGTTTGATATTCAGTGTTCATACTTCTGACTTTTCGAGGTATTAATACTACAAGCAGTAAGGTGATGTTGGATACGAAATGGTCATTCACGTTCTTGCTGTTTCAATTTTTTTTAAAAAATATATTGCTCTGCGACGCCCAAAAACTGAATTGTTCATCCCAGATATTTACTGGAAGAGCTCCACGCAATCGAAAATCTATCAAGATAGGTAAGCTTCCATCAAAAAGAACAGATGATTAAAAAGATACTCACAAAATTCGGGTTCAGGAAGGTCTCCCCGGAGCTACCAGAAGCAACACTGATGGTGATCTGAGCGGAGTTAGCATCATATCATCTCATTACGCAAAAGGTTCTTACGGTGTTAGATCCAGCGACGATAGTTCCAGCCGGAATAGAAACATCATAAACCTCACCAAACCCTCTATACGCGCCACGAGTCACGCCACGGGAGTTGAGGTTAGTCGGGGCAGCCGGGATGGCACCCGAATATTTGTTAATCTATGCAAAGGGTTAGAGATGCATGCTAAGAGTCCGAAGATGGAGAACGGGACTTGAACATACCACAGCCTGAGGCCGACCACCGGCAAAGGAAAGCGTGGTGCCAATTCTCAGTGTTGCAGCTCCTGTCTGCGAAGAAGTTGCCGTGAATTTAATTGTCACAGGTGAGTTCATCGACTTGAATATGGCCATGGGGAAAGAGGAGTCTGCGGAGGTGCCGACTGTGTAGGTGGCTGGGGACCAGGAAGACATGCGGGTGTCAGAGGGATGCATTCGGAGCTGCTTGTCAGCATTGAGGAAGCCAGTTGGTCTGTAGGGTAGTCAATATCAGATCAATTATGTGAAGTACAATCAATACACTCACGTCCCATCCCACTCTCCAATCTTGAAGACTGTTGTTCCGGTCTTCACAGACCCCGAGATATTCTGCGACGTGGTTGATCCGGCCTTAACAACCACTGAGGAGGTGCCGACGACATATTCACCCTGATAGTATACCATAGTGTAGGTACCGGGCTTCATGGCAGGAGAGGTGAAAGCGCCGGAAGATGAAGCGTAGGTCCAGTACTGTGCATCTGCATTATACCTGTCCTGGTTTTAGATATGTCTCGTCCCAGTACAATTTGCATTTGACATACCAGTGAACGACCCATTTGAAATTCGAGTCAGCCCCAGATGCAGTACCCTTGACATAGCCTCTCCCAGACGTAGCGACGTATCCTTTGATATTGAGGTCGGCGAAGAACGATGTGTCAATATTAGAACTGGGGGTACCGCTTCGGCTGAAGGTCATCGAGTACGGGCCATGCAGGCCCTGGCGGTAGGTTTCGGTCTGAACGTGTCCGGAATTCTGTATAGAGTAAGAGACCGTTACTAGTTGAGCGAAGGAGGCTATATACCATGTACCAATACAGGCCAGTGTAAGAGCCAACGTTGTTGGTGTTGATATCACTGTACATGTTAGTTTAGATCAAGTAATGCCGACCGAGGATCTTACCGATGGAAAGGTCCGCCAGCGGACGTCTCATATTGATTCAAGATCATGCAGACGCGGTGTGCGCTTCCAGAAACACCTGTTTGTGTTATGAGGAGTCGCATTAATCGGGGTAGAGGTGTTCTTACAGTGGATCTTGTCATCGATAAACCGTTCGCTAGAGTAGAACTTGCTTCGTGTTTCTCCATCAACCAAGAACTAATATGATATTTAGCTGTTTGTACTAGTTCAAAAAAGCTTTAGAGGAAACTTACCACATCCTCTCCTTCAATAACAGTACCATCTGCAATAGTGGACACATCGCCGAATGGCTCTTCATTGGGGAGTAGGTCTGCATTCAGGCGTGCAATGTATCGAAGTTCTCCAACAGTAGGTTCTAAAGAAAATAATTAATATAACCACCAAACTTTACCCCGAAGGGCACTGACCGGCAGTTGTATATGTTGCCATATGTATGGTCGAATCTCCACTGTGAACAACATAGTAATGAGTCAAGGTGGACGTTTCGCAGGTCACCTTAATGAAGTCGTCTATATTGGTCAGGGCATTTTCCAACGGATATCTTGATTCTCAACTGACCAGTCTGAGTCGCAGTCACAGTTGCGCTACCAAGACCCGATCCGATATGCGACCCAGTCGACTGGTATTGAAGCTCCGATCCATAGTAATTGATGGAAGTAATGTCACAGTTTGTCCTGCTGACAGTGAACTTGAGGGGGTTTGCAGAGCCAGCATCGATTACATAGGAAGACGTGCTGGTAGTAATTCCAAAGGCTGCGGATGCCTGCTTGGCCAAAAGGGCTAGCGAAGCAACGGCCAGGGACTTGAAAAGCATCATGTCCAACGTGTATTCTGTAGAAACTTGCTGGTATCCCGCAATATATGAGGGGAGAAGAGCAGCTTAATATAACAGGAGAGGATTCTTGTTTCTTCATGATGAAACCCTGCATGCTGAAAGGTGGAGATTTGGCAGCTAGCGGTTGCTCCGTTTCTGCACAGTTCTCCCTGAATTTAGCCATGGTTCCACCAATACGGATTCAAACTCAACGCAAAGGCCGCTGGCTGAAAATAAGCACAAGCTGCGTGAGAGTGAGGGGTTCAGATTCCCCTGAGCGGATGTAGCTTGTAGCCTTACCAAGAGCCCCTGCAACTCCGTGTGGGGTGGTTGTTGTTTCATCACCACGGAGCACCTGTAGTAGTTCAAGGAAGGATTCATGTTGAGACATCTTGATGATTTTATGAATATCTTCACCTAAAAAGGCAAATTTCCCGATGACTTTCATTTGAGCGAATAGAAAGGGATCATCCCAGTTTCCGGAGTACGGACTCCCTTTTCCCGAAATACCGAGAAAGGTACATAGGTGTCGGAAAGTTAGATATTACGAGGGGGTTTCCTGGCGTGGACATCATTCAATTTTAATGGAAAAATGAATGGGCTGACTGAATACGCAGTTAACCATCTTAGGAGTGTACAGAAGTTGCTGGCGTCGGAGTAGGGTAAAGTACGTATATCCCGTGGAAATGAGGTTTATCCGGTCTATATGATTTCCTTGAGCATTTCTCTTGAATTTTATATAGAAAACTCGGGGGATTAAGAAGATAAGTAGACCGCAATAGTACGAAAGGACCTGCAGAAATGGTACTACATCTAATATCGTATTGCTCGAGAAAGACTGACATTGAAATAAATACCAGCCATCGCACCCATAGTGAACAAAGAAAGGATTGTAAGATCCCGAAATATTGGGCCACCAAGATAGACTGATAGGATACAAAATAGCTAGAATATTGGGAACCACAAATAACAAAAATTCACAATTCAGAATTTCCGAATTTCCGAACCAAGTATATGCGTCACAATGGATGGACCAGACAGGTTGGTTAAACGCGCTTGGAAGGACGGCTAATAAATGAGTCAGCTAATGTTTTGGGATAAAAGCTTCGGGGCAACCCTTACATGCCTTTTCACGAGCATGTCTGTCCTGATGACGAGATCAGCCTAGGGGAAGTTCCCACACTCGGTGCCCGGCACAATTGGTATTGGGTGTCTCCCTTTGCTCACACATGGTAAACCATTGAGCTTGGGCGAGGCGTCTGCATCTGCATTTGCAATCACAGTTGCCAAAAGCATACTGCATAGAGCGAGGATTTTGCCAAGTTGGAAGTACTTCATTATGTGTAGAAGAAGAGTAGAATGTGGCGTGACGATTCCAAGACTACAACAGTTAATCGCTTTATTTATATTACTAACGGGGGCGCAACTCGCGCCATGTCGTAAATAAGCATTAGGATGTTTCTTTCGGAAAGATTTCTTATTCAGAGGAGAATTATTTATTGAGGAACGTTTGAAGGTCGAGATCAGCGTTCTGTGAGCCCCGACCAAACCTCCGATCTCCCCGAGAACATGGGGTTGATTGGATGAAAATTTTCAAATATGTGCTACGTTGTGTTAACAAAGAACAATATCGTGTTTCTGGGCGGAAATCCAGCACGAATCCTTGACCGGCTGTTGCGCAACTCGTTGTCTTTGTTACTAAAAATGGGGCTGAATAGACTTAAATTGAAAGTGCGTTATTCATACCGGATGTCAAACGTGTCTATCAACGCCATTTGATTTGATTTGAGCTTGCCTATGTTCCTTTTCCAGTCCATGTGCCTTGCGACTGGCAGGGCCAAATGGTTTCACCACAGTTGACAGATATTTAATAGAATTTCTGGATCGTTAGACGTTTGTTTCAGATTTATACTCCGAATTTTGTCCAATATTAGAAGAATAGTCAGTCGCTTGTATTGCCTTGTGGTCCTTTAGTACTCCGTAGTCTTCAAATAAATCTTTAGATCTTTCCACCTTTATTAGGGTTAGAATAAGGATGAGAAGAATCAGCCATAAACATGAACACTTATATCCAAACTGTATAGTGAAAGAAGGCCTTCCTATGGATGGATATATTTTATAATTAAAATGAAGGCACGGGCCAATAAGAATCTCTTTTGAGTTGAAATACTGAAATGCTTGTGTCGTTCCTTCCAAAGTCGTGCTTCTCCGCACCCCCCTATTTCCACCTGGAGCAGGTAACTCAGGAAGCGGACAAGAGGATATATGGTCAAAGCTTCTCATCAGGTCTTGTCTTCTCTACGCGTGATATTTAGGGATCCCCCTTGATGCTGCCCTCGTTGACGCGCAACCCCTAGATTTGTATCTTGGGCTACATAAACATCATCTGCTCGTGGAGGAGTCTAAAAGCTCAGTGAATGGGGTTCAAGTCCCTATTAAAACCTATGACATTGGTTCTACCGGATTAAATTTCCACAAGGCGTGCAAATGGGCGATTCTCAGTCCCCCATCCCGAAGTTAGGTGTAAAAGGCCCGCAATGGGGCCCTCAGATCGACTGGCTTACAAGGTTATCTTCCTCTCATCATTAATTGCAGATAGTTCTACTGTTTGTTTTCACTTCTCTCCCTTGCATATGGCCTTCTGAGATGTGGATAAGAGTCTAGAATCCTATGGATCCTTTGTATTTGGTTGAATAATTTGAAACTTATGACTGGATTATCTGTTTCATATTGTCATATCATGTAGAAGCTCATATATGCACACAAGCTCCAGAGGTTTATAAAACTTCGTGATATATGACCAAAGAGCTACGAACTAGATTTACCAATAGAAAAAAGCGTGCCAACTTTTGTAGAGGGTATTAATATTTATCTGGATCATTAGGGATGAGTGAGAACAAAAATTAGAAGGGTACCTATTTAAACACATCTACACTCCGTGCATATCGAGCCATTCCTATCATAATAGTTCTTTGGATGCTCACAGCCCCAAAATTCTCCGCATCCCAGAGTTCTCAACAATATACCCTCCCCCCAGTTTGAATACTCCCGGGCCCTCCAATTTTTCTTCATAGCGTCCCATCGCCATGTTCGTCAAGAACGACCCAAGGTGCTCCGTTGGTGAATGCATTGACGTTATGAAACACCGCACAGTGGAGCCAAGCATACCCAACCCAACCTTTGCAACCATTCCACTCACTATACTAGACGGAATATATGGCTTGATAGAATCGTGCGTGGCTGAGTCAACGAATGCAGGTCTCACGCTATCGGCCCGAAAGGTCGGCTTTGTCTCTGACAGTGCTCCGATAAGCTCTTCAGCCTCGCCCTTTACTCTCGCAAAGATGGGCGAGAATCGTCCGGGATTCTGGGTGGCGCCTTCTCCAGATACATGGATGAATCGGAAGGGATGGTCTGATGGTTTGATTGTGGAGAAGGCATTCGCAGCTGCCAGGGTATAATCCTTGGTTATCTTAACGTATTCCCTATTAACTGTTAGTTTTGATATCCATCTATGGATGTAACAAATAATTCCTCATACTCTTTGGTGACGTTTGTCTGGCTTGTTCCTAGAGCCCAAACACATCCATCTGCATCTTTCAATTGCTCGAGCAACTCTGGTTTGTATGATTCAAAGTCTGCATGGGTGATGACGCGAACGCGTGGGTCTTTTGCGTCTTCTGCCATTCGTACAGGACTTCGGCTCAGGATTGAGATCTTGGACACTGCTGTGCTTTTGAGCATGGCGTCGAGCACTGAAGACCCGACTAGCCCGGTTGCTCCTGTGAGAATAAGATGCATTTTGGAAATAGTGGAGATATTGGAATTGATGCAAAAGAGAATGGTGAAAAAAAGAGAGACTAGGAGGGAGCTACCTCGATTATATACGTCTATGTTGTTCCATTTTGAACGTCTTAAGTCCGCGAAAGAGCAATTTAGGCCCCAGGTGTTGGGAGGCGGCTGATGCTGACAGCGCACTAACTATATACGGTTAGTAGATTAGGGATAGGCTGCTGTGCACGTGTTTATTAGTCAGATTGAAACATGACCCACAGCACCTTAAACCACATTTGGACGGAGATAAGAGTACTATTAATACCTCAACAGTAACAGTTTGGGCAACGTTTATCCCATAGCGATACTTACACTTATGGTCTCCTTCATTTTGAATAATTGTAGCCTAATCACCACATTACTCCGTAAGGGAGCAGTGATTCAGCGATATGCTACCCGTTAACTCTCAATACTGGTTGATTATTCTCTTGGAGTTAACTTTCCTAAAAGAAGATAAAGATTTTGTCTCTTAATTATCCGCATTCACTTGAGCCTCATTCGTCTTGGCGAGAGGGATATTACTGCACCTTGTGTGGGTGCTGCTTTCTCTAAACTCTCCTCATAATTGTATAATGACAATATCAGTATATGCGAAAAACCTCTGACGAGAAATGAATACAGTCCATGCCTTTTAAAGCTAGTGGATTCGCAATACCAGTTTGAGGCCCGAGGCCCGAACTCCGACTTTTCAATGTGACGCCGACCAATAGTCATTATAAAAACCCCTTTTCCATTATTGCTCTTGTCTCCAAAAAGGTATCATTCATCACTAAAATGTGGAAGCTTTGGCTTGCTACCCTTGTCGGCGCAGCCCATGCGTCACAGACCGTGCTCCGACCAGACCCCTTGGAGTCGAACTTCACCACGTTTCGAAGTACGAATTCACCCCATTCCGTACGTATCCGACAACAAAATGAGTCTATATGTGCTGCCGGCTCTGCGCAGTACACAGGATGGTTAGATATTGGCCCAAAGCACTTGTTCTTCTGGTACTTCGAAAGTCAGAATGATCCCATCGCCGATCCACTCACGTTGTGGATGAATGGTGGACCCGGGGGCTCTAGTATGATGGGCCTGTTTGAAGAAAACGGACCATGTCTCATAAACGAGTACGGCAATGGGACCGTTCACAATCCATGGGGCTGGTCTAGAAACTCCTCATTGCTTTTCGTAGACCAGCCAGCCGATGTGGGCTGGTCCTATATTGACGAGGGCTACGAGGTTGCTCGCGATTCGAAAGAGGCCGCGATTGACATGCGCAGCTTTCTTCAAATTTTTGTGTCCGAGATCTTCCCCCACAAACGCGATTCCCCTTTCCATCTCTCCGGTGAATCTTATGCAGTAAGGACTCTCCCATTCAGCTTTTTAGATGCACCGCTAACACGTTCAGGGGAAATACATTCCCTATCTCGGGGCTGAGATTATAACTCACAACCAGCAATATCCTTTGGAGCCTCAGATCAACCTCAAGTCATGTCTGATAGGCAATGGCTACATGTCACCCAAGGACACTGCCTTCGGGTACTGGGAGACGCTTTGCACCACCAATCCCGGCGTTTCCACGCCGGTGTTCAATCAGACTCGGTGCGATATTATAGCCACCAACATGCCGCGATGCATGGAAGTCTACGATACTTGCACCAAGAGCCTTGACACTGCAATCTGCACGGCCGCATCTTCTGTCTGCTACAAGGGAATCATCAGTTGGTACGAAGAAGAGAGCAAGGCAGGCGGCCGTAACCGCTTCGACAGTAAGATCTTTCTATCCACTACCAGGGGTCCCCTTTGCCTAACGCAATCAAACCAACAGTTACAGCCCCATGCTATCTTGACGACGTATGCTACAAAGAAGCAGGCTATATCGAGCAATATCTAAACTCACCTGTGGTTCGAGAAGCCCTGTCACCACCGGAAGGGGCCAAGGAGTACAAAATGGAGTCCATCACCGTGGTTGACGCTTTTGCAACGACATCGGAAGTGATGACGTCTTCATCCGACCTTATAATTTTCCTGCTTGCTCACGGGGTGCATTTCCTGGCCTACCAAGGAAACCTCGACCTAGCTTGTAACACGGCAGGAAACATCCGGTGGGCCAACTCGCTTGCTTGGAAGGGACAGACTGAGTTTGCATCGAAGCCGATGCTTCCTTGGACTTCAAATGTGGCGGGACGTAATGAAACGGTTGGCACCGCGAAAGAGGTGCGTGTGCAGTTGGAAGGCCAGCCAGAGACATCGCGGTTTGCATTTGTGACGGTTAATGCGGCGGGTCATTTGGTAAGTTCATCAATTCGGTTATTTCAATCTGAGCAGATTCTGATGGTTATAACAGCTTCCCCAGGACCGTGGAGATGTGGCATTTGATATTCTAAGCCGGTGGCTTGCGGGTGATTCCTTTGTTTAGTCCTGGAATCAGGCTCAAGGGATGTGATCTCAGCGCGGCGCTCAAAAGATGAAGTGGCCGCTGTACTATCTATCCCCTAGAAAAAGGAGGCTAGTATGTACTATTTTATGCCCTTCCAAGGCCTGCTTTTTATCATAGACAAAAGGTACCACATATGCTGGGCATGATCGTATTCTCCAAATTTACATATGCGACAAAACTACTTGCCTAATCGTCATTAATTTGCACTTATTTACTTATCGAAAAGATTTTCTGGGGGGAAAACCTGACGATTTTATTGCCTAAATAGGATCTGGAGAAGATCATAACATTGTATCCGATGCGATCAGTGGCTGACGCCCTTGGCTTTCGTGGGTACCGTTTGTTTACTTTTATTTCATTGGACCCTCGGGGAAACCACATTCCTTTATGAGCTTTTGATTGGCAGTTGCGACTTGAGTAAGTGTTGACAGGGAGGTCACGTGACCTGCCGCTGATTGCTCCCAGTATTTTAGTCTTAGCATATAGATAGTTTCTTTCCTTCTTTCTCCACGCAATACAGAGATTTCCAGTTACATCTACACTTTCATTGTAGATCTCATATCTCTATCAGGTTATGAGCCTCGTGCTTTCGAGTCATCTTTTACTTAACAGTACAGACTCGAAACCTTGGTTTTCCTCCTATTGGTGTACTGCGTCACACCACCCCACTGTGGAACCTCTGTGGTCTCGTTTAACCCACAAAACAGAGTTTTCATCTCTTGATTGGACAAGACTAACACCTTGTTCTTTACGAGGTTAGGATCTAACCTATTGAAGGAGAAACCTACCTTGTCTTTTCTGTCTTTTTCGACAAAATCGATACCCCGAAAATCGGACTATCGATCCCGTGTACCCTCTATATATTCGTCTGTTAATAAGCACCCCGGTGTCGCGATAGAGGCTTTATACAATATCGAGGACTTTGTTCTCAACACCAATAAGGTTGATATCTCAGCTGCAGTCCCGAAATTGAAGGGACAATCTAATTTTAGAGACTAGGAAACTGCTCTCTATCTAGCTCTTACGGCTAACAATCGTTATTATATATACATAATCTCTCGGGGTATTGCAATCCCAGAGGTCCCTGAGTATCAGGATACTTCTCCTGATGATGTTCGCGAAAGTCTGATTCAAGAAGCTAAAGACCTCGCTGGCGATAAGACTACTACGGTAACTATTTCTGCTGCCAACGTTCGTGCTCGAGTGAAGGAGATTGTCGAATCCAATATTGCACTCCGAAAAGAGTATGATTCCAAATGTACGAACTGGGATTTATACAACTCACGAGCGATTATAATACTCAGAAGCACTCTTAGTCCTGAACCTTTTGCTTATATCTCTTATCTTACAGATGTTCGGGGGATATTTAAGAAGCTTCGATCAATGTACGTAGCTTTATTATATCAATATTTATTTACTCGCTATATTAAGTAGACTGATCTACGCTTTAAGAGTGGGACCGCTACTGAATTTGTGCGTAAGTTTTAAGAGACACTTCGTGATCTTACTGCTGTCAATAGTAAGATAAACTCGGTGTATATATTGTGCTAGTTTAAGAAAGCTGTTAATAAGAATCCGAAATATTATACCTTTCTCCAGAACCTTAGGGTTGATAAGAAGGATACCAATCTTATAGATCAAGTTTATACTGAGTTTCTTGAAATAGATATTCACAATCGGACTGTGAATCCCTCCTACGCCTCTGCGAATTTAACTATAACTAATCCTACCTCTTCTTACAATAACAATAAGAAAAAGGATACGAAGAAAGGAGGCGACAGGCAATCCAATTTAGGTAATTCCTCGAACAACAATAAGGATAAATCCTCTAAGAAGAAGACTGACTTTGTCAGAGAGGAGAATATGATTCTTTGTAGATATCACGGTACTTTGGGTAATTATTACTCCAATAGATATCCCCTACTAAAGAACTCGGCGAATACAACTTCGATCCAGCAGAATCAACAGTAACAACCTTAATTCCAATAGGTTGCAGTGCCTTAGCTAGGACAAGTTATCGGCTAGGTTGACAATTAAGGAAGAATTATTTCGCTGCCTTAACAGTAACCTCGATAAGGAGCTAATACGATTTTTACACCGGTATCTTATCCTACTACACTACAATAAGGTCCCCCCTCCGGGGATCCCCTCTTTCGATACAACAACCTTTTTTCGAATACTCTTTTTTAGGTAAATACGGTTTATAATTCCTACGTTGTATTAAAAGAAGGCCTAATAGCCAATAACAACAATAATGTTATACGCTGGATAATCGATTCTGGTACTAGTATATATATAACTCCTTATAGATCTATCTTTATCAATTTCAGACAGTGTGTGTTACCTGTTTCGACAGCCACTGGAGATATTTTTTACACTGAGGGCTATAGAGATATAATTCTATATCTATTGGATAAAAATTCGTCCACAAAACTGGCCCCTCTTACTCTTTAAAAGGTCTAGCTTGCTCTAGATCTTCGGTCTAGTCTGATTTCTATATCTACTTTAGACAAGGTAGACATTGGGATATAGACAAAGAACGGGATAATAACTTTTAAGTATCAAGATCTCTACGGTCCAGAGTCTACTGTTAGTTTTGCTACGTATAAAGGAGAGTATTACTGGTTAAACTGTGCTGGAATCGATAAGGTTGATCAAATACTTGATTGTAATCTCGTTACTGGCTCTCTAAACTCTGTTTTCGCTATATAAGCTGGTGTCTCGCCTATTTCTATTGATCTAGTATATCGTCGAGCCTGTTATACTAGTGAAGAACGAGTAAGAAAAATAGAGATATTTACTGATAGCGTTAAGTTAAAGAAGGGTGTAGGTGTTACTTTTCCTTATACGCCTTGTATTAAGGGTAAAGGTTATACTCTACCTTTCGGTAAAGAACAGTCTATTAGATCAAAACCTAGCGAGTTTATTTATCTAGATATCTGGGGTCCGATTTCTATTGTATCTTATAGCGGTGAACACTACTTTGTGATATTCACAGATAATACGACTCGATTTATATAGTTGTTTTTACTTAAATCACGATCCTAAGTTACGGAAGTCTATATACAGTTGGAGACTTACTTAAAGACTCAATTTGACTATATTGTTAAGAAGGTTCACGGCGATAATACTATAGAACACAAACCTCTAGCTACGTACCTTACTAGTAAGGGAACGATTTAGGACCCTACACCACCTTACACTAAACAGTTAAATAGTGTTGTAGAGATTAAGAATCGTTATCTTATTGAGCCCTTAGTCGCTGTTATAGCCGAGTATCAGCTTCCCAAATATCTCTGGGGACTCCTTCTTGGTAGAATTAACTACACTATAAATCGCCTCTATACGTCAAAGATTGGTATATCTCTATATAAAGCTTTGTTTAGAAAGAAACCGAACCTCGCTAATCTTCGAGCACTGGGTTATTAGTGCTAGTTTCTTATCCCAAAGGAGAAGCGAAATACAAAGCTTAATCCTTATATAGAGGAGGTAAGGCTGGTTACTTACGATAAAGGAGATAACTATATACTTTATAACGTTTGTACAAAGAAGATTGAACGCTTACGGAATATTATCTTCAATAAGAACCCTTCTCCGGTAAGCCTTCCTAATCCTGCCTATAATCTTAATATTATAGGTATAAATACTCAGGAATACGATTCGCAGGATCGCTATATCCCAATTGATTTCCTGAAGCTATATCTCGAGAATCCGTTCAATATTCGGTCGAATTCCCTACCTATCCCTACGGTTAAAGAAGATCCTAATAATTAAGCGAAAGCCCCGAATAACCTCGATCTATCCAATCCTGCGCTCTTTGAAGAAGATCTCGCCTGGTCGAATAATGCAATAGCGGGTAGTTTTGGAAGGTGTGTAGAGGAACAAAGGGTGGATTCTGGTGCCCACTTTGAAGTAGGTAGGCGAGGGGTTCTTGTCGAACTATAGCCTGTTTCCCGACAGGTTATTAATATAGATATTCCCCTAGAAATAACAATTGATCCCTCTTAAGAAGAACCGGTTCAGACAGATAAAGCGTCTTTTTAGTACGATTTTTCTTATTAAGATCCGGTATTAGACAACAGGAGTCGAGATCGAAACTATATTTAAACAATAGAGCCTACTCAGCCGGGAACTATTTAATTACGACGATCTACGAGAATCAAGAAACCGAGCAGAGCCTATATTGAAAGTATAGCTAGTAAGTTATTCTTCGACTCCAATATCCTTTAATTGCTAGCTGATCAGCCAGATATTGTGATTAGCCTTTTTGCAAATACTATAAAGAAGGAACAATACGCAGTATCCAAAATAACTCCACAGGATATAGGCTTTGAGCCTAATAGCTAGGAATAAGCTATATCTTGTGTTAAGAAGGACAAATAGCTAGTTGCAGCTTATAAAGAGTTACACCGGTATATTGTTAACGGTACCTGGAAGGTGATGTCGAGAACTAAGAGTAAGAAGAAGCCACTCTCTCTGCGTTAGGTGTTTAAGATTAAATATAATGGGACCTATAAGGCACGGCTGGTAGCTCGAGGTTTTCGCTAAGTCAAAGATCTAGATTTCTATAAAGTCTATACGGTGGTTACTAAGCCAATGTCCTTTAAAGTCTTTACTGCAATTGCTGCTGCAAAAGGATAGTATCTATATTATATAGATATTGTTACTGCTTTTCTTTATACAGAACTTAAGGAACCGATCGAGATTGAACTACCGGAAGGACAGAGGGAAGAGTATCCTGATTATATTGGTCTACTTATAAAGACTATCTATAGACTAAAGCAAAGCCCTCGGGAGTGGTACTCGCTACTCTATAATGTACTGGTGTCAATAGGTTTTGATCGTACTCAATCGGACCACTCTATTTTTGTTAAGAGACAATATAGTGGTTCACCTCTCTACGTTATAGTTTACGTGGATGATTTACTAGTACTCTCTCTATCAGAAGAGGCTATTTAACAGTTCAAAGAGGCTATTTTAAAACACTTCGATACTTCTGACAAAGGTAAACTTTAACGATATTTGTCGATTAATATTCAATACGCTAATGGTATAATACACTTGTTATAAGCTGATTATATCGATAAAATCCTTGCTCGATTCGGTCTTAAAAACTACAAATCTATTGCTACGCCTATAGATAAGAAACAGGTGCTAGTTCCTTTTGAAGGTATAGCGACAAAGGGATAGATATATAAATTTTAGACAAAAATCGGTATATTGATCTGGTTGATAGTCTCGACTAGGCCAGATATCTCCTTTGCTGTTATTAAGCTAGCTAAATAAGCTAAGAATCCTGGAGAGTTATATTTTTAAGCTCTGAAACGTGTCTTCAGATACCTTATAGGCACTAAATCTCTTATAATTTCTTTCTATCTAGGTATAGAAAATGCAGCAATATACGGATTCTGCGATGCCGATTGGGCGGGACTATATAGTGAAAAGGGTTTATCCACTTCTGGATTTTTGTTCAAAATAGCTGGCGGAGCTATATCCTAGATATCAAAAAAGTAGCCCTGTGTCGCTCTTTCTATAACTGAGTCTGAATATATTGCTGAAGCTCTCGCAGTTCAAGAAGCAATTTGGTTAATATAACTACTTACGGAACTTGGAATTAAAGGTTTTCTCAAAAAGCCAATCCCGATTTATACAGACAACAATAGAGCTATTGCTCTTACTTCGAATCCAGAGTTTTATACGGCAACAAAGTATATCGCTATTCGCTTCTATAGGCTACGTGAAGAGGTTACTGCAGGAAATATCAAGTTTGTTAAGATTGCGACCGCTGATATAGCCGCTGATGGACTTACAAAACCCCTTACGAAAACGTTATTCAAGCGCTGGATTAAACAAATAGGTCTTACGGCCTATAAAGAAGCGCTAGGTTATTAATTTACGATTTGTATACTGAAAATAGGGGGTTGATGAAGATATCAAATACTGGTTTTTATTTCTTGAAAAGTTGGGTCTGTTTAAACTATGCTGTCGACTATGGATACTAGTCGTGGGGGGTGTTGACAGGGAGGTCACGTGACCTGCCGCTGATTGCTCCCAGTATTTTAGTCTTAGTATATAGATAGTTTCTTTCCTTCTTTCTCCACGCAATACAGAGATTTCCAGTTACATCTACACTTTCATTGTAGATCTCATATCTCTATCAGTAAGATTGCCTCTGCATTTTGATTGATGGATTCGAAGAGATCGAAAATCAAGAGGTATTTACGGGGCTGAGTAGAAGGTTTGTGTACTGGGCACCTCGGTTTCTGAATTGAGATCATCATGAATGTGTCCAAGAAGAAGTAATATCTAACGAGGTATCAGGTGAGTTCGCTCTAGCTTAATGGGACGCGGTGTTGTTGTTTACCTATATGGGGAAGCCTGTCGTCCACAAGCTACACATCCAATGAGCAGCAAATCTGCTGAGGATTTTATGGAGCTAAGTACTATACCCGGGGATCCCTTCAAACGTCGTGTAAAAGATGCGAACTAACCCGGAAGTTGGTCTAACATCTCACAACTGATCACATCTCAATTTTATATATCCCCAAAACCGTGTCCAACAAAGCAGATATAAAGGGTGCCCCCTATGAGTCACTCCAAGAAACTGCAACAAGTGGTGACCTCGAAGCTGTCAAAGCCCTTCTCGACAATGGAGCAGATATCAATGTGGTAGATTCCTTAGGCTCATTGCCCCTCCATGCCGCAGCAGAGCAAGGCCACTGGGATATCGCCCGACTCTTCCTAGAAAAGGGCATGTCACCATGGACCCAAGATGCCAACAACTCACTGCCTGTCCACAACGCCGCAAAAGGCGGCCACCTAAAGACAGCCCGACTACTCCTCGAATGCGACCGAGCGAAAGGAAGTTATTCCAACAAGCGGGGCGAGACAGCGCTACATTTTGCCGCCGAAAGCGGAAATATAGAGCTGGTGCAGCTTCTCCTGAGCTTCAATGTCTTGACGACATCCTCCGCCCGTGGCAAAACCGCTCTGCACCGCGCAGCAAACAACGGACATCCAAAAGTCTGCGAACTTCTCATGCAATACGACGATGCCCACAAGCCGAGATGGAGACTTCGCATGATTGGCGTTAAAGCGCAGGTCAAAATGCAGGATTTATGCCAGCATACGCCGCTGGTCTATGCTGTGAAAGAGGGGCACGTTGATCTGAAAGGAGATGATGGGAAGAATGCTCTTCATCTCGCTGCTGATACTCGCAATCTTGAGATTGCGCGTCTTCTGCTTGAGAATGGCGCTTCAACTAAGATTAAGGATTCCATTGGGTATACTCCTTCCGAGTGTAGCAGGGATAAGGAGGTGACTATGCTTATTCGGAATCGGGCGGATCAAGCTGCTGCTTTGGACCCTAAAGGCAGGAAAGTCTTGCCCCCTTGGAAGGCGGCAGTGGCTGCACCCCCAGAATATGTTGCGTAAACTCTTGAATGTCTTCCAGCTCGTTGTACTCTTATGAATTTAGGTATGAATTTAGGTATGTCATTTTTTTTCCACAATAGCAAACTTGGAAATATAAAAAGACCTCTTCAGAATTTGTACCGTAAGCTAGTATGATAGCTAGAAAATTAACGAGCAGTATATCCGCCATCAACTGGAAGGCAAACCCCAGTCACCCAGCTGGCATCGTCACTTGCCAACACAACAGCTATACGAGCAATATCCTCTGGCATTCCGGGTCCTTTCAGCGGATGACGCCTTTTCAGGTCTTCCCAAGGCGTCAGATTAGTAATTGTCTCCTTGAAGATAGCCGTTTGAGTGTCTGGACTTTTGTCAATGGAAATTTAGCCGATCCTCCGAATGAGCCAACTTACAGCCAGGACAAATGGCATTAATATGAATGTTATGAGGGGCATAGTCCAGAGCCATCTGCTTCGTGAGATTACTCACAGCACCTTTCGATGCACAATACGATGCTAGCTCAAGGATCAGCAACACTCGGCTCCACAGGCTGGGGATTTAACCACTCACGATTCTCGGGCCCACCAATCATACCCATAATAGAAGAGATATTGACGATCCAGCCCCGATCTCCGGAAGAATGAGGCTCTTGCGCTAGCATCTGAGTAAGAGCATACTTGCAACCCAGGAACACAGACTTGGTGTTGACACGCATTGTGGTATCCCAGGTTGACTCATCAGTCAGATGCAGTACAGCAGGCGTCCGTGCCTCGATGCTGATCCCAGCATTGTTAACTAGACTAAGGGAAATCGTCAGATTGGGTATTCAAGATCTTCATCATCGGGATTTCCATACATGTCCAGTCGTCGATATTGTGTCACAGCGATCGCGACTAAGTTCTCCATTTGCGCTGCGTCCCCGACATCCGTCTGAACAAAACTCGCCTGTCCACCATCCCTGAGAATCAATTCATGCGTCGTGATAGCAGCCTCCTCCTGGGATCGAGCAGTTGGTGTCAGATCAGCGCAAACCACTTTTGCACCCTCTTGGGCATAGAGTATGGCGATTGCTCGTCCTAGGCCAGATGAGGACCCAGTGACGATAGCTACTTTGTCTTGCAAGCGAGACGATTGCGGCATAGTTATATGGTCCCTTCGGAAGAGGGCAGTTATTCAAGAGACAATAGCGAGGAAAGAGGGGGTGTTGTTCGTGTCAGGCGCCATGGCTTTATACGCTGGCAGTTTATAGAGTTGGAAACTGGGCCGAAATGCTTGTAGACGTCAATTGCTCTTTATGGAACAAAGCGGGTCGCCTTAACTCTTGCAGATCATCGCGTGGCCAGTTTCTGCAGATTAAATTCACAAATCGGGCCGAGTTCGATTTACGTAGCCAAGAAGTCTGGGGAAAGCGCGATGGTATGGGGAAGTTGATATATGTGAAAGGCATGCCGAGGCCTCGTCTTGCCTTCCCTTTTGGGCCATAAAGTAGTTTGCCTTTCTATTGCCACAGTCTACTTGAAGTGTGGCTTATCTCAAATTATTATTACCTATGTAAATATCGTGAGAATATCCATTGCATGATTCTCCAGGGTTGAGTTGAGATTAGATAGCACTTCCAATGTACATTATACGGGTAAATCTTTTCCCCTCGCCGTGTCCGTTTTGTACACAGAAATGGGTGCACTGTTGTGCAACCTTGCACAAAGTCGATAAAAGCATGTGTCAAACTTATGTAGATTGATAACGAAGATGTTTAAAGATCGGAGTTGGGGAATATTCTGATTTGAAGCTTACAGATGTTGTTCGGCAATCAGTTGACCTTAATTCTAGGTATATCTTATGGTATCTGTAGCTTTAGTACATATGTAGGTACATATGTTGTAGCCTACTATCACACACTCTGTAGTCACATTATACTCCATAGCAACATTGCATCTGTAATTAATTCCTCTTTTTGCTCCTTTTGTATATTTGACGGGACACCGGTTCCCCCGTGTCACATTTTGGCCTGAAGGGGTAAAAAGAGGAAAAGAGGGGAACCCCCTTAAAGAAGAAAAGCGCATGGAATAATATGTCAATCTAAGCCACAATGAATCCAATTTCTACGGTGAGGGCCAGATTGCTTTTTTTTTTTCCACCTGTCGCAGACATTCCAGATCAACATTCCACGATCCCCCACTGTTTCCAGATATGATTAGAAGATCCCGAGACAGGTGATAATGTCATGAATCGAGTCGGCAGAGACATAAGTTAATTAAACTAAAAAACAACAATACTAAGTTCCGGCTATTTTTCGGAGTCCGGTTGATGATTGCTTTTCTTTGATAGCCCAATGATCCACCGCAATCCCTCACCCGGTTCCAGGATGTCCACAGGTGATCCACCCCCAGGTACTCCTACTCACGAGGTATGGGGATCGCGTGGTGTATCTAGATAAAACCAGATGCGGAAATGTTTTTGCCCCGTCTCAGACAAGAAACTGAATCATTTGCATTCGACAACACAATTTCAGGACTGCATCGCTGAATCTGTCGATCGCATTCCTGCCGAATCTGGAAATGATAGTCAATATGGCCAGGTGAGCTAGCAACATCGCTAATGCAATGCAAGTCGGTGCACATTTATCAGAGCGTAAAAAAGCCTCGATAACGATAACAACGAGGGGTAATTGTGGTAATTGTTTAATTAATTCGAGACCTACGTCTTAGTCCTCCTAGGTTACATCCCAACTCAAATCCCCCAGGAATCATACTCTGCAACCTCTCGTAGTCCCGGCCCGGTCATGCAGACACAGCGACTGGCCGCACGCGATGGTCATGTCTCGGCTGTACCTGGCGCAGCTGTACCCACTCATTTACAATCCTATCGGGTCACCCGAATCCACAATCCATCAAATGTTCCAGATGGCTGTAGTCTTGCTGTAAACGCATCCATGTTGTTCTTATCGCATTGTTCTCGGGGGCAATGGCCCAATGTGCCATCATTTGCCTTTTCCTGAACGGTAACCTATCTCCGTAGTGCATATGTATATATTCCGCAAGGGATCCAACAGTGGAGATCATCAAAAACTTTCTGCATTCGTGTGTCCTTGGGTATTCGAGAGACTCCGAAGGCACTGTCAATATGCATTTTTCTACTATGGTTCGGGGATCTGCGGTCCTGGCTGCGCTGTCTGGCACAGCTGCCGGAATTGTAACATCGCCGTTCAAGCGCGATTTGAGGCTTTCCGCTGAGTTTGGCATTCATCCCGATATCCTGCTCGGTCAGAAGACTTCGGTGAAGGCCATCACCAGTGCGCGGGTTGGTTCTGCCGTCAAGGCAGAGTATGTTTCAGTATGTATATGGGTTTGCCAGATATGTCGAAGACATGGATAAATCCTGACAATTTGTAGATCCCAATTGATCACAGTAATGCCTCGGTTGGTACTTACCAGAACCGCTATTGGGTATCCGACCAGCATTACAAGGAGGGAGGACCAGTCTTCGTGTATGATGTTGGTGAAGCATCTGCCGAATCTTCGGCTCAGGCCTATTTGGTTAATTCGACGACGTTCTTTAATCGGCTGGTCGAGGAGTTCAATGGGATTGGTATCGTTTGGGAGCACCGGTTTGTATCCTTTCCCCGATAAAATCCCAGACTCAATTAACGCCAAGTAGATACTATGGGGATTCCATGCCCTACGACGTCAGCCTGGACACAAAGCCTGAAGATTTCCAGTACCTCACCAATAAACAGGCTCTGGCAGACATGCCATTCTTTGCGGCCAACTTCACTCGCGAAAATTACAGTGATGTGGACCTGACCCCAAGCGGAACGCCGTGGGTCATGGTCGGAGGCTCGTACGCTGGCATGCGATCTGCGTTCACTCGTCATTTGTATCCGGAGACCATTTATGCTTCCTTCGCCTCATCCGCGCCCGTCGAAGCACGGATCGACATGAGTGTCTATTTCGACCAGATTTATGACGGCATGGTTGCGAATGGATACTTGAACTGCACTAGAGACATCCAGGCGGCACTGGAGTACATCGACGAGCAACTATCAAGGAGCAAAGCGTCAGCAGCAGCCATCAAAAAGCAATTCTTCGGCGAAGGCGCAGAGGTAAACAGCAATGGCGATTTCACCAATGCGCTCCAGACAATTTACTGGTATTTCCAATCCTATGGCTTTGAAGGTGGTTCAGGTGGCCTGGGCGCATTCTGCAAGCACATGGAGACCGACCCGAATACTGGTGCACCAGCGCCCGCACATGGATTCGCTGCAACCCGAGGTAAGAAGTATGCCGCAGATCGATATGCGGCATGGCCCGTGTTCACGGAGATGGTTAATATGTACTTCGACTCCAACTGCAAGAAGCTTGATGCCACTCTGCCGGCCTCGTGTGATTTCTCGGCACCATCCACCGATCCAGAGACCATCAGCTGGACGTGGCAGTATTGTACCGAATGGGGATATTTCCAGACCGAGAACTACGGACCTCGCTCGCTGCTGTCAAAATTCCAGACTCTCCAGTATGCACAAGAGTATTGCTACCTAGCCTTCCCGGAGGCTGTCAAGAAGGGTCTGTTCCCAAAACGCCCGCAGGTCGAGGCGACCAATGCAGAGACTGGCGGATGGACTATTCGCCCGTCCAACGTTTACTGGGGCGGGGGTCAGTTTGATCCCTGGCGTACTTTGTCTACCCTCGCGGTTGGTACAAGACTAGCCCCGCAGGGAGTGACTCACACAACTAATATCCCCAAATGCAACGTGGAGAACGAGAAGACACTTTTCGGCTATATCATGCCGAATGCAGAGCACTGCTTTGAATGGCGCATGAGCTTTGCACCTGCTGCGATTGCCCGGGGATACTTTTCAGCTGCTTTGAAAGAATGGCTTGGGTGTTTCGAAGCCAAGCGTTAAATGACGTTTAATGTTCAAGGATCGATCGGGATCGGCATGGTCTGATCTCTTTTTGGATTCCCCCCCCATACTTTGGCCCTATTCCCCTTTTGTATCAGCTTGCGATCCTCTCACGTGAAGTTAGGCCGAGGGCCATGAACATATCTCTATATCAATTATATTTCACATATTTAATTGCTTTTTCTTTCAATCAATAGACATTAAAGAGGGGGAAAAAATGTTGTTTAGCTCTACATTTGCCCTTGTTGGTGCGCTGTCTGTGGCCTTCTTGGTCGTGAGCTATTGCGTACAACTACACCATCACCGTAAACAATCCAAAGCCCTACACTGCAAACCTCCCCCTTCGGGCTCCTCAAGTTTCTTCGGTATTCCAGGCTTTATTCGGTTGACCAAGGCTGTCCGCGAAAAGCGCTGGATCGATCATCTCTATAACGAATATGCTGTCCATGGAAATACTTATCAACAGAGATTCCTCTCTCAAAACATAATTACTACCATCGAGCCGGAAAATGTCAAGGCACTTCTTGCTACTCAATTCAAAGATTTTTCTCTTGGAACAAGACACCAACAGTTCTACCCACTCCTAGGAGACGGTATTTTCACCCTCGATGGTGCTGGGTGGTCGCATGCGCGGGGATTGTTGCGCCCGCAGTTCACCAGAGATCAGGTAAGCTTTATCGGAGAATTTATGCACGACATGTGAGTGACAAAAGAAACAGGTTGCCGATCTTTCCATGTTGGATGATCACATTTCCAACTTGATTGACCTTATCCCGAAGGACAGGAGCAGTTTCGACATCCAGCGTTTGTTTTTCCTACTGACTCTCGACTCAGCAACCCACTTCTTATTCGGGGAATCGGTTGGCTGCATGCTTCCTCCCTCCGGAAAGACAGGAGTGTTAGAAAAATGCGCCGTAGGTAGTGCACAGGGTTTCGCCAACGCGTTCGGAACCGCTCAGGATTATCTCGCTGCGCGGAGTCGCGCCCAGGGCTTATACTGGGTTGTCAATCCCAAGGAATTCCGCGAGGCAAACCGACAGGTTCACGAAGTCGTCGATCATTATGTCAATCTCGCTCTTGAATCAAAACGTAATCCCGAAAAGAAGGACGCAGACGGTCGGTATATCTTCCTCGAAGCCCTGGCGGCCGACACCGATGACCCGAAGATCCTACGCGATAACATGCTAAATATTTTATTGGCTGGCCGAGATACCACAGCCAGTCTCCTGAGTTCGACATTCTTCTATCTTGCCCGTTACCCTAATGTGTGGAACCGGCTGCGCCGTGAGATCGTGGATATTTTCGGAGATGCGAAGAATCCGCGGTCGGAAATGACACAGACAAGGCTGAAGGATATGCCTTATCTACGATATGTATTGAACGAAGGTAGGTCGATCTTGCAATACTCTATCAATGGATATCCGACTAACTGTAGCCCAGTCCTTCGTCTCCAGCCTCCTGTGCCTATCAACTTCCGTGTCGCGACCAAAGATACCTCCCTACCGGTCGGCGGTGGCGCAGACTTCCAATCGCCTGTTTATGTTGAGAAGGGCACAATGGTTGCCTACAACGTCTTCGCTATGCACCGCCGGACAGATCTATGGGGCAAAGACGCAACTTCCTTCCGGCCTGAGCGCTGGGAGGAAAATGCTAAGCATGGCTGGGAATATCTGCCTTTTAATGGTGGGCCGCGTATCTGCCTTGGTCGTAAGTTTTGCATGTGCTTGTCTTTCTCTAGAGAGACTAAAGAAGACCACATGGAATCATTCGCTAACAATCAATTAGAACAATACGCCCTCACTGAGGCAAGCTACACCGTCGTTCGTATCATGCAGCACTTCGATACTCTCGAAAACGCGGACCCCCATCCTAGACAGGAGCCTATTAAACTATCTACTATCACGATGTCGCATGATCTTGGCGTTCCTGTTCGTTTGTACGCTTCGGAGAAGATTTAGGTTCTTGGTTTCTCTTATGATTGAATGTGTATATGGATCTTTGTAGGGAAGGATATCAGGTTTTGATGTTATGGGGTCATGCTTGGCTGTGAGGCTATATATAGTTTCGGGGCAAACTTGTATATGTTAGTCCTTGGAGGTTTCGGGTTATTGCTGGATCAACCCAAATCGAACGCTCTTGGCCCCTCAAATTTATTCCTAGCCTAGCTTTTTCAGTCTAGAGTTTATCTATTAGCATAGTCTAGTAGTATAGAGAAGAAGGATATATTTCAATGTTCGAGAAGAATCTACACATTTCCGAGAATCATGACCCTCTTTCAAGAGTGAACGACCCCGGATCACTTCTTGGGATAGCGAACGGAAAAACTAGCTCTTAGAATATTCCCAGAAATCCAGGCAATACAGTTCATAGCCAAATGTTAGTTTATCATTTTCATGAGTTACCACCCAAGTCATAGTCTTAACAGATTGCACGTTGGGACAAGTGTGCCTCACTACTTGAGAATATCGAAAGAAGCAGGAATTGCAATGATTTGATTGTATTGCAAGTTAATAGATAATAGAAGGAGAGAAACGAGAGAGGGGGAGGAGAAGCCTTCCGATGTCTTCTCCCCGCTCCCTGCAAATATTTAAACAAACACTGCACTAGCAACCTGAAGGATCAGGCACCAACAGACAAAATCCCAACGACCAACCTTGCAAGGTCTCAAGTTCTCACGATCCCTCTGCGCCACCGTCGTGCTGCGGCATTTGAATGATAAGGAAGGAGCGGTTATTTGAATTTTTGAACTGATAGACGATTCCTAGCAATGCAAACATTCCTATAACGAAAATCCCGGGGCTATATCGTGATCATTGTGTTGAAAACAGAACCACACGATGTTGAAGTTCTACGCACAGCTCCAAAGTCCATTGTTAGTGGATTTTCGTCGAAATACACAGAGAGATACTTGAAGGGATGGTGATGTCGGCTTGAATTAGCGACTGATGTGCATCTAGCTAGCTGTGTGCATCAATCGGTAGCCTGCCGGCACGTTCCGATATGCTAGGCCCAACAACAAATATGGGCTGAAAAAGAGGTGGCAGGGGCCTAACAGAGATCTAGTTTATTGATCCAATTGCTGTATCCATTTCGCAGGGAAGCGAGGACGGGTGCTAATTATCGACCTTCATTGCAATGAGTTGGCATTTTGAGCCAGTCAACATAAAGCCAAGCCTGATTGGAGCAAAGCTGTGCAATCTTCGGCTATTCAGTGCGCTAGTCCCGAATCCCAAGCGCTGAGGTGGGGGGATATCTTATGATTAGCTGTTCCCCGACGTTTGTGCTCACCTTTCAACTTTTGCAAACGTCATCCACAAGTGAATATTAAGATGTCCTCTACACCCGATTCTGAGGGAAATGATGCCGTCATGGTTGACCTAAGTTATTTCCGTGATTTTAACGTCCACAACATCCTTCCACTCCAGAGTCACTTCACTCAGACCTAGATAAGCCCAGTATCTTGCACCCGCAAGTTGAACTCCAAAGAAAGTCTGTGGTCCATGAAATTTTGAAATCCGGGCTCATAAGTGAGCCATTCTTTCAGCTGCCATCCTTGCAAATTGAAAGACGGGATCCAAGTGGTTGCACACTACTTCTTGCAGCTGCCCAGAGCCATAAGACATTGAAAACTAAGATCAATTTCATTGAAGCTGAGACAACAGTTACAAAAACGATTTTCCAAGAGCTCATAGATTGCGGTTCAGATATCATGACACAGGACAATGATGGCAACACCATCCTCCACCATCTTGATTATTTGGATGGTGATGGGGAGTTGTTCAAAATTCTCAAGGAAATTGTCGTCAAAAATCCGGAGCTCCTCCAACTGCCTAATCGAAAGGGCGAAACATTTTTTCACAGCACTCTAATTTTAGAGAACTTCGATCTTATTGATGCTCTTCTCGAAATGGGGGCTGATCCTCTCCAGCCGGACTCCAAGGGGGACACAGCGCTTCATCATTTGGCTAAGCATCTCCCAAAAGGGTGGCGGTCACCACATCGCCTCGAGCAACAAGCTCAACTCAAGCGACTTCTGGAAGCGGGCGTGGATATCAATTCTCGGAACCACGATGGTGACACGCCTCTCTTCAAATATATACAGAACGGCATGCAAGCTGCTCATCATGACTTCGATAACGGTTTTGAGCAGGAGGGGATGATTCCCCAGAGACAATCCTCGACCTTTTTGAAGAGGCAGGAGCCGACTTTCTCGCACGAAACAATGCAGGTTCCTCATTGCTGCATTTATTGGCATCCAAGACAGGCCTCGGGCCCGATGAGAAATGCCCACACAATATCGTCCGGCGATTCAAGATTCTGATGAGTCGTGGACTTGATCCTATGATGGAAGATGCACATCAGCGGACTAGTTTAGACGTTGCTGCTGTTTTTCATAGTGAGCATATTATGAAACTATTTGCAAGAAAGCCGATGGAGTAGGAATAGTCTAGGGGGAACAATAGCAGGGCTATAGTGTTACTTGGATAGAAATACGGGCTGGGAGCCCATCCCTAGTTGTACGTGCAAATTTCCTTCGTGACTTTTTGTCGCATTCATATTGTCCTATATTTGGCATATCTACATACTCGTAAATGTTCATTATCCTTAGAACGAAGAAGAAAGGATGTTTAGCAAGATACCCAAAAAGACATCGCAGTGTTATCTCACCTATACCTTTCTTCATGCCATCTTGAGCCAGATATTGGATTATGAAAGCCCTATGCCATGAAAGATAGAGGCCACATAAACCGTCGACTACGATTGTGATATTTCAATTGATATAATGAACAGAATAATGGCAGTGCAGAAGTGAACGAAAGCAAACACCGAATTTTGAGGAACTTATTTCTAGGCAACAGAAATTCCAAGGCAGCTCACGTACTTATATATAGACTGTATCATCTAAGAGTCTCACTGAGGCCATTCAAAACCGACGTTTTGTTCACCTCCTTTGTGGCCAGGCGTCATACAATCCTTCAAAAACTGTTACATCTCCAAATGTTGCTTCTCCCACCCCGTTATGGAAAAACTGAATTTCAGTCGAGTTGGCGTACCAAGACCTTCATGCGGTTAGTTATTGACCAATCTCGTAGGAACAAGATAAACTTACCGAGTCCAAGTGCTCAGAGCAAACCGTCCATTAGCATATACTTCCAGTACTCCATTGTCCACCACAACGGTGAGCTCCAACGTCTCGATTCGTTCTTTTTCATTTTCCAAGACGTCAAACAGGCGCAGACGACCCGCCTCATTGTCACTGAGAATTCCATCAGTTGTTTTTGCTGCGGCACTTGTGTTGCTGCGGTCGATGATGATGGACTCGTTGGAGAATTGATAGTAGATAGTTGTAGACTCAAGACCAGAGGACAACACCTGGAACCCAGCTTGAATACCGGAGTCACGAGCGGAGACCGGAAAAGAGATATTCGCTGCCAGAGCGAAGAACTTGCTTGAGGGAGAGGTGTTGAATGCCACCAACCCTGCCTTCGATAACGTTTTACCAGACTCAACAAAAGATGGGCCGGATGTGAGAGCACTGTAAGTCTCCCTTGCAATTGAAATTCCCATCGTCTGAAGGTCAACATCACCGGTACCTTCGCGGGACACGCGCCACGATGCCAAGGACTCGCGGGAAAGTTCGTTATCCACCACGTTTGGGATAGTACGCACATTAAGCTCCCGCGGTAGCAAGAGAGTCCCTGTCCAGTTTTGTTGAGCGGTAGGGAATCCTTTCGCTAGCTCATATAGATCTCCAGTAAGCCAAAGGTAAGAAATGAAACGATCAGGAGCACCGCTCTTTGCGGCCGCCTGAGAGCTCGCTGGCAAGACCTTGCCTGCAGCAGCATACGCCGACAGGCCCCAGTCAAGCACACCAGCCATGGTTGGGTTGAAGGCGAGGGAGCCATCATTTGTGATATTTCCAGCTACCCACAGCATATCATGAATTGAAGAGACTTGAGGAAGAATGGGAGCTTCCGAGCCTTCAGTACCGAGGGTCATAAAGACTTCGCCGTTCTCGCTGTACCCGTCTGTATTCAAACTGAACACATTGCCAACCTCGAAGTTGAAGCCCCATCCTCCGGCCCAGTCACCATTTCCCCAGGTTGTATTGACAGGCTCATTCCACCATTGGCCGAGATATTCCCAATACTGGAAATCCGTGTCATGCTGGCGGTAGAGAAACTGGCAAGGTCCGACGTCGTGGACACCACCAGAGATAGCGCTATACCAGGTTCCCTGAGTACTGTTGATAGCTTTGTCCAAAACCGGGCTCTGGAAAGCGTAGGGGTCACGGAAAGCAGTGACATTGACAGCAAACGGAGGCGAGGGGATCATGGGGCCTTGGCTGAGCTTGGTGAAGTTGCGCCCACCGTCATAGGAAACGGCCAATGATTGTGTCTCGCTTCCCCGGGTGTAGGGGATAGACCAGTGTATTGGTAGATACGATACAGAAGTGTATAAAAGAGTTGGCATACCGTCGATGCCGTTCGGAATGACAGAGCCATCAAAGACAGCAAGGGGGTCATTTTTTCCTCCCGCAATAATCGACGGGGCTCCATTGGGATTAAGGTCTTGATAGGTAGCGAGATCATCGGTTGTAGCCCCTGCAATTCCATCATGAAGCCAACCCACATGGAAGAGACCAGTCTTAGGATCGGTGTATTGCCCGCACGGGTCGCCTATCTTCCCAGATGGAGGGAGGAGGTGGGCTCTAGGTCTCCATGTATCGAAAAGGGATGCATTTGGCAAGGTAGAAAGGTTTGGAGGAGCTGAGTTATAGTCAATGTGGGATTTATGCAAATTGAAAGCAACTGCCCGGTTTGCCAAAATCACGCTGATTCCAGTTGAAAGTTTCATAGTGTAGATAGATCTTGCATAATCCTTAGTATTTCCCCGGGATATACACACTTCTATATATCCCAATATTTCTAATATGCCTAGAATAGATTTCACCGAGATTTTTTGGAAGCAAAAGCCAATAGAAAAATCATATTCTTCAATTTGGAGAAATATAGGATGGTCATTTCCTCTTTGGATGCATTCGGCAGTTTCCATGAACGAACGGCAAAACCGCGGGGAAACTCCGGCTGCCAACTTCGGACAAATTCCCAGATACAAACGTACTTTCACAATCCATTTGCATCAGTGGAATCCCCTATTATTTCCTGGATTTGATAATTTTGAGTAACTTCTACCTATCCAGGTAGACATATTTGATGAATAAATACCAGAGAGTGAAATTGATCTCACTACTTATGAAGAGTATAAACAATGATTTGGTTCAACCTGAGACTTCCAGATTCTGCGTAGCCTCAGCTCTGTCTGATAAATAACATTAGTGTGTTGAGTATCTCTGTTGAATCGCGGCAATTTTGGAAATCTTGCTGTCGAGGAAGGTGGAGAGTGCGAGTCTAGAGAAAACGCTAGGCAATAGACCGGCCTTGTTTCTAATGCCAATGCTCTACATTCTTGGAGTGCTCTTCATCTTCTGGGGACTATTTATCCTTCTTGTACTTTTGATAGAGGTATTTCTACCCCAAAAGGCATAAGAAATAGCACACATTGCGTGTCTCAAAATCTGTTGGCATATAATTAAGTTCGCGCCTATTCTACACTGACGGCGTGGTTTTAGACTGGCCACCTCTAGCGGGATGGCATAATATCAAGTCTGCCCTTGAGAGTATAAAGTAGAGAAATGAGAATTCCAAATAAAAAATCAGCAACTAGCCCTGATTGTCAAACATTAGATGATAGCTCGAAGTTGTCTGTTCTGTACCAGACGGGCAGCAATCAAAAGGAGACCACCTAGTAGCATGGATGCCCCCGAAAATATTGACAGGGAAAGATAACCATACTTTTCGGCGAGGGCACCGCTAATAGGCACATTTGCCATAGCACTGAATATTTTGTCAGCACCTCACATCATCATTTCAAGAAATGGGGGTCATACGATAGAGCTGTGGAACCTGACACAGTCCCGATTGCCAAACCAAGTGTGGTAGAAGTAGCAACTTGGGCAGCACAAGCTTGCTGGAGGGATAAGATGCCCTATAGCTTCACTTAATATTCGGAATTTGTTAACGTCCTAGGATAACTCACTCCAGACGCGAAGCCGTATGCAGCGCACCAAATTACCAGACCAGCTACCGATGTCACCTTCGTCCAGCACAATGCAATAACCCCTGCGGATATAGTAGCTGTGATGCAACAGTTGAATTTTCCGAACTTATCAGCAATGATGCCGGGGATGATCCGACCGAAGAATGAAGCACCATTCACAATGGAAACAGTGTAGAATGCTAGGGATGTCGAGAATCCTTTCTCAACCGCGTAGGAAGTGGTATAGAAGAACGGTGAGAACATGCCAAAGTATATGATGAACATGGCGAGGCATAGTAGCTGCAACGATGGCTTCCGCAAAAGAGCCATGGCCTCTGCCCTGTGACTCTGCGTTTTGTCTTTTTGTTCAGTGACATTTCCGTTATTTGCCAGATTTGTATCGCGACTCTCCACAGTGGCTGTAGGTTTATTCGGAGATTTGGCAGCTGCGCAAGAGAATATGAAGCAAGGAATCATGACAAAGCCAACAATTCGCATGGTCCATGGAAATCCGATGATGGGCTCATTGATTAATCTGTCGATCGCAATAGGCCAAATTACTCCGCCGAGCGATGAACCTGCAAGAACAATCCCCATCGCTGCAGCACGCTTCACTTTGATGTATTGCCCGACCAATGCAAGCATTGGCCATGTCACCAGACCCATGGAAATACCAAGCAAAACGCCCTGAGCGAGTAGGAATTGATAAAACTCCTCGCATAGTGAAATCATCATAAGTGCAAAAACACATCCAAATGAGCCAAGATATACCATGAACTGTTCAAGTATTAGTTTCACTCCCATAGATCCAGGAATAGTATGCTTACTGTTGGTCCAAAAATATCAAGCATTGCTCCCGCACCGATAGATATAGCGAACAAAAAGAACATTGCTATAGCGCCAAGCCATGCGATGGTAGAGGTGGAGCTTGAGGATAGTTGGTTCTTTGTGTAGTACTCTTGGAAGATACCAAACGAATTCATAAAGCCAACAGTGCAAAAGGCACACGTGAAGGCGCCGAATATGACCAGCCATGCCCGAGGCCTAGAAGAGTCAGTGATCGGCTATATTCTAGCTTTAGGTATATTTCACGTACGTGTATTCAGTTGGAGGACTATGCCTTTGTGACATTTCGCCAGTAAACGGAAATATCGCAGGCTAATGTGGAAGGGCTATTGGTTGGAGCTTGGCAAACTAGACATCCATCCCAACAAGTGCAATAGCTCTGATTCGAAAGGGAAGTATTACGGAAATCCATGCTTCTTATAATAAATCTTTGATTCTTTACCTTGGAAATGTAGTGAGTCGGAGGCTCCGAGCTATTGTCTATAGATGCCCGGAGGCAGATCGACGGATATGGTTTAGCGTTTCGGGGCATCCGCGGACTCTCCGGTCGAACATCTACAAGCTGTCTATTGCGCAAAACAAACAATGATCGCCTAGCTTTTTCGCTTTTGCTATTCTAACTTTTGTTGCACTGTTTTGAGGGAAATTTTCAACATGAAACGGAGACCAGATTCCGGAGTAGCGACCCAAGACTCGAAGAGACAGTCTCGCCAAGATCCCGTATCCTGTGAGTCCTGTCGAAAGAAGAAGCTCAAGTGTGACAGAGACCTCCCATGCAGTAGCTGCTCTGCGCGAAAACTGGACTGCAGCTATGGTGGCTATGGCCCGGGTACAAAGTACGCACAAGCCACGGGCCAAACGGATCAGAGGCCCACGTTGAGCGATCCGGTGTCTAGGCCACCCCGGACTTTGCAGTGGACTCGACAACAGGAGACAGAGACACAAACCCACGACGGAAATGAGCCCCTTTTGACGGCCGATTGGCTTGAGACAATTGTTATGGGTCACCGCGTCCCGAGTGCAGTCCCCGCTACGTTGAGGGCGGAGCTTTTCCACCATCAAGAATCCGAGCGCTCGCCTTCACAACGAAATAACACACCTGGCAATCGATTTCCTGCGATGCGCGACAGGCTCGCCTCTCGTGAGAATCCGGCGACTATCCATCTGCCGTCGTATTTGCCACCGCTGAAAGAAGCCCTGAGTCTGTTTCGATATTATTGTAAATATCTTGACTTCCAGTATCATCTCATCATACCCAGTCACGTGGAACGACAGATCGAGACAATTTACGATTGCGTTGCACGAAATGAGACTATCAATTTGGCCCATACTGCGCTGCTGTTTGGTATCGCTGCTACTGCTTTGTATTATCAACTCCTAATAGAGTCACCCGAGCACGCAGAGCCATTCAGCCAGGAAAGTACATTTTTAGCAGGAGCAGCATTGATTCAGAGCAATTATATTCCTTATCCCAGCCTCGAAGGACTGCAAGCGACTATGATCATTGGCCATCATTTGTCCAATATGAACTTGCCCTCCTCCGTCAGTCCGTTATTTGTGCATAGGTCATTTGTGAGTCAAGCCACTGGTATGGGACTTCATCTTGTCGACTGTCCTCGGGTTGTATCCGAACGCTCAGCAAATGGATTTGATAAAACCAGTGTTGAACTCAAGCGACGGTTGTGGTGGGACTTGGCAACATACGACTGGTACGTTGTTAGCAAGATACCTTACCGGTACTATGACTGATGGTATCTGAAGGTTAATGGGCTTCTTGAGCGGACCCCAAGAGTGGACGTACTCGATCCAACCTCAGCATATGGTCGTACAAGAGCCTCTCAATGTCGAAGATCACGAAATCGATCATAGCGAGAACGGTGTTCCTCTGTCTACTCCGACCGCAATGTCATACAGTCTATGTCGATTGAAGTTGGCTATTGTGTGTCGCCAAATAGTGGACGAAACTTCCTACTACCATTTCCATGGACAAGAAGTACCCTATGAGAAGATACTCGGGCTTGATCAAAAGCTTCACAATATTTGCGCCGAGATTCCTAGCTTCTTTCGCTTTGATCAAGCCTCCCGGCGTGAATACTCAGCGCTCTATCATGCGCGACCAACTCTTGCATGGCAGCGAGCTCTGGTCAACCAGGGCTACCATTCACGTCTATGTCGCTTGCATCGCCACTACCTCGTGAGTGGGGCAAAGGATCCCAAATATTCCTATTCGCATGTTGTATCCCTTCAGTCTGCACGGAAGGTGCTTGAAGTGAAACGCATTATGGACGAGGAAGAGCCTGTGTTCACACCACATAGCTCGGTCATATGGGCAGTCATGCACCATGTGTTTATGGCAGCTGCCATTCTTCTGATAGATGTATGTTTCAACTGGGATGACATTCTTGCCGAGAAACGAAAAGAGGAAGTACTCGACGCTTGTCGAATGCTCAGCCGGGCGCAACAATCATCGCCCATCGCACGTGAAGGAATTAACGCAATGATGGGGATCTTGCGAAGGCATTGGAGACACCAAAAAAGAGCAAGCTCTCGCAACTCACAGGAGCTCTCTGCATTTTCGGATTCAAATGCCACAACGACAAATACCCCGGATATCCCCACACCCATTTCATTGGGTTCCAAGAGCGCCACATTTACACCAGGAATTCCCAATGATCAATCGATAGTGTATAATTCAGAAGATGCATTTTTTGATCCATTGCCTCTTGAAGACATATGGGCAGAGATGCTAGATAGCAGCATTAATGTTGAGCTGAATACACCAGACTGGACAGACTTGCTCACCGAGTTGACAAATGTTACTTTGCCAAGCGAGTAATAAGAGATGATGTCTTTTCATAAATGTCTATTTAGAATAATTAGCCACCAACTAATGCACAATTCCTACAAAACGAACAACCTTTCCATATAAAATATCGATGTGACCAGAAGGGCTTATCCAATTAATTGTTACAGTAGAATAATCTACAAATCAAGCAGATGGCCAATTTTCTGCTATCAATAAGCCAATGGTGCCAAAGTTCCCTGTGGTCACTATGCACTACGATAAATGAGGCTCTGCTAGCAACCCAGTCAGCGCTGACAGAAACCTCTTTGTTTTGATGCCCCAAAATCAAAACAATCATTTACTTCCAACAAACACCCAGACCTATCAACGCCCGAACTCGAAGATATGTCCAACAATACAGATGCTAGTATGAAACCCGATATCCAATCAATCGTGGACCGCATCAGGACTGGAAAAGCTACGCGAATTGTCGTCTTGACTGGCGCTGGAATCAGCACTGGCGCCGGGATTCCAGATTTCAGGTCTCCAAACACAGGATTGTACGATAAACTCGCTCCACTGCGGCTCCCATATCCAGAGGCAATTTTTCACATCAATTATTTCTCCCACACACCTGAGCCATTCTACGCAATCGCCCGGGCGCGTCACCCGGGAAATCTGAAACCGACTATCACTCATGCGTTCCTGGCACTGCTAGCAAAGAAGAATTTGCTCCATTTCGTTTTCACTCAAAATATCGACGGGCTTGAGCAAGATGCCGGGATTCCCCCTGAAAAGGTGCTCTGGGCTCATGGAAACTGGAAGAGTCAACATTGTTACAAGTGCAAGTCGTCATATCCCGATGATCTCATGAATAAAGCGATTCGAGCGGGTGAAGTGCCATATTGTCTTGAAACCGGGTGCGGGGGTGCGGTGAAGCCAGATGTTGTATTCTTTGGGCAAGCCCTACCGGTTGAGTTTGAAGAAAAAGAGAAAGAGGTCCTTGAGGCGGATTTGATGCTTGTAATGGGAACTAGTTTGAGGGTCGCCCCTTGCTCTAGGCTTCCAGGTCTAGTAAAAGAAGGAATCCCTCGGGTTTTGATCAACAATGAAAAATCAGGAGATTTGGGTAATCGAGCCGAGGATGTGTGTATTCTCGGAAGTTGCGACGATGGCGTTCGTCGATTAGCTGATGCACTTGGATGGGGAGACGACTTAAACAATCTCTGGAAGGAGGCAGTCGCCGCTAAGAAGCACGATGAAACATTTGAGGGTGGTCCTAGCCTAGACGAGTGCATTGAGAAATTAGCTAGTGGCATGAAGGACAAGATGAATGTATCGGATGGGCACAAACGCATGCTGGAGAACCATTTGAACAACAAACTTGGGCAGATAATAGCGAAAGACCCTACATACTCATAGAATGCATACATCGTGTGTGACGGTTTGACTTCTGCTCAACCTCGGAACTGAATTATGCTTAATCCTACTTGGGAAAAGGCCGATCTACCTAAAGAATGATGCCACCATGATGTGACAGTATTTCCTCAAGGGTATATTAGCAACTTCTCAACTTCAAGGTCGCAACTTTGAATACATCCCCGAAATCACACCACATTTTTCTTCGTCGAATGTCATCTCTATCAGCTCGTTATGCCTTACCATAAGAACAACCTCCCTTATATCCGCCGCTACATAACCACCCACAATACCGAGGGCGAATCAGTATTTCTCTCCCACGCACAGGTTCCTGACTACCTCCCGTCGACACCAAGCGGGGACGATGGCGAGATTGCCCTGCTATACGCTACGACCACCACACCAGCTTCAGTCGATGCTGAGGCGGACGTCGCCATGTACGACGAGTTCCTACATCAGCCTCCAGGAATAACAGTCGACAATGGAACCGTTTTCCGTCTAATTGATCTCCGTCCGGGAAGGGCGACTCCAATGCATCGGACAGTGAGCGTCGACTACGGGGTAATAATTGAGGGGGAGGTTGATCTCTTGCTGGACTCAGGTGCGAGCCGGCATATGCATCGTGGCGATGTGAGTGTGCAAAGGGGTACTGCACATTCGTTCCGGAACCGGAGTGATACAGAATGGTGTCGCATGCTGTTTGTATATTTACCAATGCAGAAGGTGAATATTCAAGGAAAGGACCTGGAAGCGGAAGTATACGATGAGGGATTTGACAGACCAGATAAGGAGGAGGGACCTGAATGTGGGGGTATTTGAGGAGGGATTCAAGAAACCAAACAACGAACAAGGCTATTAGGGGATTCAAATGAGGCGCTCTTGTCTCTAAATATAATTGACCAAAAGTATGTCAGCGCTTTCTAGATGGATGACACCTGTCAGCAGTCAGACTAGCCCCGAAGCCCTGCTCTTCCAGTCTAGTAGAAGCTCAGCCCTCGTCGTACCAATATCATGATTATCAATTGGAGAAGCATCCATGCCTAATCGCATGAATCACTGTCGACATTTTTGGCGTGCTTGGTTATCCTCATTTCTGACTCATTAACCAGTTATTTCCTGAGTCTCCAAGATGTATAAATCGAGCAAGTCTTCCGACTTGCTTTCTTTGATCTGCTGTCATATAATTCTCTTTTCGCTTCGAATACTTTCTTCCAACTCCTCCTACCCTATAGTCATTCCAGATACATAATCTTTCACCATTGATACTCCAATCTGACATGTCATCACAGGTCAAAATGCTCATGCAAAGGTGTATTTTGCTTTCAACGAAGATTTGATGGCATACGATCCCAAATCTGCTCCGGCATTCACAACCGGGGTCTGACTCTGGGTTCGGGGTTATCCAAATTCGCCGCTTGTGTGGCTCTCCAGTCGACGGACGATATGCGCCCCCGGCAGATGCAGGCTGGTTCCATCGGACACTGAGCTTAGACTATGTATGCTGTAGTGTTAATTGGCACTGTCTAGGTTACCAAATACAGAGGCGAAGAGAGGATCCCGGATCAGCACGGTGTCATTTTCTGCTGCGGCGCAAACCACGAATGGGTGAATCGAGGTAAGGATGTTGCTCGAGTCTTTGAGTTGGCTATCCCTAACAAGAAGATTGTGATAGAAGATGGGAAGATATTAGATAAAGCATCTGCGAGTGGCATCTATAGTCCCAAATAAGAGGGAAATTAGTTAGTATACGGAGTATATGTATAGACTAATCCAGAGGAATATTCTGTTCTATATGCTCCTCGGAAAAGCGGAATATTCCGAACTCTCGGAACACGGAATGAGACTTCCGACGGAATTCATTCCAGTCCTCCCCGCGCCCTTTCTTCGACATTTCTACTTTTCTTCCATTTGCCTTCAAACATTTGCTGTGACCTCAATTCCACAAATTCCACTTATAGTATTATTCTACATCTTTTACTTGATACTGTATTTTCCTGTGCCGCCAATTGCCGCACTTGCAGCTCCATAGAAAAACTACCCCGCGTCGCAGATCTCTAGTTGACGCGCAGCATGGACCGCGACCAGTTCAAGACCGCGGCTCACTCTGCCATTGACGATAGTACGCGCTTTTCTAACCTTATGGTGATCTTCAGTCTCAATAATTTTTCATCTAACCAAGCTTTTGTGCAGTCGTCAATTACTTCGACAGCGTACCCGAGCGCCGAGTCCTACCCGCCGTCGAGCCCGGATACCTTCGCCCTCTGATCCCGGAAAACCCCCCTGATGAGCCAGAGGACTGGGCACAAATCCAGGATGATGTTGACACCAAGATCAAACCCGGCTTGACCCACTGGCAGTCTCCCAATTTCATGGCATACTACCCCGCCTGTGTGACATATCCCAGCATTCTGGGTGAGATGTACTCCGCCACATTCACCGCCCCTGCTTTCAACTGGTTATGCTCTCCAGCATGTACGGAGATGGAAACCATTGTTATGGACTGGGTTGCGAAAGCTCTGGCATTACCCGAGTGTTTCAGGAGTACGTCGGAGACCCATGGTGGCGGTGTGATCCAGAACAGTGCAAGTGATGCTATTGCGACTATCATTGTCGCTGCACGAGAGAGGCGTGTGCGTGAACTGCTGCTTGCCGAAGACCTTAAGGAGGGTACACCAGAGTACGAGGACCGCAAATTCGATGTGCAAGCCAAGCTGGTCGCTATTGCCAGTGATCAAACCCACAGCAGCGCTGCTAAGGGTGCTTTGATTGCGGGTACTCGCTTCCGTGGCGTGACCACACGGCTGGAGGATAACATGGAAATGACGGGACCTCGTCTCCGTGAGGTTCTCGAGAAGTGCGATAAGGACGGACTTACCCCATACCACCTCACTATGACCTTTGGCACAACAAATACCTGCAGCGTGGATCGCTTTGCAGAGCTTAAGGCAGTTCTGCAAGAAAAGCCCGCGTGGCAGCGTATCTGGGTGCATATTGATGCCGCTTATGCCGGTGCGTCGCTCGTTGCGGATGAGTGGCAGTATATTGCGAAGGATTTTGCGGAAGGCGTTGACAGCTTCAACATGAACATGCACAAGTGGTTGCTGGTCAACTTTGATGCTAGGTAAGCTTCAACCCCCAATGATCTGTGGGGAAGTTTGTATCCTTGGTCTAACATTCCCAAGCGTCCTCTTTGTCCGAAATCGCTTGGATCTAACGAACGCATTGGATATCACACCAACATATCTACGTAACCCATACTCGGATATGGGTACCGTAATTGACTACCGAAACTGGTCTATTTCCCTCGGTCGCAGATTCCGCGCACTGAAGATTTGGTTCGTGATTCGCAGCTATGGTCTCAACGGCATGAAAGCCCACATCCGCAAGACCATCGAGTTTGGTGATCTCTTCGCTGGATTGGTGCGCGGTCGGGCCGATCTATTTGAGATTGTCACGAAGCCAGGCTTTGGTTTGACCGTCTTCCGCGTCAAGAGCCCCCAGGCTGTATTTAACAGAGCCAGTGCATCGTCTGACCGTGTGGCCAAAGATGAGGTTGCTAACGATCTAACCAAGAAGACTTCTGAGTTGGTCAACGCGCGGGGCGAGATCTTCTTCACCTCTACAGTAGTTGATGGCGTCTGTGTTATGCGATTGGTTAGTGCCAACCCTATGGCGGAAGAGAAGTATATCCGCAATGCCTTTGATGTTATCGTCCGTACAGCGGAGGAGGTGCTGAAGGAGCAGAAGTGAGTTGCAAGTTATGATATAGTACATATAGATACGTGGTGATTGATCACCTATACATACATATATCTAGACGATATAATCAATGAACTAGACCAGTTAGGTCAATTAAACACTCTTTTCTATCTAGCCTATCTTCCCAGCTTTGTCTTGTTCCCCCACACTAACAGAGGCAATGTGGATATGAATCTCGCGTCTCGCACCAACCCGAGCCGGATTTCTGGTTCCCCCCACGCGGGGTCGCTACTATAATAACTTCATTCCTAGAAAACAATTGTTGCCATCCTCTTACCCCTTGAGAACTAGATACCTATACCTAACAATAATGTCTTCTCAAAAGCCCTCGTAAGTTGCTCTATTCCTAACCGCACGATCAGTGCTCATGATGACAGGTATGTGCTCGTCACTGGCGCAACAGGGTTCATTGGCGCCCATGTCGTCGACAATCTATTGGCTCGTGGATTCTCAGTCCGAGGCTCGACAAGATCGAAGCAAAAGGGAGAGCAAATGAAAGCTGCACGTCCGCAGTACGCTTCAAAGCTTGATTTTGTCGTTGTGGAAGATTTCACCCAAATTGGGGTTTTCGACTCTGTAATGGATGGCATTGACGCAGTCATCCATGTGGCGAGCGTATGCAACTCCCAATTCTTTGTTGGTGATTGACAAAACATGCTAACATATCTCCCAGCCGTTCTTCTATGACACCACCAACAACGAGCAGGAATTGATTTTGCCCGCTATCAACGGAGTCAAGTCGATTCTCTCCGCGTCCGCCAAGCCAGGCTCAAAAGTCCAGCGCCTTGTCATGACATCCTCCTTCGCCTCAGTAGTCAACCCAAGCAGCACTCCAGAACCAGGTTTCACGTATACCGCCGCAAACTGGAATCCGCTGACATACGAGGAGGCAATCGATCCGAAATCTGACTCTGTCACCGCATACCGCGGCTCCAAGAAGTTCGCTGAGCTCGCGGCATGGGAGTTTGTCAAGGAGCAGAAAACCAAATTCGATCTGGTAACCCTCTGTCCTCCTATGGTTTTCGGTCCGGTCGTGCACCCAGTGCCGACTGTGCAGCAGCTCAACGAGTCAAACATGATGCTCTGGAGTGTTGCCGCAGGTGCGGATCCACTTCCCGGAACGCGTGTACCCGGTTGGATTGATGCTCGTGACCTCGCTGAGGTGCATGTTCAGGCTTTGCTTACACCCGAAGCTGGTGGTAAAAGATTTGTAGCTGCTTCGCCGGAGCCGTTCTCATATGAATATGCTGCGGATATCATTCGTGACGAATTCAACTGGGCAAAGGAGACTGTGACTACTAATTATAAGATGGGTGAGAAGCCGAGTAGCTCTTATGGGATTGATGGGGAGACTGCCGCTCAGGAGTTAGGGGTGAAATATCGGCCCTTCAAGGAGACTGTGGTGGATTTGGTTGGACAGATTCGAGAACTCGCAGTGTAATGTACATTATGTATATCAATACATATCGTTTAACGTGTAACTCAGCTCTGTGCCCGACATACTCCCAGGACTATATCGTATCCATGGATCTGTTATCAATAGCGATGCATGGAGGCGCTGCTTGTTTGTATGAAGTTTTTCAAGGCTCCCTTTTTCTATCCATTTGTCGCTATGGAGCTATATAGGGAGCTTCATGACGTAAATACATTATTATAATCCTCATTAATTTCTGTCGATCACTTCCCTCGTTCTCTACCCACGTAGAGTGTATCCATCGAATAAAAACGGGTGAGATAGAGCAGGTCTAAGAGAGAGGAAGGTGCAACTATATATCACTTCACAGGTTCTAATCGGATGAGGAAATTGTACTATTGAATATGCTTGTTGCAATCTTTAACGAGGTTGAATTGCGGGATGCAGGTCAAAAATTGATTCAACTTGAATTTGATATTTCAACCCAACCCATGAGTAGGTATAGCGCTGCTATCTTACACGCTTATATCTATGCGTTGGAGTAAAACGAGCTATTTCAAGGTTGGCTTTTTGTTCTTATCTTGTTCGGGTTTTGAGATAGCTGTATGTTATACTCGCAACTTAATACATCTCCCTCCGCATCATCAAGACTGGTCAACTTGAACGAACTGCATATACAATCCAAGAAAACGAAAGTCCCTAGTGGTCGATATGCACTACGACACATGTGTCAAGCCTTGCAGCTCCATTCCTTTTTTCTCTCTTCTTCTACATCTTCTACACAGCCAACACAGCTTGCATCTTGAGGATATATATATGAGCGATTAAACAAACCAACGAACCATTCCTCTTGGCGATCCGCCACGATACTCCAACTTCCCAAGAACGAGTAACCGAGCACAGCCGAGCTCGATCCTGAGAAACTGGAGAGCCTATTTCTGGGCCTAGGACTGTTCACGGGCTGACACATATGGCCCCGGGGGCCTCCAGCCCTGGATGCTTGAGCCCCTTTTCCATTCGTAATCGTAGCCTCATATGGGGTTACGAAGTATTCCAAAAATGTCAGCCCGCTACGTCAATCTCTGCGGGGATAATTGCATCCAATAATGCCCATTAGAACGAGATCGGCGACTGGTCCCCAGTCTTGTTTTCTCCACACCAATTCCGTCACTGTCTCCTTCCAGATAACAAAAATCTGCTGTTTGACTGGCCCGTGATTGGATTCCCTAGTGAGAAGTTCCCTAGTGAGGGGTTGGAATATAATGACTGAACTTGTTCTTGTAGCCCAGATATAACACCTTCGGATTCGTCATGTTGAAAATAATTGATACCCACCCCTTTTTATTTGCGGCACTGCGTTAAGCTACTTTAGGATTAGCCCTATAGTCTCCACAATCACGTGACCGCTAATCCAACGTCCAGTGGTGCTTTTGTGCAGTACTTTATACTTATACACCGTTTGATTCTGCCGGTACTGCCGGTCTTAAAATAGCGTGTTTTTTATCCACTTTACAATCAATATTAAGGAAGAAAGAAAAAAAAAAGGAAAAGCCAGACTCGAATCATATGACTTATCTATAATTTCTATACAAATATATACTTGACCGGCGAGAAATCATGACATGTCTTTTTTTTTTCTTCTTGAATATTCTAATGGGAAATTGCAACTAGTATATTTATGGTAGGCGGTAGACAGGCGGTGTATTGCCCCCACACAACGCATTGTAGGCTGTCTATTGCTCCATAGAAAGGGGAAATTATATCGAATTACGTGGTAGCCAAGATGCACTAACTAAAACTGGTTTAAACAGGAGCCACTGAGAAAAAGGGGTTGTGCCACGATCATTTCGCGTGTCGATAATCAATTCCCGCAATCCCAATCCATGTAACACGCTCATTTTCAAACTCTCGTTTTCAAATTCAGATGGCCATTTTGCCCTCAATTTTGGCATTTATATAGTGGTTTTGAACTTCCATTTCTTTTGGGGGCTTTTTTTCATGATGACCACAGTGCATGGTTCCAAAGATAATAACCTGCATGATATTAATGCTTTCGCTGAAAGCTCAAGTGACGAGCATGCTGCCCTGAATACTTCTTTCGAATCTGAACCCAGGTCTAGCGGTTCATATCCTTGTCAATATGAAATCAGCAGTGAGTCCTGCATCCTCCAATTCGTCTTGCCAAAGCTGATATCAACTTCTTATCGTTATCAAGGACAAGCCGAGCTGGCCTCTGTGAACCCAAGTTCAGACAACAACCACATCTTCCATAAAGTGAAAAACTTCCTTCGACCAGACAATACACAGATCCCCGATGACGATAGTTTGTCTGGTTGGCCCCACCACTGCAACCCGATATCCATATTCAAGCAACAGACAAAACAAATTGTCAGCCCCAGGATCATTTTCTCCGGTGCATTCGCCATATCAGCAATCATTATCTCCAATACCCACAGCCCGGCGCTTGTAATATTCATCTGGAACCTCCTTGCTATTGTGCCGCTGTCGATTACGCTCACAGAAGCCACAGAAAGGATATCCAAGGATTTGGGCGAGACCGCTGGCGCTCTCCTCAATATCACCATAGGGAATCTAGCGGAGCTTATTATTTTGTGAGTCCTAACCTTGAAAATCACCGCATTTCCAGTCAATATATACTGACTATCTTATAGCGTGTAAGTTTGAATATAGTACCAGGTTGACTGCCTTAGGGCTGAGTGGAAACTGATCTTCTATAGCACTGCTTTGTTGAAAGACAACATTAAAGTAGTTCAATCGTCACTCCTTGGCTCCATTCTTGTGAACCTCCTACTCGTCCTCGGGTCTGCAATCATAGCAGGCTGTATCTCGAAGAGTGATGTGACATATAACACTGATCTCACACAGTCATTTGTGGGACTTCTCAATCTCACAATCTCTTGTCTCATGATTCCAGTAAGGCGATGTTTCACCTGTTTTAGTTACATTGGATGCTAATCTTGAACATAGACCGCTTTCTACGGCAGCGTGAAGAGCGTCACTTCTGCTGATCATATGTCATTGTCCTTTAGCAGGGGGTGTCCATCATCCTCCTAGCCACATACTTTTTATACCTTTTCTTCCAGTTCAAATCACACGCTCACTTATTCCTCTCTACACGGCTTCATGTGCCACAGCCAAACCATGATCAGGGATATACAGACCTCGAATCGCATCCCACCGGACTCGCAAGAGCAACCAGCAGAGATCTTCCCCATCTAGAGATGCAAGAGGTGCGATCACGGTCATGTTCAGTCGACGCATTGACGGCATCAGGAATGCCACTGTTTCATAGCGAGCCATCCGAAGGAAGCATGAGCATCGATGGGCAAACGGAAACACCCATTAAAGAGCCTCTAGGATGTCACTGCGACCGCTATGTTGTCAAATCCAGCCGAATCATATCCGTCACCCTCCTCGCCCTATCAACAATTCTCATCGCTATATGCGCTGAGTACTTCGCCTCGAGCTTCTCAACGCTCAATGATCAGGGCGTCCTTGGTGAATCATTCGTCGGTTTGATCATCATCCCCGTTGCTGGAAATGTTGCTGAGAATGTCACTGCGGTTGTTGTGGCCTCAAAAAATCAAATGGATCTTGCCATCAGCGTTGCTCTTGGATCAGCCATTCAAATCGGTCTCCTGGTTTCGCCTGCCATGGTGCTTATCGGCTGGGCTCTCGACAAGCCCATGACCTTGCACTTTGACAAGTTCGAGATGGTCACATTGATTGGAGCTGTTCTTTTGGTTGATTTCATCGTTCTCAAAGGAAAGACCAATTATATGGAGGGGGCTATCCTGTGTGCTTGCTTTGCGGCTATTTCGTACGTGCATTCTGTCTATTTCTTGAAGATTCAATTGCTAATATTCTCGAATAGTGTTGGCGCATACTTGTTGCCGTTCACTTGAGACACATATCTCAAGAGTGCTGATCCATGGATGGTGTGACGGCCAATTTGAACCTAGGCTGGCCAAATCTTGCTGCCTGTCCCTAGATCCTTTTGTTATTATCCAATGTAAATAGGAATTGTAGATATAGTCATGAAATTGAAATTAAAATTCATTTCACCTCAATTTCGCCGGATTAATCGCCCTCGAGTCCTGAAGATCCAAGCCAAACCCGTCCATTGAACAAGAAACGCCATTCGGGAAGTGGGTATCAGTTTATGGAGTATTCCCTTGATTCTGCTCGAATGATATCTGGTCTAACTTCTCTTCTTTCAAACCTAGGCCGTTTTGGATTGTCGGAGCTTGTCGCACGACTCCCGCCAAGCTAATTCAATTCGAAACAGGACTACAATATATGAGGGCCCACAGAGAATTATTTCCAATTTACCCCGTGTTTCCATATGATTTCAGTTAAATTGTCACTTTCTCATTTTGGTGACAACCTGCAATGAGACTTCCAGGACAACCCCATGGCAAGCCACATGGTGGCTGGGTGTCACTTTGGCAAAGATTAAACCGCAAGCTACGTCGTGAGCCGCATGACTAGTCTTGTATACATTCAAAAAGATCCATACATAATGGATCTATCTAAAAAGCCCTGGAGAGATATCGTAATGCTATGCAATTCGTCTGTCCCTTCCTCCCTTCCTTCCTTCCTTTCGGTGTTTTCATTCTTTCCATTTCTCCTTTCTATAATCCACTCCTACCATCGAGACCCTGCCATTCTTTCTCATCATCTATCATCTCGAAGTTTGCTACTCTCGTTCTCATTTACATTTGTTAACGGAGTCTAACCCAGTTTTCATCTTAGGTTCTGCTCTCACTGCACCAACTGGCGAATAATGTCTTCTTGGGAGATCTGCATTCTGTTTCTGCCATTGCCGCCAGAATCAAGCAACGCTTTGCTGATAGGAATTGAATTACGCTAATATACAATGCATGCGCCCAAGAATTTGCCAACGCCACAATTGAAGAAACACATGCATTCAACATTAAGTATAGCACAGCCGGTCCTGATATTGTGTATTCCCTAAGCCCTTGGTTTATATTCGAACCCCCAAGGCGCTGACTCAAAGACGCCCTAATAGGTTTCTGGTGCTATACTTTCTTTTGCTGTAGATGCTTGAGCTCATGGCAAGAAACAAACACCTTTATGCGTATAGCATTTTTCAAACCGAAGTGCCAAAATTGCGATATCAGCCAAGCGCGTCGTGGAGCTTAAGCACCTTGTGATTACATCTTTGACCCTGGTTATCAATAATAAATGTTATTATTATCTATTAAAAGTTTGACGTCTATGTCCAGCTTGGGTTCGAGTCCCGTTGTGACCTGGCCAACAACGCCACTACCGTGGATGACTCCGATCAGCACACTGGCCATAATTCGCTCGGTACCTCTGGCATGCTATAATTTGTTGCAAACAGATACGGTTCCAAGTACTTAAACTCCAAGTGCGGCTACCAGTTTATCCAGCCACTGGTCACTAGGCAGTCCCAGGACGCCGACTACACCCAGACCAAGGTCATTACGCCCATATACATATTGCCTGGGAATTCTATTCTCGAAGTTTCGAAGGACGTGCTCATTATATAGATCGGGGATTATTCTGTGGTGACATCGTATACTGCCCCTTTTTATTTTATATACTCATAATTTAAAGTTTTATAGAATGTAGACGTGCATGTAACCCGCCAATGAGCAAAGATTCTTTTCTGATCTATTAATTTCTTTAAATTAATTATGTCTGACTCACGTTTTCAAATAGTTGCGAGTATTTAACTCTTTATCGTTGACCCCCCTACCCGTCGATAACAACCTCAGAAACAAAAAGCCCAGAATGTCTACCCTAGCCCCTCTAGTCTTAGAACTCGCCACTATCGAAGATCTTCCCGCCATTACAGAGCTATGGTTCACCGTATTCAATGACCCCGGCATGCGCAAGCTATTCCCAGACACGCCAGGCGCGCGTGAATGGTTCACTGAAGCCAACCGCATCGACATGCTCACAAAGCCCTATCAAAAATACATCAAAATCATCGATCCCAGCACAAAAGACGCCCAGGGCCAGACACGGATAGTCGCATATGCGAAATGGGACCTAGCCATGCCCGACGAACGCGGGGCTCGATTCCCGCCTTGGCACGGAGACATGCCTAGCCATGATTGCGATGCGTTCTTTGGAGGGCTGGAGATAGAGCGCAAGCGTGTGATGGGTGGTCGGAAGCATTACTGTAAGTCTGATGCTCCATTAACCGCTAACACTTCTTTGTTGACGCCCCTGGGCAGATCTTGATATGCTCGGTACGCATCCTGACTACCGCTGTCGCGGGGCAGGCTCTATGCTTGTTCGCTGGGGATGCGAAATTGCAGATCGCGAGGGTGCTGGAGCGTATATCGATGCTAGTAAGGCTGGTGTCCCGCTCTATGCGAAACATGGATTTGTGGATCGCAGTGAACCCACTGGACCAAGAGATGTGGTCGCGATGGCTCGAGGATAGATCTGCTATGCCATCGGTCGAGTATACTCGAAGAGGTATGATAAGCGGTTTACTCCGTATTGGAATTGTAAGTGTTCGAATTGTAGAGAAGAGGGTTACATATGTACATACAGTCAAAATGAAACATTGATGACTTTTTTCGATCGTGACTCTATGTTTTTCTTTTCGCGCGGTAGACCAATGCCAATATTTCTTCAATCTACTCAGCAGCTCAAAATCTCTGCCTGATTCGAAAACAAAGTACTCAATCCAAAAAAAGATATCTTACATCTTGACCCCTCACTATCACGGGCATACTCCGTTCTCGCCGGCCGAAAGCTCTATCACACACATATCACATTAAAAATAGCTCTTTCAATAACTATTACGCCAAGTTCACAGTTGCCAAGATCATTAAGGACCATTCTCATCTCGTCCCAAGGCTGGATAGGTGATTTTCCCCCTCGCCAAGCATCTCAGTTTGTCATACCCCACGAATCCAGCAATAAGCGACCACGAATGGCACATGGGCAATATATTCTTTGATGCAGGACAAGACTGCCAATATATAAAAGTACATGTAACTGGATCTTTCCCTCTCCTCTCTCGTGCCGCCCCGGAGACCGATGCTCTTGGCTGTCACTAACACAAACGGGTTCTCACGGATGATCCCAACTGAATTGCGGGCGAGTTCTAAAAATGGTAGAGATGTGCGTGGACAGGGATCAGGTGCAGAAGGGGGTCTTGGTAATCTACGCCGCAGCGTAATCCCTGGTGATTTTCCAGGTCCCAATTTCGAGTGCCGGTCTACAAATGTGGAATGTAAGTATTTACCTGCTACGGAGTCGGAGTACAGTATATCAATTGGGAGATTAATTCAACATGAGACATAATTTCTTGATGCTAGGGTGGATATCCCCTACATCATACAATTTTTTTTTTCTCGTTCAAACAAACGCCAAGTGGCTGTTACAAGGGTATTATTCGCCAATTACCAAGCATCGCGGCCTCGACCAACGTCGCCTGTGACGCTTAATCAACGCCAAGACATGGATCATCCCTTCACTAACCCCCTTCACTATGACTTTAGACTCCACGAGATACGTCCGACAAATCCGTATTCCGACTCAAACCCGAGTCGCCAATATTATTAACGATCAGCTTACTCCGTACTCCTTTTGCCAACCTCTTATCTGTAACTGGCATTGTGATCTGATCCCTGTAGTCTAGCTTATAGCCTGCTTATGGATCGATACACCAGCATTCCCATTCGAGCTAAAGGTCCTTCGGGGCAAATCATGCATAATTGTCTCTGCTCTTCTCCTTGGCTCGTGGAAACGGTCAACACTCTTTCCGGGCCCCACTATATGCGCGACAGGTGGTTTGATCACACTGTTGGTCTCGGCCATTATGCTGAAATAATCAAACGGTTCCTGGTTGGAGAATAACCAGTCCAGGTCTGATCAATAGTACTTGGTTCGTGCGTCATAGTATTCTTATGGAGCTTCTGATTGGTTCATTTCAAAATTCGTCTCACTCGGCGGTTTTAATTCCCTGTTCGGGTTTGCATTTCAAACCGGAGTACGGAGTATATAAAGTGAGCTTCGGGTCCTTATCTTGTTGAAATTCGAACAGTTAGCAACTCAATTAAGGCTGATCTTTATATCAACAGTTATATTATTTAACTGTCGCAATGCATGTACTTGCCCTCGTTACGGGCCTTGTTGGCATTGCCAATGCTGCCTGTCCTTATATGACTGGTGAAGCCGGCAACAATCCTCACATCGAGCGCCGAGATGGTGGAAATGCTGCTGCCGACACCGAAGAATTCCTCTCCCAATTCTATCTCAACGATGAAGACGTCTATATGACCTCTGACGTTGGTGGCCCTATCGAGGATCAAAACAGTCTTAGCGCAGGAGAGCGTGGACCGACCCTGCTCGAGGACTTCATTTTCCGCCAAAAGATACAACGTTTCGATCATGAAAGAGTACGTGTCCTGCATTTTAGTTCAAGTTTTAAAGCTAATACTTGCTTTTTTTTTCAAGGTACCGGAGCGCGCTGTTCACGCTCGAGGCGCTGGCGCCCACGGAACATTCACTTCCTACGGCGATTGGTCCAACATAACAGCCGCGTCTTTCCTTTCCGCCAAAGGCAAACAAACCCCAATGTTTACGCGCTTCTCTACCGTTGCTGGTAGTCGCGGAAGCGTGGATACCGGGCGAGATGTCCATGGCTTTGCGACTCGTTTCTATACTGATGAAGGAAACTTCGGTAAGATAGATCCGCTTTTGACAAACCAAGTAACATAACTGATTGAGATCTAGATATTGTTGGAAACAACATTCCCGTCTTCTTCATCCAGGATGCCATCCTGTTCCCAGATCTCATTCACGCGGTCAAGCCCCGCGGCGACAACGAGATCCCCCAGGCTGCTACCGCGCATGACTCGGCTTGGGACTTCTTCAGTCAACAGCCTAGTACACTTCACACACTTATGTGGGCAATGGCTGGCCACGGTATTCCTCGGTCGTTCCGGCATCTTGATGGATTTGGTGTGCACACCTTCCGTCTGGTTACTGACAATGGAAAGACCAAGCTCGTCAAGTTTCACTGGAAGGGATTGCAGGGTAAGGCCAGCTTTGTATGGGAGGAAGCGCAGCAGACCGCTGGTAAAAATGCCGACTTTATGCGTCAGGATCTTTTCGAATCTATTGAAGCTGGACGTTTCCCCGAATGGGAGGTAGGTAATAACCCCCACATGTATCGCAATTCCTGCTAATTATTCCTTAGCTTGGTGTTCAAATCATGGAGGAAGAGGACCAGCTTCGATTTGGATTCGATCTTTTGGATCCTACCAAGATTGTCCCGGAGGAACTCGTTCCTGTCACAAAGCTAGGCAAGATGCAACTGAACCGAAACCCTATGAACTACTTCGCTGAAACAGAGCAAGTTATGGTATGTCTCGGCCTACCATCACCAGCGAGTAATACTGACACTAATTTTCTTAGTTCCAACCGGGCCATATCGTCCGCGGGGTCGACTTCACAGATGATCCCCTCCTCCAGGGGCGTATCTTCTCCTACCTAGACACCCAACTCAACCGCCACGGCGGTCCCAACTTCGAGCAGCTCCCCATCAACCGCCCCCGCGCACCAATTCACAACAACAATCGCGACGGAGCAGGTACGTTACCTATCACACTCCCAACCTCACTTAAAACCCCCCTTTCTAACGACCCCAGGCCAAATGTTCATCCCCCTAAACCCAAATGCCTACTCCCCCAACACTGAAAACAAAGGCTCCCCAAAACAAGCCAACCAAACTGCCGGCAAGGGTTTCTTCACGGCCCCAGACCGCACAACAAGCGGCAGGCTCCAACGCACCGTCAGCTCAACCTTCGAAGACGTGTGGTCACAACCCCGCCTATTCTGGAACTCGCTTGTGGCAGCCGAGAAGCAATTCGTCGTCGACGCAATGCGATTCGAGACCTCGAACGTCAAGAGTAGCGTCGTACGCAACAACGTAATCATTCAACTCAACCGCATCAGCAACGATCTCGCCACTCGCGTCGCAGAGGCCATTGGCATTGACGCACCCAAGCCAGATGACTCATACTACCACGATAACACGACCGCGAATATCGGTGCCTTTGGACAGAAACTCGCCAAGTTGGATGGTTTGAAGGTTGGACTTCTTGCGTCTGTGGATAAGCCAGCTTCTATTGCGCAGGGCGCCAAGTTACAGTCTGCTTTGTCTTCTGCTGGTGTTGATGTCGTTGTTGTTGCGGAAAGGATGGTGGATAATGTTGATCAGACCTATTCTGCTTCTGATGCGGTACAGTTTGATGCTGTTGTTGTTTCGGATGGGGCGGAGGGTCTGTTTGGATCCAAGTCTTTCACTAGTGTGCCTAAAAAGGCTTCCACTTTGTATCCTGCTGGCCGGCCTTTGGATATTTTGCTTGATGCTTTCCGGTTCGGAAAGACTGTTGGTGCGTTGGGTAAGGGCTCTGCTGCCCTGCGTTCTGGGCTCATTTCTACAGACCGAGAGGGTGTGTATACTGCCAGCAATGCTGGAGATGCATTTGCCAAGGATATTAAGGAGGGACTTCGGACCTTCAAGTTCCTGGATCGATTTGCGACTGATGAGTAGAGGATGTTGATTATGACTGTATGTATGGATATATCAAAAATAAATAGGTGGCATTCTGTTCAACTTGCTGCGATTTACTACTCAACTTTTATACACTTAGGTATGCATTATATTTGTAGGTCCTATTTAATAGATTTGTACTGGGCAAAGTACCTGTATAATATCAAATGGAAACTCAGGCTATATTTACAAAAGAGTCCTTTTGTTGAATTCTTGGGGAAATCAGGGGAAATGCAGCGCAAGTGTATCAGCCTCTAAAGCTAGCAGACAAACTACCAACGTCGACGCCTTGAGGTGTTCCTATCGGATAGAGCTGCTGCTGCACGCACTTTCATCTTCTTATTGGCAGACTTGAGGCCTGAGGAATCAGAGCGCATCTTTTCTCGCCCGAGAATCGCCCATTCAGCAACAGTGGCGCCAGTGCCATTTTTGGCCTCGACATCAACAGAGTCAAGTGCTTGGTTTCCCACAATAAGCAAAGACGCATAGCGTGCTGCTCGTACGGGTGATGACAAAGTCACATTTGTTGTGTTTCCGGTAGGAATGGCAACGACATCGAGGTCTGTGGTCTCAGAATCATATGGATTTGATTGAATGATATTTGTCAGTTTGTGGACAACTGTGTAGTCCGAGCTTTGAGCGGAAAGCGCCCTTGCGGGATCTTGCAGTGTCTTATTGTGGAAGATCACTGTCGCATTGACTGGGGGCGCCTGCGCCCAATCGAAGTAGAAGCCTGATACCATAGCGCCGACCTCATCTTCGAAAGAAACTGTCACGGAGTTTACCTCAGCGGCCAGTGATGGTTGCCATTTCGTCGAGGCTGCGCCATCTACTGCGGAAATAGGGAATTGGCCGGGTTCAAATGCATCTGAAGAAGAAACAGCCTGGCACTGCACGAGATTGCCTGCCACTGTGTTCTCTGATCCACTCTGTCGGTTGGGAAGGACAACAGAACCCTTGAGGGGAAGGTGATAAATGGTAGCATCGACTTCTGAGCCAGAGTTGATCGTGATTGTTTTGTTGGCGAATCGCTTATCGGCGGTTTCCAGTGGGGGAATACCTGTGGCATGGCTGATGGTCGTGTGTGTGTAGTTTGACCACGCCTCGATAGGCCACCCCCGCCAGTAGAAGGTACGATACTTCAGATATGGGATCTGTGGAGGCAAATTTGGATCCACGTGAAGAATGTCATCCGATACTAATCGCAATCCAAGATAACCATATAGGGCAACCTGATTTGCACCACCGTGGCCAGTCAGGAATGGATATGCCGGGTGCGTGCCTCCATTGATGGTAGCGTTATCCACCATCTGCTCCGACAGTTGGAAGAATGGCGCGCGGGTGTAAGGCTTATATGAGTACTGCGCATATGTGTATGCTGAGCAGCCAGAAGGCGCCATTTCACTTGCGACGACAGCAAATATGGCCCAGGTCATGGCAGGGCCATCAGCAGATTGTTTGGCTGCATACTAGAGCTAGTTAGTTTTGGCATCCTTTTGGCTGAAGATAAATACTCACATAGTCCAGATCATTCAACGAATCTTGGCTGGTATAGTTTGAAGTATAACCCAAGGGATATGTGACCATAACCACATCAGCTTGCTTTACCGCAGCGCTTCCATTCATAGTAGTGAACTCAAGAGTGATCTCGTTTTCACGGAGCACCAAGACATTGTCAGCCATTTCATCCCAGGTAGCATTTTCTTCGAGTCCGAATTGCTGACGGAAGAGGTTGGCATGTCGGAGGGTCTCAGCAATAAGCGGCATTGTGAAGCCACCCGCATCAACGTGGTTGGCATACTCATCCTACTTTATGTCAATTTTGGATGCTCGAAAGAAATAGAGCGCCAGACTTACGGGATCAGTCATGTTGGTCAGTGTCCAATAAGATCCGTTTCGAACCAGCAGGTCCGCATAGAGAGTAGCCACTGAATCGTAGATTGGGAAATGTTCTTGTTTAAATAGCTTTGTATTACCACTTGTAACCCATTGGTTCACCATGGAAATTCCAATGTCTCCGTTCAGGTGATACTCGTAGTCCCAGCAGGCGCCAGTGGCCGTACAGTTGCCAAAACGGCCACTGGTCCAAGGGAAAATTGCAGCCGATGGGCTGAAATGTGTCTTGTTCTTGGAACCACTGAAAGCAGTCTTCATATTCTCCTGTGCTTGGGCATACCTCGCCACACGGTAATTGGTGAACCGCTCAGACGCTTCTGGGTGAGAGGCAACAAGACCAGGTTGCATCCATACATCCGCATCCCAGAAGATTTGGCCACCGTAGGAGTCAGAGGTCAGGCCACCAACTGAAATGCTGTCCACATTTACCGGTGCTCCCGCGGCTTCCTTGACTCCATTCTTGCCAACAGTATTCTGGAGCAAGTAGTAAGTGTTGGCCACAGAGATTACTGCTGAATCAATAATGTGGCTATCCGCAGGCAAGGTCCCGTTGGGGAACGCGTAGTGGTCAACAGAAGATTCGGGCATAAGTTTTTCCCATTCAGCAATATGGGTTCCAAGAGACTTGACATAGCCATTGCTCATCGCGGCAGAGACTACCTCCTTAGCTGTTTGTTTCGGATCATCAAAGGCATCTGTAGAGGCACCTCCGACATATTTGATGACACGGACTACCTGACCAGGTTTGAAGTTCACATCCACGGCCTGCGCAATAGACGAGTTGTGGGAGTGGACATATGGCTTGTCGGACACAATCCTCTGGGAAGAAAGATTCACATTTGGTGACCCAGTGAGGTTTGCGTAGACATAAGCTGTGACATTAGCCATCCCATTCGGTCGTACTGCCGAGAAGATTGCACCATTGTCTTCCCCGATCTCCACACAGTCCGTGCGCACTGCAGAAGCTCCATCGATCACATTAACGATGGTCGCATTCGATCCCATGGTCGGGATAATCTCCATTTCGACCATAGCCTGATTGACGTACAGTTTGTGGGTGAGAAGACGATAGGTAATCTGGTATGATCCCTTGTTGCCCCGAGGAGTCCATTTGTAAGACCAGACCAAGATTCCTGCTTTAAAGTCATATGTGGTTCGGAAATTGGCAATAGTCTTATTGTCGACATTCGCATCCAAATAGGTATCATCACCAACATCCAAAATGATGCCAGCCCAATGGGGAACACCACTGATCACACTGTCACCTCCATACTGGGACAACCAGGGAAAGTTGGAGCTTCTTGTGGTAGGCTGCGAGTCAAAGAACCCACTAATCGTTGCAAAGGACTGGCGTCTAGAGAAAAGTGGCCAGCCGTTGATGCTATCGTCACTATCAATCTCAAAAAAAGGGCCAGCACTGGCAACATTGATACCCAAATATCCGTTCGCTACGGATCCTCGAGATTCAAAGCGACCCTGTTCCAAATTGGTTGAGCTCAGAAGCCAATTGTCTTCGTCCCAGGTCACACCATCGAAGCCGGTCTTGTACACATTGTTGCTGAAGTTAGCCGCCGAGCTAGAGCCTGTGTGTGCTTTAAGGCATCTTGCGATACGACTGTCAGGAGAGCCGCTGGCAAGATTCAGAAATAGCGGCAATACCGCACACGTGAAAGACTAAGCCGGGTGTTAGGAGATTGGCAAGGGCATCCTGGGATAAATGTACAAACAAACCTTGAGCTGCATATTGCAGTTATAACACCACTTTACCAGCCAAATCAGGTTCTCTAATAAATGACCTGAAATCAAGTTGAACAAAAAGAAGCGATCGGCACTCATGGAGAGAGGGAGGAAGATGGTTTTTTAAAGAAAGAAATTTTATGGTACTTTCCTAATTCAGCAGGAAACTCGATGATCCAGGTACGTAGCAACGTGAAATGCCTCAAAGCTTACTGTGTTATACGCCTTCCAAGTAGTTCATGGGTGGAGGTCTGGCGTCAGCCAAGGGGGGGAAACGTCTCATGAGGCTGGTGCCCAGGTGGTGGCTTAGACTATGAAAACGGCCTATAACAGGAGGACTGGAATATGCGGGGGCGGGCACCCAATATGATGGTGTATGCAGCCTAACATTGGCTAATTTTAGTTAATATTGGCTGTAAAAGCAGCATCCTTCATGGCCAAGACCTGCCCGGTTTTGGACCCGGCCACCCCAGATCGTCGTCATCAAGTGCACAGGGTTGGGTGCGTGGGATTTTGTGGGGAGCCAGGGGGGGATTTCATTAGTAAATTCTCCGACAAAGTCCGGGTTGAAAGTTATGCAGTTGTATAAAAAGCAGATCAGGGAAGTATTAAAATAATCATTATTAGGATGAATGACTGAAGAGATGAATGACGAAAGTTCAAATGTTTGATGGTTGTAGGGAGATATAGATGCCTCAGGTGTCTTTTATCAACACTCTCATCTTTTCCCCGTGTTATGTGATGGCTTGGATATACTATTAAAATGTATTTCAACATGTTCGAGTTATTTTTTTTATCTTGTAGGCTGTTCAAGATTAGAGTCCATGGTATATTCGAAGTGGATTGACCCTTTTCATGCACATGATCTCCAGTGTCTTCAAAGTACATTTTGAAAATTGGTATATATAGATCTCCAAGTATACGATGTACGGAGTATGTACTTCTCTACTCCGTACATGGTGTTGAGAGCCAAAAAAAACTATCACAGCCCTGTTCATCGTGAGCTTTAGAAAAAGAGGTATCTATGAATGAAAAAAAGGACCAAAAAATAACACAGGATATCACAGGATATCACATCGCATATGAATGGAAGGTCGAGTCTTGTCAAAAAGCTCAGGAAGGGGATCGAGGAACGAGATAGGATATCGCTTAGGATGTCACCTCAAGCAAGCTGACAGCAATCCTCGCTCGATATTTTTCCCTATCATTCATTCATTCATTCATTCATTCATTCATTCATTCATTACTATTCACATGGGCGTGTCCATGGTGCGAGCACACATCGTAACCGATTTGAACACTCAAAACAGGTCTTACCTACTACGCCAGCATGTTCAAGCTTGTACTTCATCGATGTCATTTTCGTCATCAGAAATTTCGCCAAGAGCACTAGGCGCAGCAGGCGAGGACTCCCTCTGCTGTGGAACAGGCGGAACAGCGTTGCTTAGTCTCGAGTTCACAGTGAGCGCTCTCTCACCCACGAAGTTATCGCCGGGCCACTCCTTTTTGCACACGGGGCATTTCTCTGCTTGTTGCATGCGGAAGAAGTTGCGCATGCAATGGTCATGAAGTCGACCTTTGCATGCATGGTCTTCGCAGCGTTGGCCCTAGAGTATCTCAGTCAGGTCTGTTTCGTACTAACTTGGGATCAAGCATACTTACCACGGTGATAATATCTTTGCAAGCAGCACAAGATTTGATCCGATACACAACTTGGCCATCGGGACCCTCGTCATTATACGTTAAGGCTAGCCAGCCCCTCAGCTCCATCAGCGCTCGTGGTGTGAGGCTGAGGTAGCCCTTCGCGCTCTTCTGCAACCAGCCTTCTTCGATCAAGTGAATAATCATGGTTTCTGCTTGGGTCATACGCAATGACTGTACCGCTGCGGTTTGCGTCTGTGTTGAATCATTGCTCGTGTATTGTCGTTCGCTAGACGGAGCCTTATGGAGTTGGACAGCTTGCATCTGCGAAGCTACCATTGCTTCGCACACCCGTGTATTATTTGTGACAAACATGTAGTCAAGCAAGCGCTTGAGAAATGCGATCTCGTCCGGAGAATAAGTGGTCGCGAGCTGTGTCAAAGCATCACTTGTAGTATTCACAAGCGCATACACTCGCTTCAGTGGTGTGATTGTGGCATCTTGCTGGGCTGGGAGAAGGATCTGTGGCAAAGAGCTTCTAATCTCGAGGTCGAAGGGTGACACGGCGGTGTTGGCGGCTGAGACAAAGTCAGAGAACTGATCTTCTCCAACCTCGTCAGGTTCCACTGTTCGCCCTTCTGCTCGATAATTTCAACGTCAGCGACTATCGCCATTCATAAAATGAGGCTTAAACAAGAGTCAAGTACCAGATACTGTTAATATCGCAGCCAGGATGGGTTGCGCTTCTTCAAAGGTCATAGTCGAGCGTGCCATGAATGCCTGGAGAAAGGCACGATTACTATCATTGTATTCGGGCATATTTTCAAAGGTAAATTTGGTATTGAGCTCTCAGACTTCACGATATCAGTCAGTTCAAGGTCCTTTGTTCCAACGCAGCACTGGCTTTGACGCGCTTCGACGCGCTCGCGTGACTGTAGATGAAAGAAAGATAAGCGCTCCCGATAAGAAAGCTTAGTAAATTTATTGATTCCTGAGGCACCAGATTGCTACCAACCTTGAAGAAGCTCAGGAAGAAAAATTATGTAGAGGACACGCTTTCTATTCTTAGTCAAATTGGGTCTTCATAAAACACGATTATTAAGGATGTCCGAGCTAGGCTAGGGGACCTGAACAAACAGGTATTGACTGGGCATCTCAATAATTAACTTGATGCCTAAGGCATCCACCCGTGAACAGCCCTACAACATCCATCGTTGGCTGTCTCTTGTAAGGTCCAGCATCGAGAAGATCAGTATTATATGTTACTACCTCCATAATCATGATGAATTGAACATCCGTACTTTTCCTAGAGTATAATGCTCTAATTAGGGTTAAATTACGGGTCCCTATAGTCACGGTTCTAACAAGCTACAGTATGATCCCAAATATGCTGTCGAGGTTATCTTGACTAGTAGGAAACACGCTATTAGGGATCAAGATGCAGGGTGAGAGCTCCCAGGTGAATTGTAAATGGTTTGCCAGGGATATTAAGCGCCTGGGGACGTGCCTAGTAGTGACTAGTCAAAAATAGGATTGCAAAACAGGAAGCCAATTCGTCATTTGTTCTTACGCGTACAAGGTAAATGACAGAATCTTGATGAGATGAATTATCCATTGAAATATTTATGATTTGATACGTAGAGGTTCCCCTTGGTGTGGCTTAATGAGCAGCCCCATTGGTCCAATCGGTCAATATTCAATCACGCTGCATAAGGCCAGTTGGAAATGAAAAGTTTGAAGAGCAATGCTTCCGAAGATTCCTTTGGAAAACTTTAAGAACATTGTTATCATAAGCATTATGGATTTCAGGCCCCCCAACGCCAAGGCGCTTTGTCGAAATCGGCCATCTCCGGTGAAGAGATATGCATAGTACCTATCGACTGCGTTGGCTAACAAGCATATACGCCCGAGTCAATTGAGAAGAGGTATTTCAGGTGGCTTCTGCCTTTGAATCGGTTTCCTTGACCCATATCACTCAGTGGGTGCTGGTCAACGTACCGGATTTCGCTTCAACTGAAATACGCATAGAGAATTACTGAGCAATATTTGTACATACAGTCTAGCTGTGAGTTTTATTGATCGCGTAAGTCTGATATCGTAAACTTCAAATGCCAATCAACAACAGTAAAGACCGAAACCCCATGCCCTAGAAGCGCCGCTGCGCAAAGGAAAGTGGAATCGAACCACCGACTGGTATCGCCGAACGCCAAAGGATCGAATGTATGGAAACAACAATGAGGAAATTCAAGAGCCGTGGCACACCCCTAGTATCTCCGGCGGGCGGGCTCAGGGCTGGGGCTTCGGCTAGCACTGCGAGGATCTCTGCCGCGCTCCTTGAGCCACTTCTTAGTGCTGAGTCGCAACTCGCGGTCAAGCTCAGGTGAGGGATCTTTCCGATGAATGAAATTGCAGAAGCCCCCTCGTACACAGCCTTCGCCGCTATTGAGTCGACAACAGGCTTCTCGGAAATCCGTGACGGGTGATAACTCGCAGTATATGGGCCGCGCTGCGTACCAACGGGAGTTCAATGCGTCGCACGCTGCCTGTGCATCTTCTTCGTATTTGAATCGGCCGTAGACGTTACCAATGAGGTCTAACACAGATGTCAGTAGAGAGTCGGATATCTTAAGGAGAACACTACTTACGGTCGTTGTTGTTGTCGCAGATGACCAGCTCTTCGAGCTCGCCATACTTGCACATCTCACACCATACGTCCTCGTAGAAGGCGTCGAAGTGATTCTGCATCTGACTGGGGTTCATCTTGTTCTTAGGGTCGTAGGCCGGGTTTTGGTACATGTTCGGCATGAGAATGGTTTGAGAGTACGAAGGCTTGACATGCTTGCGAGAACAGCGGTCGCCGTGTCGGCACGCGCCAATTTTGTAGTAGAAGGAACAATTGACCTTGTCCTGCTCGGTGCCGAAGATGGATGCAAGGTAGTTGGCCATGATTACTTGCTGTCAAGCTCGGGGCTTGGCTGAGGAGGATTTGAAGAAAAGTGAAATGAGAGGGTTGGCTCGCAGGAGAAGGGGACACAAATGAAAGGAGGGCGGAGTTGCTTTGAAAGCTGGGTGATATCGGATGCTTGAAGTTTCTGGAGAGCTCGAGTGGCGCGAATACTGATGACTAAACCTGGGGAGCTGCCTGGTCGGATTATTTATTTTCCGGGACGTACACAAGTGGGATCTCCAAAGTATTGGACGGCATCTTGTACCCCAACATATGGGGCAGTATGGGATAGTACATAGTATGGCTCATTACTTCAGATGTCCCACCTGCACATGCATGTATATAGAAAGATTACATATCTGAATGCACTTTTTTCACTGCATATATTCTATATTTCACGGCTAAGTATGCCTTGTCTTTTAGCTATAATTCTAGTTAGTTAGTTAGTTAGTTAACAACCTGGACATCTACTATTACATAATAAGGTGGTTTATCCTTGATGATATTAAAGATATGTTCCACTAAAACAGAAGCTACATATGTAGCTGATGATGACGGGATGAGGGAACGAGGGGTATTTGATGGTGGCTAGTTGATATGCAGCTTGCTGGTGAGATCTCCTTTGTAGGAATCTCTCTAGGAATCAGTTAGTACATTTTCTTAAATAACTTCTTCTTTACTTGGCTAAATGTAGGTATCTCCTACTTGGCCATGGTCCATATTTCTCATATCTGATCCAGTTGTCTCGACACTTATAAAGATTTGCTTTCCTTTTCTGGGCTTGGTGGTGTTCTTCATGGACTGCTTAACAATGAGTGTAGCACGGGGGCGATATTAACTGGAGAAAGCAGTGGATCAGAGAGCTTCAACGTTGGCTGGGTCATATTCGTTTCTGGGACACTGTGGACTGTATAGTTACTCTCGCAAGCTAGATTAGAGGTAGTAAGAGACAACCGTAGACACCCAACAGAATCATGAGCTAAGTTCGAATCGAAGGGTGATGATTATAATAAAAAAATTGCCAAATCAAAAGAAAGACCGAAATAGGAAGGAAAAGGAGATAACACGGCGGGTACGTGTGCCTCTGATAGAACTTGTGGTTGTGTTTCGGGTATTCTTCTAGGCTTCCTCAAGCATACCTGACCTAATGGGCTGGGTTTATCCCCCCGAGGGCCTTGATCGCGTAAAGGTCGGTATGTATCAATATCAGCCAGGCTTGCAGCCGTAATTTGTGTTTGGGCTGATTGCCACTATAAGTCTGTGTGGTAAAGTCCAGACGCTGGTAGGTGATTTTAGGCGTCCGTTTGGTGTCTTCAGCAGTGGTTTCGTTCAGCGCTTGGTAATTTTGGGTGCAGAGCCGGAGTGAAGGCATGGATCGTATGAACTAGATATTTGTTATCATAAGTAGGGTAATAAGACTTAATTGCAGACCTCCGGTTTGTGTCTGTCGAATATGATAAAAGCAAACAACAAAAAGAAGTCATAGAAAGGGGAAGAATGGAATCCAGAGAGTACAATCTAATCGAGTCCACCAATGTTGGAATCGGCTTGTATAACACAGTAGACAATACAGACAAATGTGCCTGAGAGCGATTGGAAGTGAGGTATTCAAAGCTGAAGTCGTAAGACTCTGAAACTCGTCTATGGAACCCATGTTGAAAACTGATGATTTTAACGCTCTAAGATCTTTCAAGGTAAAGTCAAGTCGACTTGTCCTTTATAAGTAGCCACGCATGTTCACACGTAGGCACGGTTCCCATATTGCGTAAAAGAAGTTTCTCTGTATTGTTAAAATTGTTAAAGGGCAGAGAAATGAGATGGTTTCAATCTCAGGGTTGAGGAAATACTGTTCGAGGGTCTCAGTGTCAACTTCAAACAGTAGTGATCGGTTGATAGAAGATATACTGGACCTTTCACCACGAGGATGAAATCGTTGGTATCACAAGAGAAGTGCGGGGTCGCGATGTTGTTTTGCTAACGACTTTAGGAAAAGTACGTCTAGGGGGAGTTCTTTCGTATTTTAGATCGAATTCTCACAGTTTGGAACTAGGAGCTTTGTCTTTAACGGCCAAGCCGCTCACATCCACTGAAAGCTTTTGCTTTTTGATCATCTCAGAAACAACCTTTCCGGTTCCCAAGCTCAAAGAAATTCCCCACGCTCCATGTCCAGCAGCTATAAAAACGCCTCCCTTGGGGTTTGCTTTTGCTCCTCCCAAAGAGTAGTCCCCAACTCTTCCAATTGTAGGAACACCAGTATTTCCCACTGGGCGGAAGCATAGTCCTTCACGGATAATCTCAAAGTCATCTGTGTTTGCCGTCTCGTCGGTTGCCTCTTTTGTACCCTTGGGGAGATCTCCCATTAAACGAACTGCAACATCTTTGAGTTTTTGCATTTCGGAGGGATCAAATAGCTGGCTGGTATCCGCAGCACAAGGTGGAAGCTTCATTGCGGGGTTGTTGAGACCGGCGATATAAATCTCCCCGCCTTCCCTGAGGAAAATCTCAGGGCTAAACCCACATGACGGAGGGTGAGTAGTGAATACAGCATGGCTGCTTCCACGGTAAACATCGCTCTCGTGCTCCATTGTATACCGAGGGGAACGAAGCACCAGTGAATAGCCAGCCAAAGGCGTTATACCAAATGATACTTGAGTGGAGGGAAACAGGTCTCTGAGAACCTGTGGTGTCCATGGCCCCATGCTCAGAACCAGGTTCGTACACGTAATGATTGACTCTTTCTTTGAATCCAAAGACACAATTTTGACACCGGTAATTGTGCCGTTCCCATCCTTGACCACTGCAGTGGCCTGGGCTGGATTATGAATCTTAACGCCTCGGGAGATAGCACCGTCAATGAGGTATTGGCTCAACC